GAGTCCTGGGTCCGGGAGAGCTCAAATCGGATATAGAGATGATCCGAGAGCGTCTCAACCTCTTCCAGGACACGCCAGTTCCTTACTCGTGCGGCGAGGGCAGGGGTAGCGAACGAAAGGTCCACTATCGACCCCGCCTGCTGTCGCACGCACGTGTTGGTGGAGCCTCTGTTGAGAAGACAGAGGCCCACTGAGGCCGCCCACTCCTCTAGGGCCTCGCCCCTTGCGTCCGTCCTGGGGGAACCCCACGCAATGGACTTTGCGTTGAAGTCCCCCAGCACAAGGACGTGCCCAGACGCTAGTCGCCGTATCGAGGTCTCCAAGCTGGTTAGTAAAACCTCGAAGTCACTCAAACTCCGGTTGGGGGAGAAGTATACACCATATATAGTGATCCCCCCCCCTCTCGGCAGCTACATATCCAGTGCCCTTGTCTCTTAGCGACAAGGGCGGGGAATGAGCCGCCGTGGAACCGACGACTGCCACGGAGCCGTCCCAGTCACCCATCCAGTTTGGACGGGGAGGGACAAAATAGGGCTCCGCGACTACGGCAACACCTATCGACCACTGTGCCATGGTTTGCAGGAAGAGATCCTGCGCCGCGGCACAGTGGTTCAGGTTCGTCTGGACCAGGAGGTTGGAGACTTGATCCATTACTGGGTCGTCTCTACAACCTCCTCCTCCATGGGCGACGACGTCGACGCACGAACTACATCGGAGGCAGCCTGGGTCGACTGGCTAGCCCCCGATGCTCGCTGAGAGTTGCGGGGAGGCTTGCAGCCCCCCTGCCCCATCTGGTGATTGGCGGGCTTGTTACCCGCCGCACAGACCGGGCAGTGAGGGGCGGCAGAGCATTCCACCGCCACATGCCCCGGTCGACCACAGCGGAAACATAGTCCGCTGCAGTCGAAGCAGCTTTGGCACTTGACGCGCGTGTGTCCCGATGCTAGGCATTTGTAACACCTCATCGGTCTCGCCGCCAGGACTGTGATCCTAGCGCTCACGAAACCGATGAGAAGCCTGCCAGCGTCGGTCAATACTTTGGCCGACGCTACGGGACAGCTGACCCACACGGCGCCAAGACCTCCTGGACCGGGGCGGATAGTGCCGACCCTGACGTTGTCCGCGCTGCACCCCGTCTTCTCCCGGATTACAGCGCGGACATCTTCGGCCGTCACAGAGTCGTCCAGGCCCGAGATGCGCAGCTCCGCGCACTTGGTAGGCCTGGCGATCTTGACACCATCTGTGGTCGCGAATATACCCCACGAGATTCTTACCTAATTTAAGCTTAAATGACTGGACTAAATTGAGAACCTCCTCTGTTTTAAAGTCCGCTAATTATTAATGTTAATAGAGAAATAAAATTCAATTCTTATATTACAGTAACTATATTTTTCTTATCAGTGATATATATAACCCAAATACCTTTATGGCTTGAGAAAACGATCAAACACACTGTGCGGTAGGGTGTCCCGAATTTTTTTTATTCTTATTTTAGCTACTTAAGAACTCTCAAAAGTTGCGCTGTTAGACGTAGATTAGCGTAAAAATAATTCAAAAAATATTTAAAAATATCCTTAGGGCTCTACCAGCATTTTTATTTACTGAAAATTCGCAAAAACAACCTTGTAGTCAATGTCGTATATTCTATGTTTTATGAATCAATCCTATTTTGTCTTGTAATTTTATCAATAAAAGCCTCGGCTATGATTTGCAACTATCGACAGGTTGTTTTAGCGATCAATCGGTTTGGATCGGACTTGCAAAATTCCTACAAAATTCATGTTTTGACTTGATTTTCGTACGTGCGCTACTTCTACAACAAGACAGTTCGTCTCATTTCTATTTCGATTTTACACTTGTAAGGAGTTGTTCTATTCTTCTTTGAAAGAAAAACGTAATTTGCGTTACTTAATCATAAAAATGTGTTCAAGGCGAAGTGAGACTACTTGTACTATATTGGGACCTTAGAAAGAACTTGACGATCGCCAATTACCTGTTATAAAAGACGTTATTAAGTGCATTTTATTTACTAAAAGTGAATTAAAACTACAGAAAAACGGAAAAGATCCATCGAACACAGAAGTCTTTTCAATAGTTTCTGGAAAACTTAACACAATTTGGACCAAAGCTTCAATTCCCATCGTTTCTAACGTACGGGTTACTCAACTGCTAACCGCATATTTTAACAAATATTTATCACTAATAAGATATCCTAAAAGTAAGAGAAACGATAGCTATGACAACAAAGTTAAGTGCTTTTTGGAATCGTCAAATAAGCTTTTTGACATCGCTGCTTGTAAGTGCACTTCGTTTGAAAATTGTTTCTGCACTAAACCCAAGAAAGTTCCCATTTCTGAAAGAGATTTTTTACTGGACCAAAGAAATGATAGGAAAATGGCAATAAGCGGCGTAGACGCAAAAGAAACTGCAAGGCTTTTAAAGAAACATCAAAGACAAGAAAATTTGAAGCGGACAGAGCAAGCATGTTTTCCGAGTACTTCACAAACCGATACTGTACCGGTACGCGTGTTGCCGCCTCGTTCACAGTCGCTTTCAATAGAACCTTCTACTAAAAGTGACTTAAAGGAGTCTCCATCTAATTCATTTAGTCGGAACACTCTGACGCTGCCAACAGTAGCTAAGGTATGTGATCGATACGGACTATCAACGCGTTCGGCAGCTGCAGTCGCTTCAGCAGTCTTAGTTGACGTAGGAATGGTATCTTCCGAAGATCTAAACCTTGTGATTGATAAAAATAAGATTCACAGAGCTGTTTCAAAGTCACGTACCCAAGCCAGCAAAGACATCGATAAAATTATTATAAAGAGTATCTACTTCGATGGGCGAAAAGATAAAACTCTCAAGATCAATAAAATAGACAGCCGGTACCACCGAAAAGAAGTCTTAGAAGAACACATTTCAGTTCTTACATAGCCGGGATCTATTTACTTGGGACATACGACGCCGAGTCGAGGTACTGCGAAAGGGATTGTCACTTCTATTATAGAATTGTTAGAAAATCAAGGATGGAACTTAGAAGAAGTAAGTTGTGTGGGTTGCGATGGCACTCCTACAAATACAGGTTGGAAAGGAGGTGTCATTAAATACCTGGAAGACTATTTGAAGAGACCGTTACAATGGTGTGTTTGTATGCTTCACACAAATGAATTACCGCTTCGTCATTTGTTTATGTCTCTAGATGGTAGCACATCTGGGCCGAAAGAATACTCAGGACCTATTGGAAAACAGCTAAATGTTTGTAAAAGTAAACCACTAGTGTCTTTTTGTGCAGTGGCTGGCAATTTGCTCGAATTACCTGATGACATTGTGAAGGAACTAAGTACGGATCAAAAGTATCTGTATGAAATGTGTCATGCTGTGACGACTGGATCTTGTTCCCCTGAGTTAGCGAGCCGCCAACCTGGAAAAATGGCGCATTCAAGATGGCTAACTACTGCCAATCGCATACTCAGACTTTATGTAAGTACTGTTTCGCCATCAAATAATTTAAAGCTGCTTGTCAATTATGTGGTCAAAGTTTATGCTCCAGTTTGGTTCCTCATTACGAAAACTCATCATTCAAAGATGGAGCCAATCATATTTTTCAAATGGTTACATACTCCCGATTTTTGCCTGATAAGCAAAGATCTATTGTGAATTCAGTGATCGAGAGAAACACTTTTTTTGCTCACCCTGAAAACTTACTTGTTACCATGCTATTCGACGACAGAGAGCATATTCGAGAGCTTGCAGCTCGCAAAATATTAAAGGCAAGAGAAGCAGAAATAAGCAATACTCGCAGGGTATTTAAAGTACCAAAACTTAACTTCGATGCGCGATATTACATCGATTTGATATTTTGGCAAGAGTGTGAGATATCCGCTCCACCGATTTTGCGACAGATGTCCGACGACGAACTGAGAATTAAGGCTAAAGAACAAAGCTTCGATGTTATTGATTTCCCCTGTCATACACAATCAGTGGAAAGATGTGTAAAGCTAGTGACGGAGGCTTCTCTAAGTGTCACGGACGCTACAGCTCGGGATGGTTTAATCAGAAACAGATAAAAATCTCGCGCGGAAATGCCTAATTTTGGCCACAAGAACCAATTTCGTATTTGAAATAAGCACTAATTATAAGTATTTAAACTTTACTGAACATTACCTTATGTCTTTGTAGTACCTATAAATTTGATTAAAACCTTGAAAACATTATTTTTGTATCATTTATAGTTTATGTTCGAAACCTCTAAAAATGGCAAATTTGAAAAACTTCTAGGATCGGTAGAGGCCTAAAGATGACAAATATTTAATTAAATTTTGTTATATTTGTAATCTATTCACAAAAACGCAACTTTTGATACCTCTTGCGTAGCCGTCGCTTTAAAAAAAAATCCCATACATTGACGGGACACCCTACTGTGCGGGCCTACAATTTTTTTTTCTAGGATTCAATCATCAAGATACTTTGGCAGTGCTTATACCTCTTCGATAAAAAAAGCAAAATTGGCAGAGAAAAAATTTAAACAAATACAATCGAATTGAAAATCTTTAATGCGAAGTTTTAATGTTAAGATAAAAATCAAATTAAATTCTTATATTACAGTATCTTCTTATCAGTGATTGACACTGATATTTTATTTTACATATAATCTATAGATATATTTAACTTATAATGGATTCTAAATAATAAGAAATTTGCGGTATCGTAGAAGCTTCGTCTAGACTGAAACTTATACAACCGGTCAATTACCACACTTGTTGTTGATGAGGAATGCTTAATAGTGAATGAAACACGCACAGAATACACATGGAATAATTGACACAATAATTAGGAAAAAGCAATATAAACACTAATATTTAAAAATATTTTGTAACGTTGCGATTAAATAAAACCTTGAGGAGCATTAAGAAAAAATATAACAAAGTTGCGAAGTCCCATACGAGCGACGACGTTTGACTAAACTAGGCTAAATAAAATTAACTAAAGAAGTTTTTATTTCATAAATTCTTGACGCCTTCCTCAAGTTTTTGAAGTAAATGTCGAAAATTCGGGTTGCTGTCCTTTTGTAGAGAAGACATAATTGCTTTCTGCAACAAAAAACTCCTAGTTACTATTTTACGGGAGGTTTTACCCAGAATACTATCTTTCTAAAAAATCATTCTCTAGTCTAGTGTGAAATTTTTCTAACTTCATTATTTTTGTATAATTATGAACCAATAAACTATTTTAGCTTTTAAAATTTATACATATCCTGTTTTAAATTCGAAGAAGTTATAAGCAAAATTGTTCGTCTAATTGTTAATTGATGCAAAAGAGTTCGTCTATCGGTGAGTTCAATAAGATTATTCCTTCTTTGTACAATTATGTTGCATAATTTAAATTTGTAAAAGTAATTCTGTGTCATTTGTCAAGTGAGACAGTATAAATTCTGAAAATTTCAGTCTTTTTCATTAGTTTTCAAATAACAATGGGTCGTGGCAAACCCGTGTGGGAAGAGCTTCGAAAGCGAATAGTTTGTGGGGTCGATGCTGGTAAATCAAGTTACAAAATATCTGAAGACTTGATACTGCCCAGGTCCAATCTATCATTCAGCACTATAAAAAGAATAGAATGACTTCTTGTTTGAAGAAAACTGGTCGACCACACATCACAAGTGCAGTAGAAAACAGAATCCTAAAGAAAATTATCAAAAATAATCGTCGTGCTCGAGCTGGAGAACTCACGGTGCAATGGAAGGACATGATTCACAAAGACGTCTCAGTTGATACTTGCAAAAGAGTCCTAAAAAGAATGGTTACGGATTTCACACCGCTAAGGAGAAACTGTTGACTGTTGTACAAAAGAAAAAGAGGTTGAAGTTTGCTCGTGATCATTTAAATTGGACTTCCGACCAGTGGCGCAGTATCATTTGGAGTGACGAGTCCAAGTTTTAAGTGACAGTCGGCGATGAAAGGAAAAAAGTGATTCGGAACAAAAATGAGGCATTTCATACTGATTGTCTCAAACGCAAAATGAAGATTCCGGCGTCTCTTATGATATGGGGCTGCATGTCTGCACAAGGTGTTGGTGGTATGCAGTTTGTGGATGGTTCTATCAATGCTGTAAGGTATCAAAACCTTTTGGAAGAGAATTTACTGCCCTCTATTCCGTCACTTAAGCATCAAGATTCCTTCATTTTTCAACAGGATGGTGCTTCCTGCCATACTGCAAGGACAACGAAGACGTGGCCACTTGCGAAAAGCATCCCTACAATCGAATGGCCATCTAACAGCCCGGACTTGTCGCTGATCGAAACCCTGTGGTGAAAAATGAAAAAGTTCTCCGTAAAAATCCATCCAGATAGAAGAGCGAGTCAAAGGCTAAACTCTTGGCTGTCTGGGAGTCAATTACGCCTGAGGAGTGTACAGCGTCGGTTGCAACCATGCCTCTTCGCATTGAAGCTGTCATTGAGAGCAAAGGTGACACAACTAAGTGGTAGACGAATTATTTTGCGTGAGTGACAAGGGTAGACGAATACCTTTGCGTTGCTTTTTAGTATATTAAAAAAAAAATGTTATGTAAAGTCATGAAAGAATTTCAGTTATGTTAAAATAAACTTTAAAATGTTCCTCAAATTGTGGTTTACTTTTTATTAAACGTTCTTAATTATTTTACCAATATTTACTTTATATTTTACGTTTTGCTCTACTTTCCATGCTAGACGAACTATTTTGCATCGGAGCTCGTACGAATATCTCATACTTTTTTCGATTTCCTTAATATTTTTTGAAACAAAGTAAAAGTTCTATATCGGGAGAGTTCTGTTTTGTACAAGTTCATCTACAAGTGTAATATGTTTATTTGGGAGCCTAAGATATCAATTAAGAGATGTCATACTTTCAATATAATTATATTGTCGTCATAGTAACGTTGTGCATTTATTTACTGTTTTATTATTCCTTTCTACTGATCTAAGTGATTCGACGTAAGCGTCAATTCGCTACTTTGATGGAATGCTCAATGCAGTTATTTAATAAACACCAAATATAAACATTCATTCAGGCACGATCAGTAAACTCGTGTTGCCATACAACTTTAGACAACTTTATATTAACAAAAACGGTAATAAAAGGTGTTTCCGTTTCATAAGTGTTTATGGTTTATCGTAGATTGACTTGGTCAAAGTGGAGTGGAGTGAATGAAGAGGGTTAAAAATGATTATTTAAGTAATGTAATGTAAGTACAAATCTGCATTTTTATACTTGTCGTACCTTGTAAACGTAAGGTATTATGAAAATATTTAGTTGGATGAAGATTAATATCCTGATACTGACTAATAACATTATTGGAATTATAATAGGATTCCATTAAATTCTCTTTAAAACATTATTCGCTGAGGTATATTAAATTAATAATTTAATCTTATGAACTTTAAGTATATATAATTTTTTATAGGCATACAAGGAAACAAATATTTCAGAGAAATATAAGAGCTAAAGTTACTTACGGCAAATTTGTTATTGGAGTCTTGTATCTTTTGAGACAACATCCACAAGTTACCCGCTAGACTCATCATTGGACGCGCCTTCAAGTCACCGCGTCTTACAACACGCCAGAACAATTCTAAGGCTAAATTGTACTGCTTCTTCGTTTCTTTGTTGTCACCCAGCGCCTTCAAAACGACCAGTAGCTCTTGGCAAATATTAGTAGCGTACTTTTCTAACACCGCTATGAATTCCGTGTCACTGCCGTACAGTTTATCATTTGATAACACTGAAATATAAGTATAATATTAACCACAATGATAAACCACCACCATTAATATATATTTTAACCGACTACAAAAAAAATTTGTCATTTGTCGGTTCCATTGTTTTAACTCAGAACTCCGATCGTCCCAGTTGAATTGGAATATCGTATTTTAAATTGAAATATTTTTAAAATTTGTACGTATTAATCGAAAGGAACACTTCTTTTTTATTGGTTAAAAAATTATGGTTACAATATAAAAATGTTCATGATCTAAATGTGAAGTGTAATACAGCAGATTAAATTAGAACCTGATTCAATATGGTGTGCATAGGTTTCCTGGGTCATTTCGCAGAGCAGATCTAACGTATGAAGAAGAGTGGTGTAGTACAGCGGCTCTGTCCTCTTCCAGTGTATCCTCTCCATAGTTTTTATAAATCCACTTAGTATGTACGCTTTACAATTCCCATCTACGTTATCCTAAAACATCAACGTTCATTACCTTCCTGTTTAAAATCCTTTAAAATAAGCAATTAAGGTTATTGCTGCAATTAAAAATATGTAATAGAACTTAGTTATTAAGGATATTTCTCTTATAGGATAGGATAGGTCTTTCTCTAACGACCTGTATACTGTCATAAGTAAGATCCTATAACAATATAGTTTTTGTTACAGAAATTTGTAATCATATTTTAAAGCTGTATAGTGGACCCCGTAAAATGACGTCAAGGCCCGGGGTTGGTATTTATGTAAATTAGGCGGCCAAAATTAATTTCTGTATTTTATGTATTCTAAATGGTTTATTTTGTTTTATTATAATTGTTTTAAGGCTTTTAATAAACATACTTTAAGAAAAGAAAACAATGTTACATTAAAAATAATTATTTATTTTAAAAATAAAAAAAAACACTAATTTATCTCATTTCTCTTCACTAAAGCACCATTCTTTAGTGTCAGAATCGTCTGCGGCAGATTCAGAGGAATTTTCGCCTTACATGCGGGGCTCAACAGAAATCAGGATTTCTAAGGCTTCTTTCTTTCTTCTTCTTTCTGTGTTTATTACGCGACTCTGCTGGGTCCTCTGATAACAAAACCCAGTTGGTCCAAAGATTAGGATTTTGTGCAATGTAGTAGTCATGGGGTGCCACGGATATAAGTTCATGTACATCTTCACAGACTTATACCTATTAAGAGCAAACTTTTGGGAACTTGAAATAACTTTCAAAATCACTTTCAAACGTCTTATTAGAATAAATTCACACCGGTAATTTCTGTAAAACATCTTCTGCTGGTATTCCCATCATTGGTATAACCGAAACCAGGTTTCGGTATATCAACTAATAGCCCGGTTTGCTCCCTAAAGTTTATTTGTATTTCTGACTTTCTCTGTTTGACTATGTCTATGACTATGATGAAAAGTCGTCGTTTTTTGTGAGCTTCTGTCCACCTTTTCTCATATCGAGACTTCAAATAAGAGAATGAAAGCTTCACTAGCTTCTTTTGTTGATCACAATATTCATCTTGTGATAAAATATATCTCGCCAGATAAACCAACGTTTCGTCAACATTTTGCAAGTCTAGTGCCTGCATTTTGTCAAAAAGTAGCCTACGCGTTACCACTTTAATCCCAGAGATATCCTGAGATTCTGAAACAAAATGAGAACTCTTTTAAAAGAAAAGTAAATTATTTAGTACAATTAGGCGGATTTGCACTATATCATTAATTGCCCTTGAAAACTTCAAATCACGGCTAAATACCACGTTTTCAATTAGATTAAATACTCTGTTCTATATACCAATAAACAAAACTCATGGAGCGGACCCTGAAGTGCAACAAAAACCTTTTTAAAAACGGAAAAAGAAAATTTACCACAGCAATCACTAACATGTTTTTCAATCTACCAATAGGTACACAATAATTTTTTACTAGGTTTAGATAAAACGTATTAATATTTATTTATGCTTACCTATTAAACTAGAATCCATCACAATTTTCTTCATAACAAACTCCAAAATAAAAATACTTACTTTTAAAATAACAGTTTTGTCATAAATGTCTAATAGCGAAACGAACACATAGAACAATGATCAAGTCGGAGCGGTCGCCCATTGTTCTATGTATATTCAACAATCAGCAGGTAGTGTTTTTTTTTACCTGAGACACATTTCAAGAATTGTATTTTTGGCCGCCTAATTTGCGTAATTATCCCAATGTGCGACGGTCGCGTGCGACCGACGACTGACGCGTGTCCGCCGCCGGTGGCGTACTCCGTCGGCCGCGTGCGCGAGTTGGTTCTCTAGACGCGGGCGCTAGCATCTGGTAATTGTGATTGTGAATCGTGTTTGTACTCGAAGTAAAATTAACGAAAATATATTAACATCGTTAGGAGAATTGGCAGATGAAGTTCTGATGTTTTCAAAGAAAAGAAAAAGAAACTAATTCAATATTCATAAAATCACCGATCCACATAAATTTTTTTTTGATACATCGAATAAGATAGTACTCGTATTATATCTTATAAAAATAATTAACAATTCGTCATTTTCCTTATTAAAACTCATTTTATGTCGTCGCTATGATACAAATATGATACGGACCGACGCGTGCGGTCTTGTCCGCTCGCACTATCCGCCCCCGGCGACGTTTTTAAGAACCCAGAGCTGAGCAGTTCCGTACATAGCATTCGTACGCCGCCGGCGACGGACACGCGTCGATCGTACGTGCGACGTTCAGAGAAGCCCGGGGTTCTCTGAACGTCGCACGTACGATCACTAACAGTTTTAGAACATCGCAGGTGCGTGTTTGCTAAATGGTCATTATTACTTACAGGCAGAAGTAACAGCGTCGATAAGAAGTCACTTAAAAGAGCTCCAACTTTGACATGTGTCAGTTTCTTTTGGCCATCTTCTAGTATATAATCTGGTATATCGGGTATAAGACCAATCAAAGCTTTGAAATTAGCCTCAGCTGTAAAGAAGGGAAACAAGTTAGCACATTGATGGCACATCGCCCGAATGTTTATGATATCATAAAGATATTTACGTCACAAAGAACTGGATAAACGATAACAGTCGATAAAAATTTGAAGAATGTACTTTCATCTAAAATGTAAAGGTTTTTTATGTCTGTCTGTCTGTCGTGGGATTAGCAGTAAACTGCAGCAAATATTGTCTAAGCCTACCTTGTCCGATGCAGTTGTTCAAGAGCGCAACTTGCCCAGATAGCAGATACAACTGAGTTTTGGTGAGCGTACAGTGCAGTGAGGGTACGGTGACGAAACAGTAAGCAGCACACGCACGTTGCAACCATTTACCTCTCGGCGTGCTCGCACGAACTGCTAGGGAGTTAACAGCCTACGAAAAGATTATTGAAGATATAATATTAGCGGTATATTTTTGAATTCAAGCATTTACTCTGTTAGTGACCAAACTTAGCTTGTTATTGAATTCATTAAAACATAAACCAGGAGTAGGAGGTACATTAAGTAGGAGGAAAAAGATAACAAATTTCTAATTTTGTATCTATCACAGACATCACTCAATGTAACTTTTATAGCAGGAAGTTAACCTATTTAAAAGTAGGGAAGTATGAACATACATCTTGGCACAAATATCAAGACGGCAAAGACGTTCGTTGTAGTCTAAAATTATCCATAAACATGTGGAAGAAACATTTGTTTTGTATACAAACGACTAAAGCGAATATTCAGATACTAACTGACACTGACACTTGCGGAACTCGAAAGGACGAAAGGAAAGCCTAGGTACCCCGACGTACCTCGGACCATCTACGGCTTATAGATGACCCACTCCTGTGTGGGAACCCTGATGTTCCCTTCCTGCCCCCGAAGGGCATGCAGGCTAAGTAGCCGTCTTTTTTTATGGCACTAATCCCTCCCACACACCCACCTAACTGTACACTAGGATCAACAGCAGTGACCCACGAACACACCGAGTTATGACACTCGGGAAGTCCCAGGATAAAATTAAACTGAAAATCGGAGGAGTTGGAAATAGAGTAAATCCACTTCCTTCCTTAGCAAAGCGGGAGACAAAATGAAGTAAAATAGGCATATACCCTTTTAAACAGGGAAGCACCACGGCCACAAAATATTTTTGGGTCCTAAATGAGCTATATTTGATTTCCATAAGATGTATGGCTAGTTACCACAAGATCCCCATAGTATACCGCCCCAGATGGCACCTGCATACTATTCAGCCTAATATAATGCTATGTTGAATGTTGAATGTATATGAATGTTCCCAGAGGATATGACGAGCAGACTGTTGCGTGTAAACGACCTATAAGAAATTGAGCGTCTCAGTGATCCACCTCAAGCCATGTCCTCGACAACCGTTAGCGAACAGATGGAAATAACTGGTAAAGGTAGCGGCGCCCCTTAGATGATACGTCCCGGCGTTGTTGCCATTCGTCTATGAGGTCATTATAGACATCGGACTGCTGTTGAAGCAATCTAGTAATTTTATCGCGATCTTGTGCGCCCAAAAAATTTCATTCCATGTGTTGTTGTCTTGAATAGTTCATGGCTGCACGTCTCTGCACCTCGAGATCGACCGTAAGCACACCCGCCCAACACCAAGAAAGCCTCAGTTCTTTTCGTCCTATATGCCTTGCACAAGTATATCAGTACAAATCGTTGGCACACAAGTCGTTGTAAAAGTTTACGACGGACAGCGCCTTAGATTGCTCCATCGGCCCATACATGTGCACCATGTGTAAATAAGTAGCTCGTATATGATCTTTAGTGTTTTTAATGATAGACCCCATGTCGCAGTTGATATCCTTGTTAATGCACGGAAACTCTTTTTAGACTTTTCATTAAATTCGATCTGATTCACAATGAGGTTTTATTTTTTACAGCGACATTGTCAAATGTAATGCTCGGCGGTGATTTTAAGGTTACGTTTAAAAAGTAGCTGGAAGGTTTTGTTGGCTGCAAAAGTTAAGCAATTATGTTCACCCCAATGAAATATCAAGTTCAAACATCGATTGGCTAATCTATCTAGCCCCGCCCTAGTATCAGATTCCATCAGTCAACCGTTCATCAATAAACCGTCATCAGCATACGCGTTCAGATTACATCCGGATGGTATTGGTGTCGCAATAAAATCGTCGAAGCCGATATTCTACAAGTATGGACCTTGCACTGAGGACATCCCATTATAAGCGCCTTCGACACGACTTAGTTTAGTTTACCTTGTGAAAAGTACGGACGTAGGAGTAAGCAACGTTTAAAAACAGTCAAAATCTTGTCACCCGAAACTTTACAAGCTTCCTTTATCATTTCCTTTGATGTTTTATCATAGCCCGTAACCTTGTTCGCACCGAAGCCTGCGCTTATGGGGGACGGAGGATGGCGGCAATATTGTTACCGAGCAAGAGAATTCCCACGGCAGCCACGAGGTCACGCATCTGCTCCACCCACGCCGGGCATTCTGCCAGCATGTGGAGCGCCGACCATCGCAGTGGTGGCGTCAGGCGTAGGCTCCATTCGGATCAGACACAGGTGATCTCCGAAGCATCCTTTCGGGGTGATCTCTTGCGTCAACCGGTATGAGAGGGTTCCGTGATACCGCTCGAGCCAATCCTCAATAACGGATCCCTTGTAGCAGATGTTTCGCAAAAGTGACCCTAACACCTCCCTGTGGAACACCGCACGACATTTTACGCCTACCAAGATCGGTTGAACGCGTTGGCAATGTGTTCTTAAATAATATCATCACTAATAATAATCTCTGTTCTATTTAAATTATATTACACTAGCTGACCCGCGCAACTTCGTCTGCGTCTCTCAATAGTAACAAATTTTCTCCGTTTTTGAAACATTCTTCATTGGTACTCCGCTCCTATTGGTCTTAGCGTGATGATATATAGCCTATAGCCTTCCTCGATAAATGGGCTATCTAGCACTGAAAGAATTTTTCAAATCGGACCAGTAGTTCCTGAGATTAGCGCGTTCAAACAAACAAACAAACAAACAAACAAACAAACTCTTCAGCTTTATAATATTAGTATAGATATTCTTAATATTTGGAATTCAATAAAATTCTTCATAATCGATGTTCTTAACTTAGACACTAAAAGGAAACGTTTCAGATGTAAAAATAACTAAAAATATTTTAATGATTAACAAAAACAGCATCAATAAGCATTATGTGAAGTATGACAAAAAAAATATTAATACTATAGCCATCTGCGAGGATATTACGGTTTTCCTTGCCGTTTAAGAGATAATTATATTTTTTATACTAGCTTCATACAAATTTTTCGTAAAATTCTAATTCTTTCGTCTTTGTGCAGAATTAACTCTCGTGTCATTTTTGTACATACTATAACTAATAGAAGCGATATCCGGCAAAAAATATGACACTTGCAAATTGAAATCCCTAAGTCTATGAAGGCCGATTTTCAGCCCACCGTGTGCCCTCTCGCAAGCCGGTTGGGACAGGGCACGAGGGGGTTTATACATGTAAATAAATTTGAAAAAGAAGCGTTGGGTGCCTGTTGTCAATAGTAATAAGCACCCCACGCTTTTTTTTTCAAATTTATTTTCTATTTTTTTAGTTTGGTTTTCTATAAAAAGCATGTTTTTTAGTTTTTTTTAATTATTTTTTTAATATTTTTTTTTTAGTGTATTGTCATCGGTCCTCGATATATCTACAAAGTTTGAACGAATTCTGACCGTTTAAAGCCAGTCAAAATCACGCCAAAAGCAGTCGGGTACAAACATATATACAGGTGAAGCTAATAAAAAGCGTATAAAAGGTCTAAAAAGCGATGTGTAACATGCCACAGGATGTTTAATTATTCATGTCTAAAACCGTTGTGGTAAAATAAATTTTCTTAATTTAAAACCAAAAAATATTTACAACTTACGTGAACTAATGTTATGAGTACTGTATCCAATTTAATAAAGGAAGATCTGCATTCCACGTAGAAGTTAAGCTGTCTTTCAAGATCATCTTGAAACGTGACTGCCTGTATGAACTTATTGATAAGCTCACCGCAGAGTTTACTTTCGTCTTCAACCGTCACGGCGCTAAAAAAGATTTTCCCCTTACTTTACATAAGAAGTATGTGTAATTCTAATATGTATTGTTATTACTTTAACGTTAATATAATATATTTTTATAATTATATTTAAATTTTGTTGCATAGTGCTGGTCTTTTAAAATAGGGGACCAAACGGGAAGTTTGATCCTCCCAAATAAAAAAAGAACTTTCCAAAGCGAGTTCTGTGGAAACATAAACAGATACCTACTGTTTTTTTTTTGTTCATTACCGAATTTAGGACGTTTCATAAGGCGATCAAAAAGGTATCTGTCAAGCTTCTTGTGAGTGTCTATTTAGAATTCTAAGCAATGCTTAATGCTGCTTTTATTGTATTTTTTGTACTTGGATACATTCGAGCAATATTTTAGACTACAGTTTATAAATTACAACATTTGAGTTTTATCGAAATTAATAAACCGACTTCAATTCAAAGGTTATTTTTTTATATATATTTGTTACGCAATTTCACAATTTTGGGCCGATTTTTAAATTCAGAATCAAAAAACCAAATTTCTTTTCATAATCAACTTCGAAGGTAGTTCCATTGTCACTAAGTCAAGATGTGATCTCAGACAAAAATGAAGGATGCTCTCAAATTTTATAAGCCTATAACACGTGTTTCATCTTTTCTCAAGCTAATCAAGTATTTGCGTTTCATAGTTATTATCTCATGTTACTGAGCTAATGATAGAACTATATAGTCTTTGAATTTTAGGAGTTTGGGGATAATTCTTTGAATTACATAATCACGTATTGGCCTTTAAATAGTTGTATGCTTTCAATATATTTATTAGATGTTTGTATCGGGTTACAGAGATGTGCACCAGCAACTAATAAATGATATTACAACAGATATCTGCAAGTTAAAAAAAGTTGTATATTGCGCAAATATTTTTATGTCCTTTATCTCAGAACTCCTTCATTTTTGAACCGATTTGTATTTTTTTGTTCATTTGTAAGGGTTTACTTCCCGTTTATTCCCTTCAAAAATAGCACCCCTAATGTTGGAGAATTAAGAACTGTAGAATAAAGTTTATTGCAATTCATAACGATATGTCGGCGTATTAAAGTCTATTATACTTTGTTAAATTTAATTATTTTTAGGTTTATTATGAGCTTACAAATCGATTGTAGAGTTTGTCTCGAAGTACCTACTCTTTAATAAGCACAAGTCAAAAAGTTCAATAAGCCAATTGGTACTTATTCGTGATAACGGTGACAGGTTTTTTACGTCTACGAGTAATTACAAAACTTCCGAAGGAAATCGTTACACGCTTAAAAAACTAGGTGGTTTCTCAACATTGTTGGATCGTTACCAAACTGTTTGTATACTAAATTAAATATTGGGAAAATGCATTAAGGTTCTTGACTAATCTAATATAAACCGGTATATAGCTTCTACACTGGGGTATATTAAAGCTTTTGGTGGGCTTAATGTGCTTTATTAACAACCGCTCGCATTGGTGGAATTAAAAAGCGTTCTAAGAGAGTAACTTTCAGTCAGTTTTTTTTTGCATTTAGACAAAAATGTTGAACTCACACTTTTAATGCGACCGTGTCGCGTCGCCATATACTGATAAAATATTTGTGGCCACACTGGCCACCTCTACATGCGTTTAGGTAATCTATCAGTCGTTAGCAAAGAAAGCTGTCATAATATATATTAGTGGTTTTTAAAGATAACTCCTGCACTAGGAATACATCTTGTGTCGCAGGTGACTTTACAAACATTCATGAAATGGACACAACGGAACTTTCTACTATTGTTCACTTTTTATAGATCACTAACTGTACTTTTTATATAAATAAATATTATTATTATTAACTATTCCTGCGACTACGTACTTTCGGTATTTCGTAAATTTATAATTAATAATTTCAATATTCACGCCAGTTTCTTTTTCGTTTGAACTGAGATAATGACGACACGGAGGTATTAATTAGTTTTGGATGCATAAGCCAGAAGGAGCAGCGTACCCAATACATTAAGCCAATTTTTGCTACTGAGAAACTTTACCAAAAAGCATTTAATGACTTAATAGCCAATTGGAGTTAACTTAATGTGCACATTTGAAGGCATTTCATGAAGTATTAGAAATTTAAATGTTAGTGAAATGTGTTGTTAAAAAATTAGGTAATTTTGGGTCAAACTTAATACAGAGATATTTTTAGGGTTCCTCAAAAGGAAAAAAACGGCACTCTTATAGGATCACTGTGTTGTCCGTCTGTCTGTCAAGAATCTGTATCTCGGAAACGCGTCGAGGTATCGACTTGAAATTAAAACCATATACTAAGGTCTACAGTTCCCTTGAAGATGTAAAAAAAACACATATTTCGACACTCCCAAAGGAATCACAATTTATAGGGTACTTCCCGTTAACCTAGAAATATTAAATTTAGCAAGTAACATCGTCTTCTACTACAAGTACGGAGAAAAATCTAAAAATAATACGAGTAGATACATTTGTAATTAAATAATTAAAGATATAGTATTTTTTAAAGTACGTAATCAATCATCGAGGTACTTATATAACACAATAATATAAGTACTTAATTATAGGTTTTGGAAACTGAATTTCGAGAAAAGCTCGCCAAAAACTGTGTGACGAAACTTTCAGTGGGCGAGTCCGACTCGCACTTGTACGGATTTTTTAACTTTGAAATTGTCTTTTTGAAGTTACTCTCATGTAATAATTAGCAAATGCTGACATATAATCAAAACAGCAGAACCCGATAAGTAAAGGCAGTGGCCAAAGAGTAAAAGAAGACAAATATTTTGTTAGTATATTTTTAAACCCACTGAAGGGATTTTCACATCTGAATAAAGTATAAGTAGAGGCCAAATACAGGCTTCGTTTCATTTGTTGGCGTTCTGTTGACTCTCCTTTGGTGTTATGATAGAAGCACACGACGTATCTGTCTAAGGATTTGGAAACACACTCGGAAATTGATCCAATTGATGAAAAAGCAACTGATATTTAACACTCAAGATAATGTTTTCAATTGGAGGCAACTTTTTTTTGAGTGGCCTAGGACCTTTGGTAATGTCATTCACACGGTAAAAAGCATGAAAAACATGGTTGACATCAGTTGTCGAGCTGAATAATAAGAAATATTTTATTTTTAGTTGCTTCTATTTTTTGCCCATAATTTTTATTGATGGAAATAATTGAACTTTTGCATTGGGTACTGAATTTCTTGATTTTACTCTGTTCTCGCGGCAGGTAAGCCCAGGTACTGGCACCGGAAATTTTATATCTCTCCTCAGTCCCGGCACTGCAATCCGTAATCTTAATCTCGGAATTAACAATAAGAACAATATGAGGTATAAAAAGATACTTAGTACTGATTCAATATTTTCAAAACCGTGTAACCCTTCAAAAATTTATTTAATAAGCTAATTAAATATACAGCCTTGGCCAAAAGTATTAGGCACCCCAGAAAAATGCACAAATCATGTTTACTGATTGAACAATGAATAAATGCTTATCTTAGATGGCATGCCGGGGTCACAAATAGTGCTTAAAACTGCGCTTATGCCTTCGCTAACGAGTATTTTCGACAGCGACAGCGACTACAATGCGTTGGTTTACCGATAACAACATTGGCTTGTTTGATTGGCCAGCGCAGTCACCAGATTTGAACCCAATTGAACATCTTTGGAGCATTTTGAAGCGCAAGATTAAAGAGCATAGTATCACATCGAAAACGGCATTAAAAATGCGTTAGTACAAGAATGGCATGCCATTACAAGGGAGGATTGTACTAAGCTTGTACGCAACATGCCAGCTAGAATTAGTGCAGTAATTAAATCCAAAGGTGGACCGACTAGATTTTAAGCTTTTTCATTCTTTTTTGTGTAATTTAATGGTAATAAATCAATTCAAAAAGTATAAGTTGTTTTTTCCTTTATTTTAAGTAAAATGTAGGTTGCCTAATACTTTTGGCCAAGGCTGTATATATGTATATAGTAATACATGCAAAGCAAAATTTAAACCCATAGCTATCGTAAAAACATACTTGATTGAGTCGTGTAGTATCCAGCAGAGGGTCATGACACTAGAGATAACAATGGGATCCTCCATCTGAACAGAAGTGTATCTCGAGAAGAATATTGACAAAACGGTCTTGACTATCATCGTACGTGCACTCGAAGTTTGCACCAGCTCCACCAGAGGCATGAATGCGTCCTGCGTAATACTTTAGCTAAATAGATTTATTCACACTAAACATTTATAACTGAGGAGGTGAGTGATAGTTGTCAATTTACTTTATGTTCTGTTTATTTGTGTCATCATCAATCAACAACGATGAACGATGATCTATAATAAACGCCATTTTTTTTATGGCAGATTGTTACCGGAACTGGTGATTCATTTAAAATAAAAGTTCAAAGAAGAATATAGATAAACAAAACGTATGTTTATCAAGTAAAACGATAAATTCAATATAGGTATCTATGGTATATTTGATCGAAGCGTAACTAAAAACACTCTTGATCAAGTCACCTTTGTAACAATATATCTAAATTAAAATCGGTCCATCCTCCCAGTAACTACGATGCCACAGACGGGCATAATTATGTAGCCTAGCTTAGGACACCCGTCATTTTTGCGTTAGGGGTTTAAAATGTACCAAAATAATAGGATGCCAATGACAGGTATCTTTACACGGTTGGTGTCCCTTCCTAAAGATTCTGGTATTTGACAGCTTATTCTAGGGCTTTTAAAATTTTATTGCTTTCAAAAATTTTTGACATGGGTATGACAATATTAAGTGACAATAAATAATTTAATACTTATGCACTCCAAAACGTTACCCTGTAAAAAGTAAACAAAGTGCAAATGCATTATTAGTAACAATTTACATTATTATAACATAACATATAACTTTTTTACATAATAACGATATAGAAGAAACAAGAAAATACACTCACCATTAAGAACAGCTCCTCCACGTCAGGTATCGACCTGAGCATTCTTTTCATAACAAACTGAAAGTTCCCAGAGAATTCATCAACCGGTTTACCACATTTGACCATGTAGCGTATTGTACCACGCAGTATCACATTCACGTGTTGAGTCTAAACCATACGTAAAAAAAAACATTTTACAAAAGTATCGTTCGATAGAAAGCTAGTGTTAGTGGAAAAGTATTATGTGCGATCAGTATCTGTAAGTGTAGTTGGAAGGTAGGAAGGTAAGTATGGAAGTAAAAACACTAGTTTGAGTATTTTTACTGTTAACACTGTCAATGACACCACCGGTAGTGTCAAGGGTTTTTCTATATATACACTGACGGACACATAAACTGCATCAAAGTTCAGGATTGCTTTCAAATTAATATTTTTATTGGGTGTGCAACCTTTTAAAATTTTTTGTTTAATCTAAAATGAGAATGCAATTTCAACCAACAATTTTATATTCATTTTCTTTCCTCCGATAGTGGCTCGACCGACTTTTATTCCTTAAATAATTTCCTATTAGGTACTTGGTGGTGTCATGGTATAAAAGAATAATAACTTTGACAATACCGGCGGTGTCATGGGGATCGATAATACCCTTGACACTACCGGTGGTGTCAGGGGGATTTAAACATATTCTTGACACTACCGGGGGTGTCATTGGGTGGTATCACGAGCGCGTGACGAAAATCAAACAGGTTCTAAGAGATATTTTGTTGTTTATTCTCTACTAGCTTTCGTATGCGGCTCCGTTCGCGTAGAAGTTATTTTTTCTAGTTCCTAGGGAACTGTTTATTTTTCTTTCTTTCGAATAAATTAATTTTCACATTTAAAATATAACCTAGAAATCAGGATCTCCTAGCACGCTTCTTACACGATAAATTCGCATAATATCTAGTGTGTAAGGATATCGCAGGCAAACATTAATAGGAACATTGAATGTTTTTCAAAAATACTTTAAATATTTACCGATAAATGAGTACATGCGAATTGTAGCCAAGGTTCTAAAACTTGCAAAAAGTGATGCGTTGACTTCAAGGAGCTGGCGATTTTCCACCAAGTCTGTATAAGCGACTCCGACGCGTTTTGCCTAAAGTTCTCGCCCTTACACAAATGTTCTCCAAGTGATGTTAGTATTTCATTTATCATAACTGCAACAAAAACGTGAATACTAACTATTTATACAAAAAAGTAAGACTTTGGTGATAGAGAATTAGTTAACAGCAAGAAGGAATACAGCATTAGGTTTTATTATATTAAATACAAGGTGTAAGGGACATCGTACCGAATACTGAAATAGTGTTTTCAGACCATGATTCTGAGTCGAAAATCATTGAAATTTTCTGCCGGAAAATTCATCAATTATTTTTTTTCATTTAAAATTGTTCTGGTTAAAAATGATGACAAATGATATCGCAATGAGTAGACAGAACATTTTAACGAAAACAATTGAATAAATACCAAAAAACTGCAATGTAATTAATAAAACAGCCGAAGCGCGCGGGGCCTCGCCTCTGGCCGCCATTTTGTATTAGTATGCGTAGACTGTTTGCGCGGAATACACATGTAGTTCTTACTTTTTTGCGATACCTACGGGGAATGACCTTAAATATTGACAGCTGATTGCATAAAAAGTTTAATTTTTCAGCAGAAAATTCCAATGATTTTCGACTTAGAATGATGGTCTGAATACACTATTTGAGTATTCGTTACGACGTCCCTTACACCGTGTATATTTTGATATTTATAACAATAATTGTAACATCTAGATACCCATTTTCTCAGCCTTGCTTTGAACCACCTCCATAATTCTTGCCGCTTGGTTTTTTACACTGGTCGTATCAAAGGAGGAAACGAGACAACACAGGAACAGTTCACTAAAATAAAATGTTACAAAAATGTTAATTACATTCAAGAATTAGAAACGCGATTTGTTTCAATCTTAACTTCACATACTTGTTTTCAATTTGTTCACATTTTAGGAGGAGCTTGTCAAAAAGATCGCTTTTACATTTTTTAGAGTTCAATGTTCCAAGCAGCAGCCAATCAATTGCAGGCACATATAGATTCAAATATTTATCTTGTGTAAGTAATTGTGATTCATACTTTTTCCTCATTGATGTCTGAAAAATCTGTTAACAAAATATACAATGTTCAGTAAAGGTTAGGTTCCCACTTAGCAATTATTACATAAATTAGCTATTTTAGTCAGTTGATTAAATGGAAAATAAATAGCGTATTCTAAAGCGTATTATAAAATATATAGCATAGAATATTACTATGCTATTTATTTTCATTTTTACCATAATGCAAGGAATGATGATGATCTTTTATTTAACATTAGTGACGTAATAAAGTCTACGCTTTTGTGAATAACTATTTTACTTTAACTTATACTTTCTTATAGCGTGAGTTAAGCACAACATGACTACTTTGCATCGAGTTCTGCCGCTACTGCGCCACCTACAACTACGCCTTTTTTGATGGCGTTCCCACTGCCGCGGAGTGCAAAGAAGTAAAAGAGAGAAAAAGAGAAGAACTCCTACATTCTCATATTAAAAAGTGCTGGCGGCATTAGCCCATCCCCTTGATCCTTAAGTTCCTTGCAAAAATGTGCTTACAGACCTGTTACAGACCAAAAAGGCCTGTTCAAGAGAATAAATAGAGTATAGAAGTAGACAAGTCAATAATGGGTGGTTATCATGTCTACAAATTTCTACAAGTGTAGTACCTGAACTGGCAGGCATCAACCCGAATTATATCCGCTAAAGCGCTTTAAGCATCATGCACATCTAATAATATGAAATAAAAAAATAATAATACATGTACCTGTTGATATTCTTCAAGAAATTCCTTTAAGTTGTCATAGAAGTAGACTTCGCTCTCTTTACCAAGCAGTTTGGAAGCAGTATAACACAAATATACTCTCAAATACAGCGACACTAATGAATTTCCTATTCCTCTTATCATTATACTGAGCCTCGATATTGCAAGTTTAATTTCCTCTTTAGAAATGAATACGTAACATTTTAACAAAGCCATTTCCATGTACAATCGAGGTAATAATTCTCGGATAGAAGCCATTTTGTACATCCAATTTTGACACGTTTCCTTAGCTGACTCCGGCACCGATTTTGGATCAATATTATGAATATTTTTGGAATTATTCAGTCTGAAAGGAAATATAACTGTCATTTCTTAAGTATTTGCTGTGTATGACACTAATAGATTTACAGGACATTATATTTATTATCTATCCGTTTAGTTTTTAAAATATTACTAGCTGGTACCCGCGACTCCGTTCGCGTGGGATTTGAAAGGCACTGCCTTAGTGGGTTCGATGCCCGGACCCGGCAAAATTTTAAAGGGTTTTTCTGAGAGGAAAAACGGTCAGGTACGAGTCGAATTCGTGCGCCGAGGGTTCCGTACCTACCCAGATTTTAAGTAGATTTTCGCGAAAATTTGTAGGTACCAAAATTTATCTTAATTTTCAACGTTTTTCTATGGAATTATTACTTTACTTGTGCTGTAAGACGTTTCTATTTGCCAAATTTCGTTATTCTAGGTCAACGGGTACTTCTGGTTGACCTAGTATTGTCAATTTTGGTTAAAAGCAAGATCTTACAGCACAAGCAAAGAGAAAATTCTAAAAAATAAAAAAATTGAAAATGAAGGTAAATTTTGGTACTTACAAGTTTTCGCGAAAATCGAAATTTGCCCCTCTTGCCCACTCAGGCACTTAAATGATAAATGATATTTATTTCGGTAAGTAAATCTTTTCAGATATTTTTACAAGTCGGACTTTATAGCTAGAAGGAGCCGGCATTTCCTAAGACTCACTCTGGGAAGAAACGCCGAAACAAACCACAGAGGTGTCTTTTTTTTTTAAGTCCGTAAACAAAGTTAAATAAAACTGTGCGAGTACAGTATAGGGTCTGGATAGGCCTTTTGAGGAAAGGAGCATAGTTTTGAGTCAGCCTGTCCATACAGACGGCATACAGGCCCCAGCCATCGTGTAGCCTAACCGATATTGGTCAAGATCAACGACCCGAAGCATGACACTACCGCCAGCAGGACATTTGGGTAGGCCGTGGTAACACTCAAAACCACCAGAAAGATAATAAAATATGAATTAACATTACAAGCCTACACTATACTCACATTTATATACTTACAAAAAAAAAAATACTATACAATTCAAAGTCAACGAAAAATAAAATACGAAAACAAAATACGAAATACACCAAAAAAATAATAATTAAATGTCCATCACTTTCAAACTTAACAACAAAGATGTCTACGTAAATGTGGGAGTGAGCAGCATCAATCCCAAGCAAATTTGTCGTCTAAATAGTCTGTAATAGTGTAGTAAGCCTTTTCACATAGTTTTAGCTTTACTAAAGACTTAAATTTGCTAATACTTAATTCATAGAATTTGCTTGGCATTTATTGTAAAATCGCACACCCTGACAACGAAAAGACTTGCTTACTTTTTGTAGTCTAGTGGTTGGTAACACGAGTTTATCTTTATTTCTAGTGTTTATTTTATGCATGTCGCTAAACTTTGTGAATAAATGATTATTTTTCTTTACATACACTAAGTTTTCATATATGTATTGAGATGCGACTGTCATGATACCAATTTCTTTAAAGTTATCCCTCAGTGACTGCCTATAACTGAGATTATAAATTGCACGAATAGCTCTCTTTTGCAACACAAAGATACTTTGAATGTCAGCAGCATTTCCCCACAACAAAATACCGTATGACATTACACTATGAAAATAGCTAAAATACACCAGTCTAGCTGTTTCTACATTGACGAATTTTGTAAACCGCGTATGCTGCAGAGCTGAGTCTATTCGACAATCCGTCAATGTGTGGGCCCCATTGCAATTTAGAGTCTAGTGTTATACCTAAAAACTTGGTGGTGTCCACAAGATCCAACTCCTTTCCATTTATTAGAACATTGGTCTTTACCTGCGTAACATTAGGTGTAAAAAATCTAATACATTTCATTTTATTCTCGTTTAAAAGTAAATTATTAACATTAAACCAGTTCACCTTAGAGATAGTGCTATTCACGTCATCAGTTACTGATTGCTGTTAAGTTTAAATAAAAGTGAAGTGTCATCCGCAAATAGTACTATCTCCTGATTATCATTTATCACATTAGGTAGGTCATTTATGTAAACAAGAAATAAAAATGGGCCGAGATTTGAGCCCTGCGGAACCCCCATAGTGACCAGAGACCCCAAGGATCTCTGTCCATTAACTTCCACTCTCTGGATCCTATTACCCAAATAAGAGATAAGAAGATCCAAAGCAGTGTTCCTAATTCCAAAGTAATGCAATTTCCTGATTAATGTTTCATGAAAAACGCAGTCGAATGCTTTAGATAAATCACAATAAACACCCAGGGCATCCTGTTTATCCTCCCAGGCGCTAAATATATTTTCCAAAAATTCAACACCGGCATCACTTGTCGAGCGACCTCTTCTGAATCCAAACTGTTTCCTGTGTAGAATTTTGCTTGCACTAAAGTGAGTTTGTAGCTGATCCAGTATAATCTTCTCAAAAATTTTGCTGAAAGTAGGCAACACTGAAATTGGTCTATAATTTGTAGGATCAGACGTTGATTTTTATACACCTAATAGGGACCATAGACCTAAGTATCTGGTATAAATTTTAACTTGCTAGGCCTACCCGTTGATCTTATAAGGGTTCCTTTTTTACCTTTTAAGGTACGGAACCCTAAAAATAGCATAAGTTATTGCTTATGTAGACAGCTACCTGGTAGTAAAATATTATCGAAATTGGTCCAGTCCGTTTAGGAGATTATCCGGAACAAACAGACAGACAAAAGAATTTAAACTTAAAAAGTTAAATTTAAACTATTATTTTGACATTACAAACAGACACTTCAATTTTATTTATTTGTATATATTACTCCACATCACCTCATTAGTAGTATCTACATTGCACCGTGCGAAGACGGAGCGGATCGCTAGTTTATTAATATAATGTTTGATATTTACCCGAAACTCTTTTCTTTCAGACGATCAAACACCAAAGTTCCAAAAGTGTCTAATATATCAGTAATTAAAATAAATTTACTAGGATAAAACTGCATTACACTGATGTCAGATAGTAATTTTGAGCACTGGATACCTATTTTAAATGCCTTTACCCTTTGTTCTGACCCCCACGCCTGAAAATAAAGAGGGGTTAAATAAATTAATTGGGTATTTTTCCATTTAATATGAGGATAAATGAGCAGAAGATGGGGGACCGCAGGCAATAGACACCTATAACTGAAGAATTACAAGTACGTTTTTACCTCCCCCAAAATTAGGTTATTAGGCTATAACCCGGCAATCTCGTGCGAGACCGTCCTGCGGGGTGACAGACAGTGGCGGGGGCGAGGTAGCGCGTCATTCTAGCACACGGCTACACACGATTCCCTTCCCCGCTACACCACCCGCTACCCGCTGACATCTTGAGTACCCCGTCCCCGCCACCGTCTGTCACCCCGCAGGACGGTCGCGCACGACGTTGATGAACTATAGTACTTGGTGAAAAGCAACGAAAAAATTGCTAAACACCGGTTTTCTCTGCTCCCCCACAGTCATATGCGTATTTATTTTTAACAATAAAATAATTTATAAATAAGTGTGTGCTCGTTAGGTGCGCAACATCTACAAAGCACTTTCTTAATAAGAAAGTTACAGACTTTAAAATTAAAAAATTTCATGATGAGAACTAACTGCTTTCAATTATTCATTATTTGAAAAGTAGGAAAATATACGGAAAAAAATTAGATTTAAACTTTCTCATGTAGTCTTTAATTATTGAGTAGAATTTAAAAGAAGACTGGGCTAAATTGGGGGTACATAATAATGTTCTATCATTACATTATTTTCTACCGCCATACATGTAATTCTGAAGAGGTGACAACCAGAGTGAAACACCTAGTTCTCGCTATAAATGCTTGTTTTAAAGAGCATAGTTACCTTTTTAATTTCATCATTCAGCATGTTGATATTCGTGACAAATTCTTGTTGACTTAATCCCATTGTTTTCCTAACTGAACTTTCATCAAAGTAATCCAACTGTTCCAGCCTATGTTTTACCTTTTCATTCAAATTAGAAACCTGTCTGATAAGGGCTGAAAATGAACTAACTTAAAATAAAACGAAAAAAAAAAGAATGAATTAGTATTTTCATAAGAAACTATAAGAATGAAAACAATTGCATATGATGTATTATTGAAATTTTTGAGGGTTGGTCATTGGATGCTATGTAACTGCATAGGTGAAGTGGATTGTTAAAGGGGCACCTTGATTTAATCTAAGTACCAACATCCGTTTTTTCAACTAATTCAGAACTTACAGGATACACTTACCCTTTTCTCCGCCTGGTAGATAGCTGCTCACAATTGTTAACTTTTCGCCAGTTGTGTATTTGTTTAGAATAGCTACACGTTTTGCACTCCATGCTTTGCTGTAGTTTATCCCTTCTATCTGTACTACTTCCAAAGGGTTGGTATCAAGTATCTAAAAAGTCAGGATCATTATGTTAGAAAGTTTTACTAAATCATTACAGATACAATCAAATCAATGGTTTAGCTATGGGTCAACTCAACAGCTCAAGCTGACACAAGTAAACTAAATTGATTTAATGTGAAGTAGTAGTCAAGTAATGTGAGTCCTAACATGGAGTTAGATGTCGGAAGTGTGGGAGGGACATAAGAGAAGCAAATTGCGGAGCGAAGATGTCTGTAGTGTATAGACGACAATAAACGGAAGTACGATGCAAGGTAAGTAGGTGAGGATGGAGAGATGAGGAATGAAAATAAAGAGGTCAGAGCTCACAGGCAGGCTGATTGCGGTGCGGGCTAATCATATGTTTGCTGCATATAATATACTAGCTGATTGACAAAACAAAACAGATTGCTGTTATTGTGTGTCTTGATCTATGCCTTAAGAGTGTACATTAGAGATAGTTTCGAAAAATTAAAAGAATTTTATGAAATAAAGATACTTTGACTAAATCACTGTGTTTATTTTCAAACCCACATTTCCCATATCACACAGAATATTGACTTGACAAGTTCTTAGATTTCTCCATAAAAACCAGGGCCCGTGAGCATCGCAATGCATTACAGTACATGGCATGTTTTTTGTGACATTCATAAACAATCTACAAAAACGAAAAGGTGATGACACATCAATCTACCTGAAAGTAGATTGATGTGTCCAGGGTAGTATAGTAAAGTGTTGCGTTTGTGTGCATGTAAAATATTAATGTGGGTGTTCAATCTCAAGTTCTCACGCTTGGGGACTACAGTCTTAAAGGCTTCTATCATTCATTACCATCAAAACAATTCATTAGCATCTCTTATAATATTAAAAATATATTGCTTTAAGGTTTGTTTCTGATGATCTCAATGTCTCTGAACTAACTTCAGATCCTTTTGATATTGCTAATAATTATGAACTATATGATTCATTACTCACTTCATCTAGATTCATGCGTTCAAATCGCAATAGGGGGTCTACTTCTTCAAATCCGGAACTCCATTTATTAATGTGGTCAACAATACTAATGCTGGAAGATTGTTTCTAAAAAATAAATGTTATATGGTAAATTAATTATGTATTGTGAATGTAATTATTAAAAGTCGCACTAACAGTATTTTTACTCACTATGGAAATCGTGTTTATTTTTAGAGGATAGCTAGTAACTTCAAAGCTAGGACTGACATGTTTCATACAAGTTTTCTTGGCGGAAGTCCTGAAATAATATTCAGAAATTAGACATTTTTAAATAGTTAGTGCTTCCATATTCTTGTAAACAAAATCTAGCTTTGAACAAATACGAAATAATCTATTAATTTTTTTGTATTTATTTACAAAATAACAGCAATAACAAAAAGTTTAGACAATAATTCACCATTCGTAAACTGGCATTATTATTGTGTTAATTGAATCCCTGGATAATTTATTTAACACTCTTGAACCAAGTACCAAAATCGCTATGAATAGAATAATATAACTAATACAAAATCCTTATACACTTCAGGTCTCAGTATAATCATTAAATCTTGTTTGTAATCAAACCCGTTTTTTTTTTTTTTTGGAATTTAATGACCTGGTAACAAAGACCTTTACGTCAAGTCTTATTTTATTTGAAAAAACATTGCACTTTCACTTTACTTCATTTTAAATTGTTTTGATAGTGTTTTTAATATATTTATATATTGGTTTGTAAGTTGTTTTGTCTTTTAATAACTGTTCTAGTGGCGGCGGGCGGGATGAATTAATACACTTAATTTTCACATCACTGAGTTCACTAGCCAACACAAATCTGTCAAGCAAGAATTTTTGACAGTCAAAAATCAGATGTTCCATCTTCGATCAATAATAGTACTATTATTGATCGAAGTGTTCCATGGTTCCTTCTTGGGATTCGCAATATGGGAATGTATTGTCTGTAATAATGCCAAGTCTAGAAAGGTGCGACGGTGCAGTATTATGGCCAAAGCGCAATCTTTTTATCGTAGTTATAAAGTCTCGGCTGGCTTCTTTCAATCTATTGTACCAGGGTGTAACAGGCAATCTTTCTTGAATATTTCCATACCACTTTCCTTTTATGTCTTGGTCTTTCTTCCACATTTCTAGCCATAACCTACATACATTCTCATTTATAATTTGCATAAAATCAGTCATAGGAATTTCCATTGCATTTCTAACATCAACAGCATTATTACCTTCATATGCAGTTTTATCAACTACTAGCTGACCCGCGCAACTTCGTCTGCGTCTCTCAATAGTAATAATTTTTCTCCGTTTTTGAAACATTCTTCATTGGTGCTCCGCTCCTATTGGTCTTATCGTGATGATATATAGCCTATAGCCTTCCTCGATAAATGGGCTATCTAACACTGAAAGAATTTTTTAAATCGGACCAGTAGTTCCTGAGATTAGCGCGTTTAAACAAACAAACAAACAAACTCTTCAGCTTTATAATATTAGTATAGATTTCATTGCCCAAGATACCTCGGTGAGAAGGTACCCATAGCAAATAAATTTTTATGTGCTTAAGGTAATATTGATAAATTATTTCTTTGATAAAACACAGAATATAATTTGACCTAAATGAGAGTGTAAGGTTAGTTAAGGCTTTTATCAAACTCATTGAATCAGAAACAATCAAAAAGTATTTATAATTGTTAATTTGGCGAATATGTAATAAAGCCTGATAAACCTCATATGCCTCAGCTGTAAATATAGTACATGTATTGTGCAGATCAAAGCTTTGAGAGAATTTTGTATGTGGATCATAAATAGCGGAACGTACATAATCATTCCCCTTACTGCTATCAGTGTAAATAATATAATGATTATTATTATCTGCCAAAAACTGTAGCATATCTGAATTATTATTAATTAGATTTTGTAATACTTTGATGGGATATGAAATACACTGATAAGAGAAAGAATAACATGGCCATGGGCACTGTTTTCTAATCCCCAAATAAAATTGGGAAAAGGGTAGGCAGATGATGAGCACTGTTTTCTAATATGAGTAAAAGTATTCTGTATTTCTAGCAATATTTTGGACAATGTTGGAGATTTGCCATTCAAAAGATTGTCTCCTGTTGTTAGAGGCCCAGGAGTTCCACTTACAGAAGTTGCAATTTTGTTAATAATTCCTCCGTGATTTGCAGCAATTAATTTAAGACAAAATCTCTCTGCAAGTAGAATGCGTCTCAAAATTAAGAAAATAGTGTGCAATGACGAAACATATTGTTTTGAAATTTTATTATTAAGCAATAAGCATTACATTACATTGTAATTACATCATCATCAAGAGCCTTTACATAGGCCTCTCCTTAGAAAGGAGGTTTTGGCCTACTATACCACGCTGGCCAGACGGGTTGGTATAGGGTTTGTGTCAAATTTTCCTTCTCTCAACAGTGTTGTTGCCCTGCTTAATTTGGCCCCTTAGTCGCTTCTTACGACACCCACGGGATGAATAGGGGTGGTGACACTCTGCATTCTTAATCCGTCACCACACGGACATTATATTGATTGTCGAAATAGCGCTAGCGTAACTCGTCAAAAAAAATCATCAGGCTGCGATCGCCCACAAATTATTATATATCCTATTGCCTACCGCAGAAATTAATCTGCCACCAGAGGTCCTTACCGTCTGCAAAGCCGTCTTAGACTATGCCGGGGCCCCGGGTACAGAATAATTTGGGGCCCCGGAAACACATTAACTTGGGGCCCCGTTGGCTGTAAAATAAAATGAATGACAAAAATATTGTTAGCTATGATCTTTTACTTATTATAGTTTATTGGCAAATATCAAATATACACACAATTATAGATAATATTAAATAGGTACATATAGATACATTATAGGTATTACAGATGTAAATAAAGGTATTAATTAGATAAGGATGCTTGAATGGATGGTTTGAATCGGTTACGATTATGACAGTGATTTATTTCACTATTTCTGTTGTGCAAAATCTTCTTGTGTCTTATGTACAATTAATACGATTATATACAATCTATGCACATAATTGACAAATAAGTTAGTCGCTCTTGTAACACAGTTGTTTATAAATAATTTTTCAATAGGAGCGTTGTTTTAGATTTTTGTCGATGACAATAAAAATTTAAATTTAACTTTTTAAAGGTTAAAAACGCTCTCCTGTATTTTCATTTTCAAGATAACACAGTATTGAAGCCAAGACGTCAAATGTATTTATTAGTTATTACGTAGTTTCATCCCCAAATGTATTGTTTTAACGTTCTTTTACAAACTTAAAAATAAATTTGTTGTTGATTCGATTGATCTACAAATACATACATTAAAGAACGCAATTAATATAAGTTGTCAATAGAGATTTTTGTTTTCTCTCGTTCACAACCAGGTTACTGTGGCTTTTTTTACTCTCTATACCTAAAAGAAGTAACTTATATTCACCTGAATAATAAGTATGATTAATTTATTAGTCAAGAAACGTTCTATACCTTACATATCACCAAAGTATTGATACGATTGATTTATTCGGCAATAATGGCTAATACAATTAATAATTTCGTAAATTTCAAAGAAGAACTAAAAGAAAACGAATCTATAAAACTCATATTCAGATAAACAAAATGGATCATATCGTTTTTTGTAACATTTTCTTATTCTTGGTGGTTCTTCATTCCAAATTTCATCAAAAATATCGAAATATTATAAAGAATAAATGGTTTTCAAACTTTAACATAATGTTAGTAACACCTTCGAATACTGCCAGTCGTTTTTGTAAAACGGCGGTAACTATCCATTGTTTACACACTGATTATTACTTACAAATAATCAGTGTGTGTATAAAGCCTATTCACAACCTATACATTGTACAACTATACATTTGTTAAACAGATGTGTATCTTAATTTTATTAATAAGGCTGTCAAAATAAACAAAAGTTATACCAAAAAACTGTCAAAAAGCTCGTAAAAAGAATTGTCATCCGTCTGTCACGAGTCAAAAGACACTTGTCAAATTCGAAATTTAATGTTTTGTTAAGTATCAGTAGCGGTTTTTGTTCGCTTTAGGCCCAAAGATATACCAAAGTTAAAGCAGTTTTCTCTAAACTGCAGTCATTTAAAATTTAATTTTATAAATTATAATATTATTCCTTAGGAAGTCTATCCGAAAATATTTGGTTCATCACTACTGGAATTCTTCAACAATTAAAAACCAAATCTGGATAACCCCTTAAGCTATAAAAATAAGAAAACTGAAAAATATGTAGAGGTGAGAAATAATGAACACATACCCTTACATTATATATTTATTTAAAAAAGCCTGTGAATACAAAAAAAATCCAAGTATTTTTATATACCAAACAATAAGTTCTTGGATTTGGTCATTATATTTTGGTCCTTTGAGCCGGAAAACCCTGGTTTTAATAAACCTTAACCTATCTAGTTGTTTTACTCAATTTTTTTTTTCTTTATCTGGACATAAACCTGTTTTGAAGTGTGCTTTATTACTGTTTTTTATAAATATTGCAAGTGTGCATATATGAAAAATATACTGAAGTATTTAATATATTTTCAAAGCTTGTTTTTCATTGAATGCATTTGTTATGGATCATTTTAATTTCAATACTTATAATTTCTTGAAGAACATAATATCGACTTTTAGTCTTAATACTGCAACAAGTATATTAGAATTGTAATAAATTATTAACAAACTTTACTTAACCTATTTTTAAATATCACACATTGTACATATATTTGAAATGGAATCATAGATAAAACATACTACACTAAATACAACTAACATCTGTGATGTTCTATAAAATTACATTTTGCTATAAAATTTGCAATATTTGAGATTCATAAATTCGATTTCAGTAGATTGATAGGATTCTGACCTGATTTTAAAGGCACCTTTTCTTTATCTATATGTTTCATATAAGCAAGAAAACATGTCCAAATTAAACTACACACACTAATAAAAGGAACCCTGTTTCTTGGTGGTATAAGGCAGAAGTTGATCATTGCAACAGCAGGCCAAACGGAGGCGCCCACCTTAAATTAAAGAAGAAAATTATATTAGGATATATTTCCAAAATGTGATAGTAATATGTGCACTTAACCTTGGTTATAAATTTTGTATTATTTCTTTCACACTATTTTAGAAGTCATATAAAATAGGTAGTTATTATATGTATAAGGATGTATTGTGTTAGAGGTTACCTTCAATTTTGATGTCTAAAATCTATATAATATATATTTAATTACTCATAACTTACTTACTTACAAAAAATACTTTCAGTAATTTTAATGGTTCTAATATATTCTAAGTATCCAAGTAGTTAAAACTCAACAAGTATCAGTACAGTTCTTGACTTAAATTAAAGATACTTATTACTGAACTATATTATAAAGCAGTAAAGTTTGGGAGTTATATTCGAGGTAATCTCTAGTATATATAACACATACACTCACTCAGGCACACATACACATGCATGCATATATAAATATCCACACTTGAACAGTGTTGACAACATTACTGTAACTTTATATACAACATACTGTAATATTGGAGGGCATGGAGCTCTAAAATACAGGCCAAGGCTTAGTTTAGACTTCAGATCGCCCACAAAATACCAATTATGTCAAATATTTGTCAACTGAGATATTAAGACTTGTGTAATTTGTGGAGTTTTTTTTTTATTTTTTATTATTATATTATCTCTAATTACTATACACAACATTACCCATTTACTAACATTTATTACATAGACCTCACCTTATATGTAGGCAAAAATTTTGCTTCTACCTCGGCTACAGCTTCATGGAAAGGCTTTGATTCCAGTAAACTCATCACAAAATAAAAACTGCACATGGCAAATGGAGTGTAGGTAAGAGTTTCAACAAATGTCTAAAAAATAAAAAAAAACATTACATAAATACACATATTTTGAAGATCAATAATATTTTTCAGAAGTGGACTTGCCCTGCTGGGTATGATGTAGATGAGTACAGAATGGAAATGAAGGTTAAATTAAAATACTGAAGTCTTCATGATTCCATATTATAGGCATAAAAACAAAAACTGGTTTCTCATTCATTATTAATAATAACTTTACACATCTCACACAAATTACATAAGATGAGATCAGACTGCTGTAGTCTGATTCAACTTGTATATTTCTAAATATATGTGCATATTATATAATACATACATACATACATACATATAATAACATTGTTGATAAGTGCAAAAAGGATGAATAACATTAAAGAAACAATCAAATACCTACAAGTCTCCAATGTCTCCAGGATCTTATTATCAGATCTTGATCTGATTAATATAAGACCAAATAGAAAGTATACTCTTTCAAACAACAACATACTGTTATAGCCATAAATGAAATAAGAAGATTCCTGAAGAACCTCCTCCCTTTTTGTCAGTTCTAGGATTTATCAGTACAAAACATATAAGCACTTATCAGATATTGTTTTGTAATCAGATTTATCAATCATAATAGCAAAATGTATGTTTAGTACTAATTGATAGTTATACCGCACCTTAATTATTCCTGCACGTATTGAGCTACCAGGCCACATTATATTGGCAATTGTTAACCAACTATATAATGTTGGTGCAACATAACAGCATCCATATAATCCATACCGAGCACTTCTCCAATAATCGTAAGTATCTGTATGAAAAGCAAAAATAATTATGTTTAATGAAAGCAAAAAACAAATGATGCAATTCATACCTTTTAAATTTGTAAACTTACCAAATCGTTTTCCTTCAAAGGTTTGTTGAATTAAACTAGAAGCTGGCCAAATTATGCTATAAGATGCCATACCCCTTAATAGAGGATACTTTCTAAATGCATTGTAGATCTTGCTGTAAGCACCCATTCTGTATCGTAAAAGAGTCAAAGAAGATAGACAAGTTCATAATTCCTTTAGAGTTTAAAACTGATATAAGGAAACGTCGTAGTACGACATTTCCTGGTAAAATGCCAATTTAATACCTATAAATAAGTAGCAAGCGCTTAATAATCGTAGTGCAAGGCCATGCTCGTCATACTCGTCAGAGTACAGTAATAATACTAGAATCATCCTTTCAGTATAGGCACTGTTTTGCACATGTTGAACACTGTAAAAACTTATGAATGAAAATGTCACGAATGTCATTTAAAGAAATGTCTTGATGATGTCATTGTCACGATAGGTCATGACTATGGCAGTAACTCCTTCCACAACAAATTATTATTATTGGTATTGGTTGTGGGCTTCGGTTGCCGCATTTAGACTCAAGAGTGTTCCTTTATGCGTCGAGGACTGGTTAGCTAGGTGAGCCAACCAAGCTCTTTCCAGAAGCGCAGAAGCCTCCTGGGGCGTTCACAGGCTTGTAGGAGCGATTTTGTATCAGGAATGATATTAGCCCGTTGTGTGGCCACTCCCTCGCATTCCAGGACTACGATGGCGGCCGTTTCTACTGCTTCCAGACATTTTTGACCAGACAGAAAGAGACCGCTGATGAGGATAGTGAGATCGTCTGCATAGCCTATTGTGAGGAATCTTCGGTCATTGAGTTGTGCCATGAGTTCATCCATAACGATCCACCCTTCTTTTTTTTTTCTGAGCGGAAATCCCCTCGGTGAAATACCACTTACCGGTGGCAATGTCGGACTCGAACCGACTTAAACCGCACGCCGTCTCAGGTACCAGTAGTCGTGGAACCAGGTGTACCCTAGAAAGAAAATCCCTGGTGCCCCGACGTACCTCGGACCATCTACGGCGGGTACACGACCCCCCCTGTGTGGGAACCCCCATGTTCCCTTTGTGGTTACATAAAGACGCGCGCGCTTCGCAACGCGCTCGCCGCCGCCCCGGTCTGCTTCTGCTAGGGTGATAGATGGCCTCACCTGTCAACCCCAGGCCTGTGCTTATGGAGGACGGAGATCGTTCTGCTACCTCCGGCCCTGAGTCGTCTGCGGTACCTGGCCCGTTCCCGAGCCTGGCGGGGATGTAAAAATGAGCCAGGCAGCCCCTGTAAATTTTTACAAGGTTTTCCAGTAGTATCACATCACACAATCTCAGTAGGCCTGGGAAGATACCATCTAGTCCTGGCGCCTTGAATGGCAGGAAGCTGTTAATTGCCCAACTTAATTTGTCACGGTTGACAACTTTGCGGGCCGTATCCCAGTCTGTCTCGTCTGGTGCTTTTTCCCATCTGTCTTCCCATGTTTCCATCACATCTGATATGCGACATCCAGGGAAGTGTGTTTTCAATAACAGCTCTGAGGCTTCCGAGTCTGTTTTTGTATACTCACCATCGGGCTTCTTCAGTGAGCAAGGATTGTGTTCGCCTCTACTACACCATATGTTTTTGCCTTTATTGGCCTGGTTGTTGTTCTCTATGTTAGTTCAGAAGTTTCTCCAGCACTCAGTTTTCCTGGTTCTGATTCTCTTCTTATATTGTTGTCGGGCCTGCGAATAGGCATCCCAATTTTGGTCTAGTCGGGAGTTTTTTGCTTTATTGAACACCTTTCTCACATTACGACGTAGTCTTTCCAGTTCCGGACCCCACCATTGGTGTTTGTTCTGTGGTCCGGTTCTGGGTGTAGAAAGCTTGCTACATTATACTAATCTGTGGTAGAAAGTGAGCATGTTTGTTCAAAGCAATCGTTAAGTGTCTGTGTAAGGTTAACAACATGACTGTCGATGTCCTTAACAGTCCCCGAAGCATTATGTTGAGTCAATGCTCCGCAGTTTCTCCGCAGTAAGATGCTTATAACGTTTTCGGTCCATCGTGCGGGGATTCGAAAGGGGGTTTGAATGTCCCTCTTTCGCTGTGATTACAAATCACAGCAATAGAGGGACATTAAAGATCGGAATCCTAATGCGAATAAAATTTTAAACTACTTTTTACCTAGTTGTTGAAGTGGTACTATATAGAATATCGAAAGATGGAACAGTACAAGTCTCCCTGTAGCTAAATACAAAAGACTCCCACATACTAAGTTAGTCCTCCCACATAATAAAGTTGCCCGTATTTAAATAGTTACATAATAAATTATTTTATTATTAATGTTTATCAGCTTTTGCATGACTTTTATATTAAAAACTGTTGAAGGTATATGAGAGCTGGAGACTCTTCTCTTCTATTAGGAAAAAGAACACTTCCCTTGTTTTGTATTTATTTATTGCTTTGCAGAGCATCGACCAACTCGGCCATCTTACCAATAGTTACGCTAGGGATGTGGTAGTGAGTGTGTGAACCTTATGAATGTTTTAATACAAAAATCGATACTCAACAAAAACAATATTTATGCAGCAAGCATCATCGAGAGCCAAAACAAACTTGTATTTGAGATCAAAACTTTCCTTAAGAAAGTTTTAAATTGGAGTCGATTTAATCTTATCTGCTTTAACACCAAGAACATACAGAACATACATTGCGCGTTCTTCATTAAAAAGATACCATTTTTCGTATCACTTTATCGCACCTCCCTAACCGCACAGTCAGCATTGGAATAGCTTCATTCTGCATTTGCTATCACTTGTAATGTGGGGATCGCTCCGAGTTATTGGCCGTACTTATACTGTTCGCATCTTTTCGGCCATCATCCAATGCGACGGAACTTGTATTTCCAGGCCGATACGACCTTTAAGCCTTCGAGAGCGTACTCCCATCTCAAAGGCCGGTAACGTACTCATGATTCTTTAAATTGTAGGTGGCTGTGAGCGGCGGTAGTTACTTACCATCAGGTGACTAGCCTTTCTTTCGTCATATCGTTAGTATCATTAAGGGATACAAAAAGAACCAAATATATATACTTGAACAACAAATCAACTCTACTCACTCCAAAATAAGGTTCACATATGAGGAGGTGGATCGTTCTCCATCTTGGGTGTGAAAGTAACATTGTGAGTACTTCAATATTACTCATAGTAATAGTACATACATTTACGTCTCATTAATCCTAAGTATAGATGTAAGACCCGGTTTAAAACCAATTAAAACAATCCGTTTAAAACGAAAAAAAACTTAATTTCATCAATCAACATTTTTTTCGATTTAAAACGGTTGGTATTGATGACTATGTTTTTATTAATTATAACTACATTTCTTGATTTTACCAAGGTAGGGATATGACGGAGTACCTATAAACTGTGTAAAAAAATATGTGTTATTAGTGTGATATACTGATATTGATTTACTTAGCGGGTTTAGTTCTAGTTGGTCCGTCCGATCAAGCGTAGGTATTACCTACCTAAGTTATAAAAACTCTATTGATAAGTTAAAAACTACGTATTGGTAAATAAACATTTTTTTCATTGTTTTCAAATGATATAAAAACTGAATCAACCTCTAACCTCTAATTACTCTTAAAGAGATTGGCACAAACACATCCAACCGTTTTTTCTGTCATACCCAAGCGCAGCCCACGAAAGTACTTCAGTAACACCAGCTTTCGCAAACCTCGGCAGAGAACTCCGGTTGCCCGCGGGTTTGATCACTGGGATACCCCCTGACGCCCCGCGCAGTATAACGGAGTACGCGAATGACTTGCGCAACAAGATGAATGAGATCTATGACCATGTCAGACAATCAGGTCAACAGATGTCTGAGAAGATGAAAACCCGTCATGACCGAAAAGTGAACAATAAAGGCTTCGAAGAAAATTCGCCAGTGTGGCTACAAAATCCAGTTCGCAGTAAAGGGAGATCTCCGAAGCTACAATACGGACCATACCGAGTGGTGGCGAAAATCAATGATGTCATCTACCGGATACAAAAGTGTCCAAGAGGCGCCCCAAAGATAATTCATGTGGATCGATTGGTGCGATATTATGGGACGGATAATGCACGGGACGAGCATGTCTTAGGGGAAGGCAGTGTTGCGCCACAGGATTAAATGGTTCGATTGTATGGAATGTGGAGGAATCTAATTAAAACGCAACATGACGTCAAGTGACCAAAATTTGCCCACATTGAAGTGTAAAACAGTTATTTTATTTTTGTAGGCGAGTTTTCAACCGTTTAAAACGATTTATTTGGAGTTAAAACTATAACATTTAATTTGAAAAGTTTTAAATCGGTTGTTTTACATCTATAATCCTGAGGCCCTGACATTCGTAATCTGCTACGACTTACGATATCTGTGACTTTGAATATTTGGAGCAACAGCTGGACCATGTTCAGAAGACGCATAAAAATACTGAATGTCAAGTAGCTCCACCCCCTTGACATTCCGTAAAAATACCGAATGTCAAGTGGGTGGAAGATAGACGTAAACGATAATGAAATGCAAGTATCCAGAGTATCCTCAATGCTTAAAGTCGTGACCTCATTGCAATACCTATTCATGGAGTATCGCGGACTAGTACCAAAGGAACCTTCCCTGGGTACCAGTCTACGATGGCTTATGACACAGAGTCTTTCTCCATATCTTTATCAGTACTATGAGTATCATGAATATGAATGAAAGGTGTAGAGGGAGTATCAATACAAATCATCAACAGCCTTTAATAGTCCACTGCTAGACATACGCCTCTCCTTAGAAAGAAGGTTTTGGCCAACTATATCACGCTAGCCAGACTGGTTGGTATAGGGTTTGTGTCAAGTTTTCCTTCTTTTTGCAATGCTGTTGTCCTGCGTAGTTTGCTTCCATCGTCGACTCTTTCGACACCCACGGGATGCATAGGGGTAGTGACATACTATGTACATATCTCTTAATCTGTGGGTAGTGACATTCCGTATTCTTAATCCGTCACCACATGGATAATCGAATCGATACTACAGTATTAATACTATATGATTAGGTACAAGGTTTAATAGGCAAGAAATATTGAAAACTTTAAATTTCTGTTTGAAATCTTATTTCTGTTCTGTATATTATATTTATTACATTGTTAGAAGGGTAAAATATTGAAGCTATTGATAATTTGAAACTAGTTGAACTAAAAATGTACTAATTACGGTATTATTGAATTTCATAATTCTCTAAATTTTAGCAATATAAATAAAATGTTTGCAAATGAAGATGATGAGGATACTTAATAATATTGCAATGTCCATAAAAAATATTATCTTATCTTGATGTTAGAGACATAAAATTGATGTAAATATTGATTTACATCAATTTTACCCCTCCCCTAGTACAGTCAGTTGTCACTAACTTATCCTTTTTTGCAACCCTATGTGACAGTCAGACAGATCACAGTATAAAGAAAGAAGATTGTTTCGGTTACTCTATGCGCGCAAGTTACACTTAGCCGATAGCCGAGTCTGGTATTGTTTTTAATTGTAAATTGTAGATTATAGTCCTATTTACTCTTAGCATACAGCAAGATGAAATAAGTTAGTGGAAAAGCAAAGCATCTGAATTAGACGATGTTCAAGCCAGTTTTCTTAGAAAGTAATTGAAATCTGAAGTCATGTTTTATCTATCTATTGGAAGTGCAATATATTAAAGCTTAACGAAAGATTGCGTTGTGTTACACGTAATATGCAAGAGTACATTTATTGAAGTGTAAAGGTCATAATGTCTAGCAATTCATTACTATTTTCTATCAATAATGAAGGCAAAGTTTACGCTTTATCAACAAGTGGATCATGTTGGAGAGAATTTATGTATTTGGGTTTGGAATTTAAAACTTTATCAGCTGTACCTCATCATTTATGGGCTGTGGGGGGAGATCGACAAATCTATTTACATGTGCATGGTTTAGAAATACCTATTCGCGTTAGAGAAGAATCCTATGAAAATGAGAGATGGTTGCCATTGGAAGGATTTAGTGGAAGGTTACTCCCTACAGACAGATACCACTTTTCATCACAAGATGGCACAAAGGATAGATCAATTGATAGAATTAGGCTTCCCTCTATGGCTTGGCAGTGGGAAGGTGATTGGCAATTGGAACTCACTTTAGATGGACAACCATTGGATCATGATGGGTGGACATATGCTGTCGATTTCCCAGCACAGTTTGGCTCTAATAAACAGTGGAAGTCTTGTGTGAGAAGACGAAAATGGATAAGGTACAGAAAATTTAGTGCTATGAATTCATGGTGTGCCATTGCTCCATTACACAAAGACCCAACACAGGAACCATTTATAGATGTTAGTATTGGTGGAATTCAGATTCCCTATGCTTCTCCAGGAACTTTATCAGTATGGGCTATTACTTCCCATGGCCGTGTTATGTATAGGGCTGGTGTCAGTACTACATCCCCTGAGGGATTGAAGTGGATTAACATAAGTATTCCTCCTAATTGTGATATAAAACAAATTTCAGTTGGTCCTACTGGATTGGTGTGGGCCCTTTTATGGACAGGGAGAGCAATAGTTAGAAAAGGGATCACTAAAGACTGTCCTACAGGTGAAGGTTGGATGGAAGTTAAATCTCCCAATGAAACTAAATTGATTTCTCTCTCTGTAGGATACAATGCTGTATGGGCTGTTAGCTCAGACACTCGTGTGTGGTTCAGAAAAGGTGTGGAGGGCAATGGAGCTGGTGTATCAGAGTCTGCTGCGTTAGGAAGTGGATGGCTTGAAATTACGGGAAATATGAGCCACATATCTGTCGGTATTAATGATCAAGTATTTGCTATTGGAGATTCTGATAAAAGTATTTATTGGCGCAGTGGTATAACACCTGCAGAACAAACTGGGAAAAGGTGGCGAAGAGTGCAAGCAAACATGCAACTGAGTCGTACCTCTAGTTCAGCCAGTGTAGTGTCATCTAATTCTAATGCCAAACATCATAGTCTTAGCATGTTGAATGAATCTACAACAGAGCGCAAGTCACACATTAATTTACATAATTCATGGGAAGAATCACATTCAGCCCCTATTGAACACACCTTGCCTATTAAGCCAAAAGAAGCAAATAAAAAGAGAAATGAAAATACTGAGAATATAGACTTAACAGGCAAGAGTTATGAAACAACATTAAAAAATCCTCGGGCTTGGAGCCCAGTAAGGAGTGTTGGCTCTGTTGTAGGAATGGAAGCACAACCAGATAGTGACAGCAGTGTTTTTGATGTAGACTCTGGAATGTTTTTTGATGACGAAGTTAGTCAAACTGCTTGGGGTACCTGTGAAACAATGTGGGCTTTTGTAGAAGCTGGAGCTTGTTCTGTAGATGTAATGCAAATTCCCCATTGGTTCTCTGACTCTCAGAATGCATTCAATATGGACCTTACTTCTAAGTGGAGAATTGAAGTATTGGATAGGCTCAAAAATAGAAATAGCAATCAGAAGTTGGATCTCTCCATTTATGGTGTGGCGGTTGAAGAAAAGGGCTGGACAAGAAGCTGTGAAGCAAGGCTTATAAATGGAATTCATACCAGTGAAGATTGTATATTATCATTATATTGGCACGATTTGGAAAATATAGGCACATTGTCAGTTTTTCAACCTGATGGTACAATCAATTTTATTTTAAATCTTGGTGAAGTAACAAGTGTTATTAATACATCGGAACCTGGGTGTCCTAGATTAACTTTGTCTTTTCCACATCTGAACAAAATTTCTATTAAAATACAATTTATATCAGAAATGGAACAAGAAGAATGGCAAAATGTTTTAGTAGATATCACTTCTCAAATTAATGGACTTACTGGCAAACCATCAGCCAACTCAGTATGGGCAATTTCTAACTCTGGAGATGTCCTTAACTGGGACCCAATGCCAGCTAAGCTTAATACTTCAAAAAATGGTAGATACACTAAAGAATTTCAAGTTTTTGGCAAGGACATTATGTCTGGTGTAACTACACCTCTGCATAACAACTTCCCACCAGGCAGTTCATTGAAGATAACTGGTTGTTTACATGATGTATTAGACAGATTCTACATAAATTTACAAGGACCTGAAGTTAAAAAACAGAGGCATAAAATTGAAAAAGAAGTTACTGAGATTCCTTTACATTTTAATGTCAGGTTTGATCAGGTAACTGTTGTGTGTAATACAAAAGTATCTGGTAACTGGGGTTCTGAAGAACGCCACAAACTTCCTTTAGCTCCTGGACAAGAGTTTTGTATACAGATAGTCTGTGATGTAAAGGGATTTAAAATATTGTTAAATGATGAACATTATTGCTCTTTTGAACATAGAGTCAGGCCTGAAACAATTACCTCAGTAGATGTACAAGGACCATTACGGCTGTTTTCAATGGAATATTCTACAACAAATGTAATCATTGGAGCTGATGAAATGTATTGGCGGATGATAGGTGGCTACTTAAGAAGAGTTGAGTCCTGTCAAAATGGTGTTGTGTGGGGTATATCACATGATCATCGAGTTTGGGTTTACACTGGAGGCTGGGGAGGAGGTGTTCTAAAAGGTCTGTATTATAGCTCTCTCAAGGCTAAGAAGCCTCTACTCTCTATGAATTATACCTTAAAATCAAAAATGACAAAATATATAAATCCTATATACTCTTTTTGTATGTTTTCTCTCTTTATTTCTTTGCAATTGTAAAGAAATTGCTTAATAAATTATTCTTTTACAGCTGAAGTTGGCGGCTCCTAATTTTTTATTTATTTTGTAGGTGTAGGGAGCAAAGACGGCATACATTCCATGACAGATACTCAAACCTATTGTGTATATGAAAACCAGAGATGGAATCCGCTCTCGGGATACACATCTACTGGCTTGCCTACTGACCGTCACATGTGGAGTGATATAACAGGAAGACTTAAAAGAACTCGGGAACACACCAAACTACTTAATCGCCATTGGCATTGGGTAAATATTTGAAACATACTAGATATAAACAAGTAATGTAAATCATGTTCTTTATAGCAAACCTTCAATAAATAGGTAATTAGTGAATATTTAATATAAATAGACTTCCTGCTTAAATTCTGCATTAACAATGAAATAAGCGGGTGATAGGTATTTTAATAAGAAAATACCTATCACCCGCTTATTACAGGAAGAAAAAAAAGGCAGGAAAGCCCGTTAAACTGTAACTTGAGAATAGAACACACCTAACTTTCTCGGTTACGGTGCATTCCACTGCTTGATAACAAGTCTGTGCAGCTAGTGTAAGACGCTCTCCCTGAAAGTATTTGTCTACGACCGCTCTTGAAATGATCAATACCTACAACCAAACTACAACTTAAGTATGTTACAAGTCAAATCCCCTTGGAACGCCGGCGCTTTACCGACTAGCAGAAAGCGTATTGTTGCGAAGATGGTTGTGCTGTCTAACTGCGCTAATAATGTTTGAAGTCATGATAATGTTTCTTTTTCAGATATCTGAATGGATGATTGATTATAACACACAGGGCGGAGTAGATAGCGACGGGTGGCAATACGCGACTGATTTTCCGGCTCCTTATCATGGCAAAAAAGTATTTACTGATTGTGTTCGTCGTCGCCGTTGGTATAGGAAGGCTCAAATTGTTACCGAGGGTCCTTGGATTCGTGCCGGCAACACAGCTTTGTTAGACATTTCTCTATGGGTAGGTTTAACAATAGAGGTTATTCTTTTATTTGTTACTAGCCTTTGCCCGCCTGCTTGTATGTCGGTTAAGGCGGTAGACAATATCTAATGTCCTTCCTCAAGAATCAAAGTATCTCCACGCCAAATTTAATTAAAATCGCTTCAGCGGTTTAACCGTGAAAGCGTAACAGACAGAGTCACTTTCGCATTTATAATATTAGTTGGGATTTAGATAGCTGCGCGCAACTACAGTGTCGTAAGATGTCAGTCACTTATATAATGTTGGTAATGAACACTGCAACATCCATCCATTAACTAAATCGCAATGCAAAAAAAAAAAAACATATGGCTCTTGTCCAAATCTTATGAAGATACAGAAAATTTAATCAAAGTATACTACCGTTCAAATGCATCCCTCACGCCATTAACATACCACACTCAATCACGCACACCCACACACACACACGCACACACGCGCGCACACACACACACACACACACACACACACACACACTCTTACACACTAAGAACATACAGACTTTGTAACATAATATACATAAACATAAAATAATATGATTATAAAATTATAATATTAATATGTAAATATTTTTATAGGTTATTATAACCTATAAAAATACATGAGGTGAATTGCATAAGCAATTCACCTCATGTATTTTTATAGGTATATATCTATATGCAACTACGATACACTACACTTTCACATTAATTACCTGCTGCAATTAAGTACGAGAGCCCTGGTATCCACAAGTTAAATCTTACTTTGGGTACCAGAGGTCAACAAAAAATTGTAGGTACATGTTGAAATTGCTATAACTCATGTGTTTTCTCTGTATGTATCTTTTTCAGACAAAAAAATTATATTATTATTATGTTGACTGACAAAAACAGGTACTTTAATTACGTAGAAGAGAATCTACGTAAGGAGACATGTATACAATCTAATACCTACCCAGAATTGGATACTAAATCTTAATTTTATTAAAAGAGAATTAGTAAGCATTACTCATATACCACGAAGATCTACTTTCTATAAACTTTTTATAAGTAAGAGGATAATCTACGATGTAACGTGTTTCACAGTTTATATAATATCATATAACAAACGGGTGATTAAATAATTAGGGTGCATTGTCGTGCACCAGGGACTTCCTTTCTAGGGTATACCTGGTTCCCCGGCTATTAGTACCCGAGACGGCGTGCGGTTTTGAGTCGGTTCGAGTCCGACATGCCACCACGGTGGTATCCGAGGGGATTTCCGTACGAAAAAAACAAAAAAAAACAAAAAAGGGTGCATTGTCGTAACATGATACATGTCAATTTTGTTTCGATAAACTAGTGACCCGCTCCGACTTCGCACAGGTAGGGTAGAAGAGCAAATCATAACAGAATACCTTAATAAGTTATACCCCTAAAGCTTCCTTATGAATAACACTGTCTACTGGTGAACCGCATAAAAATCCGTTCAGTAGTTTTGGAGTTTATCGCGAACAGACGGACTTTTAGTATGTAGTCAAATCCAGATTTGGTTTTCTGCATCTCGTCTCGACATGTTCGTCTTTTACGGGAACCATCTTGATGTATTTAAATTTTTAATTTCATTTTTTTTCTTGTCAGGCTACGGGCGACGAGGTGTCTGTGTGGGCAATAACATTGGCAGGAGATGCCATTTACCGGACAGGAGTAACAGTCTCAACACCTGCGGTAAGTCACGGAGATAGTCAGTTTAGATATTTATTGTGTAATGTTCCGACATTTTAAGTCTAATCTTGATAAATAAAGAAAAATCTTTGCAGTGTATGCTTTAATGTTATCAGTAATTCTGGAGATAGACATAGTTAGGACAAGATTTTAATTGGTTAAACCATTGTGCCTGTTGGTTAGTAACCCTGACTGCTAAGCCGGAGGTAGTGGGTTCGATTCCCACCCAGGACAAATAATAGTGTTATGAGTGTCTAGGTGTAATTTATCTATAGATTTAGTAGTATTTAGAAATATTTAACTTTATAAGAAGTCATATCATAGCACAAGCTCTGCAGATAGTTTGGGATCATACAGCCGTGAGTGAGATGTGGTGAGGTCATTGTTATTATTATTGGTCACTTCCGACGCTTCAAGCGGTACGGGTATGAACTCCTTGTGTAACTCGAGATCAGCCCACTTCCGATCCCATTAAAGGTCTCTTTTTGGAGTTACAGCTTATGTTGAGTCTAACCTCGGCACTGTTTTGTTACTCTATAACCATATAAAGATTTTTCATAGAGTTTTTTTGTTGTCACAGGGCGCACATTGGGAGCACGTCAACAACCCACAGCCCTTAGTAGCCATAAGCACATGTAATCAAATTGTATGGGTAGTGGGCAGAAAAGGCGAACTATATTATAGAGAAGACATATCTAAAGAAAATCCTTCTGGTAGTAAGTGGAAATTGATAGAACTGCCTAAGTACAACTATCCATATAGTCAAAAATCAAGTTTCGGGGCAAAGACTGTGTCACTGACCACCACGTCAGCGTGGGTGATTCTTTCTAATGGTGCCATTGCTGTAAGATCAAATATTTCGAGGAACCAACAAGATGGGAAAGAATGGAACCATCTTACAGGTAAAGTTATAACCATTGTTTGTGAAATTGTAGTACCATTACAATCATAACATAACGCAATTCTGTATTAGGAGTCTTCATTAAATTAGTAATGTAACTTACGTGCGCCCTCCACTCACGATTTCTATGCCTCCTAAAGGTTGACTGGAAGAGAACGCCCTGATCATTAAGTTCGCCAATGTACAAAAGTGCATTGGAGTGTATTAAAGAAGTAAACACACGCATTCCTTACAATGGTTTGTTTCAAACACTTTAACCACTCCCGCCCGCGCAACGGTACACCACCCTGTCGAATGATGTACAATTTAAGCACTTCTTCTTTTCCACTGTATTGAACATTCACCACAATGTACCCTAATGATTTTATCACTTGACCATCGTAACCTTTTAGCTGCAAGTTGTCCTGAATCACTGGTATGCCCTTAAATTCTTGCAAATACAACACTTCACTAATACACGATATCGGCGAGCCCGTGTCGACGTGCATGCGCAGCCTACAGCCCGCCACGTGCAGATCGGCGAGCACCGGCTCGCTGCCGCTGCTCAGCTCCAGCATATACCGACCGCTCGGTCCCTCTCCTTCACCGTCACTCTCTACCTGCGGCCACTCCATCTCCTCACCGGAACTATTCCGGTCGGCCTCTAAACGCATCACCCGCGTTTCCTCTCTCTGTTGGCGTACACTTGGACAAACTTTCTTCAAGTGACCCGATTTTAAACAAATCTTACAAACATATTTGTAGAATTTACAATTGTTTCTCACACGTCCTCGCTCTCCGCAACAATTACAAGTTATTGATGAGTTTGAAAACGTGCGCCGCGGGACCGTCGGTGGCGGTGCCACGCCCGCGCCGTTCCGACCGGCTGCCTTGCTGCTGGCACCGGCTACGCCCTGCCACCCTGCTCGTCTCCCATTTGTTTGTATAGCATGTACTGCATATAACTCCTTATTACATGAACGCTCCACCGTCGCAGCGTCGTTAGCTGCCGACTCTAAAGCTACCGCTTTGCTGTATGCCTTTGTGAAGGTTAAATTTTCGTCATCACAAAGTAGACGCTGTCTCGTAGTCTCGCTTAAGAGCCCACATACAAATTGGTCCCGCAGATTTTCGAATAAATTTATTTTAAATTGACAATTTCTAGCCAGATGCTTTAAAACAACAGCAAACTGAGCTACAGCCTCGTCACGTGTTTGGCTCCGATTCCGAAACTTGAACCTCTCAGCTAGAATAGATGGAGTTGGTTGCAGTTGTTTCCGCATAAGCTCCACTAATTCTTCGTATTTGTAGTCCGGCGTCGGTTTCTTGGGATTACTTAAATCAACCATTAGTTCATAGGTCTCATATCCGACACACGCGATTAACGTGGGTACTTGTAACTCCGACTTAACATTGTTAACCAATAAATATTGTCCCATTCTTTCATTATATGTTGTCCCGGAATGACCATGACCCATAACTTAGGTTAAATTCTCCCAACTTTCCTATAGACATTGTGATTTGTGAAGACACTTATATTACGTAAATTCGATAAATACCGATTGCGCCACTGGAGTGTATTAAAGAAGTAAACACACGCGTTCCTTACAATGGTTTATTTCAAACACTTTATGCATAAAGTTATGTAAATAAAAAAAATATCCGGGCCAGAGGACCACTCCATACTGTATGTGTGTATGTACCGCCCCGACCGACCAGCGGCCGACGTCTGGCTGCCAGAAAGTTGGGATCTCTGGCGGCAGATTAATTGCTGTGGTAGGGGATAGAATGCATGCCTGATCGCACTAAAAATGTGATCGAGCCGCAAAATTTAGTGATAGGCTGATAGGCAGAAGGGAGCTACCACCTATCCCAGGGCAAGCCCCCTCGGAGTGGGAGTTCTCTCGCTCGATAGCCTGATTGCGGCTATCGTGCGGCGCGAGAGTGCATGGAACTCTGCCGTCTCCTTCTGCGAGAGACGGCGGAGCGGGACCGGGAGAGGTTTAGGACTCTCCCGGCCCGCCAGGCCCGGGAACGGGAACGGGCCAGGTACCGCAGGCGACTCAGGCGCCGGAGGTCGCAGAACGACCTCCGTCCTCCATAAGCGCAGGCCTGGGGGTGACAGGTGAGGCCATCTGTCACCCTAGCAGAAGCAGGCCGGTGGCGGCGATCGTGTTGCGAAGCGCGCCCGCTTCCAGGGAGCAGAGGGAACATGGGGTTCCCACACGGGGGGTCGTCTATCTGTTGTTGTAGATGGCCCGAGGTATGTCTGGGCACCAGGGACTTCCTTTCTAGGGTATACCTGGTTCCCCGGCTATTAGTACCCGAGACGGCGTGCGGTTTTAGTCGGTTCGAGTCTGCATGCCACCGATAGGTGGTATCCGAGGGGATTTCCGCACGGAAAAAAAAAGGGCAAGCCCCCTGAAATTGGGTCTAGGTAGGTTCGGCGTCGATCTGGGGGACCTGAAATCACATGGTCTGGGTCCTTCCCAGAGTATGCGGTTTTTAGTGGAAATACCACACTTTTGGTATCCCTAAGGAGCCGGAGACCCGAAGGGATTTTCCACCCCGTCCCCAAAAAAAAAAAATGTGTAGACTTTAACTTTGCCGCTTAATCAAGCAAACAATATCAAGAAATTATCCAAATACAATAAAAATGCTTCATAAGTAATTCTAAATTTTTTTCGTGTTTTTGCTCGACCTTAATAATAAATTTTGAACTAATTTATCATCATCATCAACAGCCTTTAATAGTCTACTGCTGGCCATAGACTTCTCCTTAGAACTAAATTATAGAATCAAAAAATTTTCAAAGATCAAATATTCTAGCTGCGAAAAGCAAATATTGAAATAAATGAATTTAAAACAAAGCGTCTCATTAAAAATAAACTGGGCAAGTGCGAGTCGGACCTGCCCACCGAGGGTTCCGTACACATAAATGTGTAAGAGGTACATATTATAAATAGTTAAAGAATCGAATCTCACAGTTTCTGAGCTCTGCCCGAAATTTAATTTCCAAAACCTACACTAAACTTACTTATATTCTTGAGTTTTATAAGAGAAATTATACCTCGATGATTGATTACGTGTGCGTTACCCCAGCAAAATAATGTCGAAAATGGTCATTTAAACGTTATAGATAATTAGTTGCTCCGCTTCTGTAATTGTTAGGCACATTTTTAAATTTGTTTCACTTAAACTTTTTTAGTTATTTCAAAAAAACATTTCCTGCTGGGGTAACGTTTGAAACGTTACCGCAGCCAGACATTTTCTTTTTTAATTGTAATATTGAAATAAATGTTAGCTAAATAATTAGTTATCTGGACTAGGTAAATGTTACAACTTATTTGGTATTTGTATTTTCTTCGGCTGCGAAGTTATTCGAGATCCTGCTGGAGTAACGTTTGTGGGTTTGCTGGATCTCTGAAACGGGTAAGCGGATTGTAACCATCTTTTGTACATAACTTCTTAAGGATTAGTTTTAATTTGTTCGACAATAAAATAACAAAAATAATGGACCGTTTAAAAATTATTTAGGTAAGTATGAAAACACTTCAATACGTCCTAACACTTTGAATAAGACCTCTAAAGACTTACTTCAAACGTTATTCTATTGCTTGTAACTACCTTCAAATGTATACGAATTTTCGTAAGAATACTGTAAGTGACTAAAAAGTTATGATGAAATGTAGCTCTCCACGTTCACGATCACAATGTGTGCGGCCTTTTTTGGCCACCGATAAACCTGTGTGGGGATATATAAACTGAATGTTATGCCAATAATTAGTTGTTTAGTTCAGTTGTCTACCTGTAAAATTTCAGCGTCGTACATATAATAATTTACGAGATAATTAAATAAAAGTCATTAGAAGGTGCAAGACCGTGGTAACCCGACCATGTTTAGGTGGTTACATAAAAGCGATCACCCAGTACATTGTGCTGGCTTTTAAAATATGTAGGATATTATTTGCAAGTTTACTACGGATATGTACATAAGTGTTACAGAAAACTACATGTTTTTAAATAATTTTTATTTAGGATTGTTTATTGCATAATTAGTAATCAGCCGGGAGATTAGGTATTGTTTTGAATGCTTTTGTTTTCTCGTAATGTTTAGGTGAATTGTTTATAGTTGTTCATAGAATTGGTACCTGTGTAGTATTTGTTAATTGAAGTTTAATTTTAGGGTAGGTATAGGTAATTTAAGTTTTGAAGAGTGTAACGTATGCGTTGTAAATAGGTATTTTGTAAATAGATTGGGATTTTTTTAAAGTGATGAATCGACTTAGGCTAGCATATCGCGAACAAACTCTGCAGTGCATTATTTCTGTAATAATGTTGGAGAAAATAAAATATTTGATCACAAAATCGCGGTGAGTTAAATTATAATAAAATAAATTATTTATGTAAAATTAGTAATAGTGATATACCTACAAGTTATGATCGTTTTTAATTTGTTCACCCCGACCGAAATTTCAATATTAGCATTAGTAATTAACATCCTAAGACAAGAATTCGCAATTACTTAAATTGAATCTAATTAGCATTAATTCCCATTACTAGTAATTAGGTACACACATATTGAAGAATTCCCAAGAATACGATAAATATTTGCAAAAATAGAAAGCGGAAGCGCACACGCACTTTACAAGACGTATATTATCTGCCTAAGGGTCAAGTTTAGTGCACTAGATGCAAATTGCAAACAATGAAGTATCCCTTCGCCCCTCCCCTCCCGCGTTCTAGCTAAGGATGTATTATCGGCGATTCTTGATTGACAAATATTATCTGACCAATAATTTTATCTATAAAAATGTATCACTTTCACTCGATAAATTAAATTACCGTTATTATATCAAAATATCATTCAACAACTGTTCGTTTTTAACAGAAATCAACAGTCACAGGTAGGTACATAGGTATAGATAATTCTCGGTTCTCGGTATAGACCACAGATCAATTAACAAAAATTAAAGAAATGAAACGATTTCTTATTGGTTTAAATTTTCGATTTATTGCAGTCAGGTGAATCGTTCATACATGTATCTACATATTTATAATTTTAGCGGGCCAGTGCAGATTTTCTGTTGATTGTAGCTCCGGTAGTTAAACAGACTAAAGAAATTTTAAAACAAGAACAAAGAAAACAATATAAAAGAAGAACAAAATAAATAATAGGTAATAATAATGAATAAATATTGAATGTATTTAACACTGTACGCAACTGTACCGAAATCGTAAGGTGTATTACACTAAACATTTTAAAAGACAGCGCAATGTACTGGGTAATCGCTTTTTTGTAACCACCTAAACATGGTCGGGTTACCACGGACTTGCACCTTCTAATGACTTTTATTTAACTATCTCGTAAATTATTATATGTACGATGCCGAAATTTTACAGGTAGACAACTGAACTAAACAACTAATTGTTGGCATAACATTCAGTTTATATAATATATATAAAATAAAATATAAAAATAAATAGATATATAAACCTGTGTGTGGATATTATCCACACACAGGTTTATCGGTGGCCAAAAAAGGCCGCACACATTGTGATCGTGAACGTGGAGAGCTACATTTCATCATAACTTTTTAGTCACTTACAGTATTCTTACGAAAATTCGTATACATTTGAAGGTAGTTACAAGCAATAGAATAACGTTTGAAGTAAGTCTTTAGAGGTATTATTCAAAGTGTTAGGACGTATTGAAGTGTTTTCATACTTACCTAAATAATTTTTAAACGGTCCATTATTTTTGTTATTTTATTGTCGAACAAATTAAAACTAATCCTTAAGAAGTTATGTACAAAAGATGGTTACAGCCCGCTTACCCGTTTCAGAGATCCAGCAAACCCACAAACGTTACTCCAGCAGGATCTCGAATAACTTCGCAGCCGAAGAAAATACAAATACCAAATAAGTTTTAACATTTACCTAGTCCAGATAACTAATTATTTAGCTAAAATTTATTTCAATATTACAATTAAAAAAGAAAATGTCTGGCTGCGGTAACGTTTCAAACGTTACCCCAGCAGGAAATGTTTTTTTGAAATAACTAAAAAAGTTTAAGAGAAACAAATTTAAAAATGTGCCTAACAATTACAGAAGGGGAGCAACTAATTATCTATAACGTATAAATGACCATTTTCGACATTATTTTGCTGGGGTAACGCACACATTGATTACGTACTGAAAATAAAGACTATATTTTTTTATAATTTATATACAAATGTATAGTTTTCAGATTTTTCCCTGTTCTTGTGGTATAAGACAATGTTACTTGCCAAATTTCAGAGTTATAGGTTAACGAGAAGTACCCTATGAATTTTGATTCTCTTAAGTGTCGAAATATTTGCGTTTTCTGCGGCATAAACGGTCGTATCTGTTTTACGTTAACTTAGTATTTCATTATTTTACAGCTTCAAGAGACCGTAGACCTGAGTATATGGCTTAAATTTCAACTCGATACCTGCACGCGTGCCCGAGATAAAGGGTCTTGACAGACAGACAGACAACAAAGTGATCCTTTAAGGGTTCCGTTTTTTCCTTTTGAGGTACCAGTGATTCTGGGTGGAACACCTGTTAATTTTTTCAAGGAAACTAGTGGGATCAGTGTCGTTTGTACCACCAATGGTACCATTAATGGTACAGGTGGTCGAGATAGATTTTTTGTTCAGACAAAAGCAATAGGTGGGTGCTTGAAATAAGCACAGTTCACAAAGTGTGTTATTACAAATATTAACATATTCAGTAAGCATCTTTCTAGATTCTTTTACGAACGTAATTAAAAAGTACATATTATTCTTGTAGGTTGGTACAGAACTTTTCAAATCCGAATCGCACTTTCGTGGCTATGACCTATTTCTATTTTAACAATTTCTTGATTTTAAATGAACCATAAATAAAAAATATGGAGCAATGCAACCTCTTGAAGCATTAGCAAATACATCTAAAAGGTGTAATACATTAAACTTCGTTTTCAGAATGTGATTTAACTTTCAAGCAAATATCAGCCATAGAACATGAAGTATGGGCAGTGACTACAGAAGGTATTATCCAACGGCGCCTGGGCGTGACTGATGAGAATCCTGTTGGTACCACTTGGCAACCGATACATTCAGGCAATCTAGTGCATGTATCGGCAAGAGGAGTTTGTTTGCAGTAAAGTGAATAATTCGTCTATATCAAAGCTGATACCTATTATGGGATTAAGTGTACCAGTGCTTTATTGAGGCTACTAATCATTCCAATTGCGTATTTGTGATTTTAAATTGTTAGACTGAAGTTTACTGTTTTTTTTTCTTATTTTGTTGATTATGTGTTAAGCTCAAAGTTTGTATTATTATTCACAATCTTTTATTGATGTATTAAATCCTATCAAGTTCTAGTCATTGGTATTATCCGTATTTAATATGTTAGAAACATACCAAAAGCTTACGCTATTAAAGTACATGAAATAAAAATACTACATAATTGTAATGCCTTTTTATTAACTGAAAACCTTGCTTATGTGAAATGTTATTCTACTTTGAGCAAAACCCATACTTTTGGTATAAAATTAATTTTCAACATACGACAATCATTTAGGTAATTTGCAAATTCAAATTATAAGCACGTCATGCGTAAAACGTAATGTAATGAAATAAGTTAGGTATGGCTTTTTCTCAAAATGTGAAACTGTTTTTAGTTAATCACTCATTTGATAGAAATTAAACAATACTAATATACGACTACATCAACACTTACATATTAAAGTATATAATCTAATTCATATCGAAGATAGTGATTATTTGGATCATTTTGTATCCTTGGATAACCTGCGACTAGCGCGTCTTGTCCGCCAATATATAATGTATTGTAGATCTTCCAGTACACATCGCGAACTTTTCTTGCTGGATGGAATAGTCCCTGTAAGTAAAAATAAATAAATATAGGTAATATACAGTTATCTATACGCTTATTAGTCTAGTGGTAAGTGTCCCTGACTAATGAACCAATGTTGTTTGTACTGTTCCCAACCCAGATCAATAATTGTTGGATGAGCATTATCAATTGCGTGGGGGGGTAATTTATCAATAATATTTATTTTTTATTTACGTGGAAGTACGTTTACCAGCGGTCTGATTACGATAGTACAGGGCCTCAATTCTGCTATTTTGTGTTAACGCCAAGCCACTGTCATTTAATTGATACGCTATTGACATTTGTCGAAATATCAGTATTCTACAAAATTAAATTACAGTGTCAATAGACTAGATATAGTAATATAGGTTATCAATGGTGATATCAACTACATTGCCATACCTGTGAAAATTAAATATATCATTTTCTTACAAAAAAATTAAAATGTACCGTTTCACAGCCTTTTATAGTCCACTGCTGGACATAAGCCTCTCCTTAGAAAGGAGGTTTTGGCCTACTATACCACGTATGTACCGTTTACCAAACACATTTGTACCAGTGACAAGTCATCGGTAGGTATGCCATTGGTCTTACATAGTTAGTAGAATAGGAAAAGTGCAAAACTATTCCATCGACAGTCTATTGTATGTCTTGTGTTCAGCTTTTTTTAATAAAGTAAAGGTTATAAATAATGCCAAACCATGGAAAGAGTTCTCTTGAATAATTATTTTAGTGTTGGATAACACTTTTATGGCGGAAGCATATAAGCTACGGTATATAACATCATGATCCGACCAATAAAGAGGCTAAAAATTTCAGCGGGTCAGCTGGTACTGTTTATATATAACATACCTGTAGAGCATACTGCAGAATTTTAACAGGTCCCAGGGCGACCCTCATTCCTTCGACGGCATCCATAAAGGCTTGGACCAAATGTGGAGAAGTTTCAAAGATGTTAGGCCACACATGATTTAGAAGATGAACTAGAGCATCTTCGCAGCCAAACCCGTAAACACCTAACGCCATGTGTTTTATAGCCGCACATGCTGTTTGTCGGTGCACAAGATCCCTGTTGAAGATAGTTTTTTTAATGTTAATATAAGAATTTGTGTATCGAAGAATGCTGTAAATAATAACCTAACATAATGTTGAGTAAAAATATAATAAGAGTAAAGGCTGGTAAGTGTAAAGGAGTGGAATTATTTGATGAAGATTTGCTTTCCCTAGGTTCATGATCGCCTCCTTAAAATTACAATTTATCATCATCAGCCTATCGCAGTCCACTGCTGCACGGTCCTCACCTCCAGTCCAGTCCTCTTCTATTGCACGCCACTTCGACCGATTAAAATTAGTTTGAATGCGGATGAAGAATAGTATTTCCTAGAATGCAACTGGTTACGAAACTTAAGGACTTTAGAGTTTAAGACGATTTCAATCAATTTTTAAAAGAATTTTATAAAAAAAAGATGTTTTGAGTGTGACTTAAGTTGTGATGGCAGCTGGAGTCCAAAAAAGTAGTATATATTTACCTGTCCATAAGAGCATCTTCTAGTAGCGGGCAAACGGCATAAATATAGTCTTTGCCCATTTCTCCGATATATTCAAATAAGAAGGAAAGTGATTTGAGTACGCCATTTTGCACATTCAACTCTGGCACTCTGTATTCATTCATCAGGGCTGGCAATACTGTGAAAGGTGAGCACGTTTCTGCAACTATAGCTATTGCGACGGTGGTGCACACTCTGTAAACAATATATTACAATAAAATAATAATTCTAAATAATTAAATTGTAATATATATGTAATATAATTTATTTAATACTCAATTTTATTTATTGCTTTCCACAATGTTTGCTTAGGTGGTAACTTAAATATGAAATCAGATCATGGACCCTGTCAGGCCCAGCAATAGATAAGAGAGGAAGAGATAATACAAACTAACAATAATAAGTATACTTCTGTTTTTTATGTACATAGTAAATTTATTGGTTGCGATTTCGTTCAAATACTGTCGTTTTTACCAATCAGGTATTCGTAACAGCATTTCTGTAGTTGTAATTGTTTCAATCTATTTAGGAATATATTTAATATGGTTTCATTTCTAATTCCTTCAGGTTATTTATTGTAGATTTTGATAGACATTACTTGAGTGCTATTTGAATGAATTTGAAGTCAGGATGAGGGTAGGTTTAGTCTAGTCCTATAGCCGTAGTGCGTAGTTTTTTTGTTTATCCTCACTTTGTGTGAACATATGTTGATTTCTACGTACGAATTTGCATATTTCCAAAGTATAAATTGATAGCAGTATTAGTATATTGTGTTCTCTAAAGAATGGTTAACAGCTATCGGCGTCCTCTATTTTGGCCAGAATTCTAATAAGTTTTTTTTTTAATGTGAAGACGGTTGGAGCCTCTGTACTTTTACCCCATAATATGATGCCGTAAGTAAACCAGGCATATGTTTATGCGTAATGAGTGGTGAGACCTGTTTGAAGAGCGGTGGTCTTTTTAACTTCGCGGAAATCATTTGTGAACTCAGAGATTTTAGATCTCAAATTCAATTCGTTATATAATATTTTACATTTTCAGTCTAAAATTATTACATTTTCGCGACAATGCGGACAAACAATGTTCATAAATATCATATTTAATTTTCTTACCGATTTTGTCTTTCCTGCACTTTCAAGTTGTTGAGTAAGGTCGCCAAGACATCGTGAGGACCGATAGCTTTAGCAATATAACCAAAAGTGTTCACGGTGGCTCTCCTAATTGCTTTTTTGTGTGCCTTCAATAACTCGAGAAGTTCAAAGCATATCCTCATCCATTCTCTTGCTGACACAAACTCTGGTCCTCTGTCTGCAATACGTCCCACCAAGTCGATGCAATTTTCTTGCACTTTTTCGTGTCTAAAAAATATTACATATAGGTTCTTCCTTAGATAGGTCAAAGATTAGACAGATAATATTACAAAAAAAAAAATAGTTTTAAACTAAAAAACACGTTTTTTATAGAAAACCAAACTAAAAAATGAGAAAATAAATTTTAATAAATTTGAAAAAAAAAGCGTGGCGTGCTTTTTACTATTGACAACGGGCACCCAACATTTTTTTTTCTTATTAAAATTATTTTTTGTATTTTTTTTTAATTAGTGTATTGTCATCGGTCCTCGAAACGAATTCTGATCGTTTAAAGTCAGTCAAAATCACGCCCAAAGGAGTCTGTTACAAACAAACATACAAGTGAAGCTAATAGTAAAAATACTATAAATTAAGAATGTTCAATACTAAAGTTCGAGCTTATTTAAAATACCTTATATATTATTTATGTATCATTGTACGTAGGTATATGTATATATGTCCCTTATTTCTTACTAACTTGTTAACTCGTTTTTTTTTCCTCTCTTTAATCTTTTGCACATAGTGATTCATCTCTAGAACACCCTAAGAGAGAACGGGGAGGTAAAGCATGTGGCATTAGATCCGCCATTGTACAATTTAATTTGTGCATAATAAATTACAACAATTTAAGGAAATCTATACCAAATTTGTAGAAAAGTTTATGTTTTTATTAAAACTCTTCTTCTAAAATTAAAAATCGATTAATTATTTCAGTCTGTTATATCAGAAACATTCACAGTAGACTTGAAAAAAAAAAAATAGGAATATTTTAAAGCGAAGGTGTCTTTAAAAGCTCTCTAATAAAATTAATCACAAATGAAAAGAATAGCAGTGTCCTTCTTTTTAAATCTGTGAACTAATGAAACATAGCCGGCGACAGTATGGTAGTAACTTATGCCTATAATTACTGTTTAAATGTATTAAAAAAAGGCTATACCTGTTCTTAAGAATTGGGGTAAGTCTGGGTAGTAAATCTTTAATGGGCGGTGTCATTTTAGTCATACCAATAACATTAACAATAGCTTTTAATGCACCAAGTATTGATCCTAATACTTCGGGATATTCTTCTCCTAAGTATTCATACAGGACAACGCCAAGATGGCCCATCAATTTTTCCTGTAACACAAACATACAAACATTAAAATTGACACTGATGCAATGAAATGATTATTGAAATAATTATGTGTTGAATGTTAGTACAAACCTCTTGGCAAGTTTTCATTACCACTGCAATACGTGAAATGAGGTCAGCTGCCTGCTGTCGAACTTTAGCGGATTTGTTGTTCATACGCCACAGGATAATACCACAAATCTGTGGTAAGTAAGGTTTCACACGCTTGCCCAGTTGGTTCACAATAGTACCAAAACCGTTCAACATGACAACATCCTTAAAAACACAAATAATATTGTAAACATTTTAGTATAACATGAAATATAACCTGCATTAAAATATTTAAAAAAAAGGGAAGTTTTTGGTATATGTATTGTTTTACAAAGAGTAAATCAGTGAAAATTACAATTACCACACTTTATACTTATAACAACTTAACATATTGGTATTAGTGCTATTATTACAAATTCTTAATTATCTCACAACACAAAAATTACCTCAGTAGTCTGTTCTTGGAATGCATAGAGAATACCATCAATAAGGGCCTCCTCTAACTTTGAATCAATGTCTGCTGCTCCTAAGTTAGCAAGAATCTTCTCTATCGATTCCATTACCATTTTTCTGTATTGTTCATTATCATCTTTTAGATCATCTACAATTCTGTTGATTATTTCAGAAGCACCAACCTGTGAAAAGTGAAGATTGTTACAACAAATAACACTAGAACTTAAAAAGTATTACCAATGAATGGTTTACTAACTTTATTGGCGATTTCGACTGTAGTGTCCACCAATTGTCTATAATTACGTCTGTCCAAAGCCATACGATGATTCCAAAAGTGTTTAAAGAAATGTGGTAGAATTTCATCCATAATATACTGAGGCTCTACACCATCAGTGCCACAACACTGTTTAACCACCTGTAAGAATGAAAAATTTATGTAGAAAACAATATTCACGTTTAATGAAACGATAAGTTTCCACATTTGGTTAATCAAAGTGCCTAGGAAAGACAAAGAATAACTTATCACCTTTTGTGCATCAAGATCATTTAACAGAAAATTTATGAATACTGAATGTTTCTCACCTTCAATACAATCTTTTTCATTTCTTCATCAGGTGACTGGAACTCTCGAATAAGAATTAGCATCACTTCACGTGTATAATAGTTAGCATATTCGGCATCCATAAGTGGGATAAGATAGCCGATAGCTTTGAGAAAGGCGGCTAAACCTTTACCTCGATGGGTCCTTATACCTTTCCACAGAGGTTTTAGCACTGAGTCAAATGACTCAATACCGTATGGTGTAGCAGCTTCAGCTAGAGCTGCACTAGCCAAGGCTGTAATAGTACGTACTTTTTGTTGTTCATCCACCAAACCTAGAAAAGGAAAGGAAGTTCTCTAAATATATTTGACTTCCAAGGTGTGGAATACATTAAACATAAACGAGTTTGTAACTTCAACAAATATATTAGCTTTGCTAGAACATGTCATCTTGCATCATGTCAATAGTTGAAAGAATAAAACAGTCCTTAAATATTTGGGGTGTGTTACTGTGATTTATATTTTACATGCTGACCCGCGCAACTTCTTCGGCTTTTATTAAATGGAATAAATTTTACACCGTTTCGTAACATTTTTAATTGATACTCGACTCCTATTGGTCGTAAAATCATTGGAATTTTACCCCAAACATAAAAACTCACAAACTTTACCTCTTTATAATATTAGTATAGATCTCTCAGTCTTCTGTCTCATTCACTCACTTACTTTTCATTTGATTTTTTTTCTTAATTCTGTTCGGTACAATAACGAACACAAATTATCGAATTTGGTGCAGTCGTGCGGAAGTTATGCGCGTACATACATTTCGGCGATTTTTTTTTTTTTATATAGATAGATAGAAGGTAGATTCAAACATACTTAAATAATTTATCTATATGGGAAAGTATGTGCATAGACACATTGCGTTTTTTTTACAAAATTTATTTTTCTTTCGTGTTATTAAATAATTGTTTTACACCCATTATACATATGAAATCGAATGGGTGTCTCTAAAAGATAGCAGCCTGGGATAAGCCCATAGGAATATTTTAACAGTTTATTATAACCCACTGAGTTATATAATATTAAATAGGAAAAAAAGGAAATTTGGGATATTTCGGCATAGCAGTGAACCATGGTATTACTATACAATAACTGGAGAAACGTCATGTTATAAACATGACGTTAATAAAAAAATACAACGATTATCACAGTGTCCATTATAAAAAGCCTCCATTTATGTCCTGCATATGTCCAGGGTCCACATTATAAAAACAAGAACTTACCATGCTCAATAATTTCAACTAAAGATTTCAAATGAGGCAGAATTGCACAGCCCATCAGGATGGCTATTTGTTGAACTATTTTAATTCCAGTATGCCTGGCTTGCCACGATTTTTTTGATCTGCACACAGCCTTCAAGAATGGTAGTAAAGATGGGATACCTGAAAAATAAGTTATGTATTTTTTATAGAAAACCATCACAGGAAAACATTATGAACATACAGATAAATTATACATATTCAAAAAATGACGAGGAGCTATGTCAAGTCGGTTTTCGCAAAAATACAAGGATACCAGATAACGGTCAATATTCTATTAAGTAGTGCATTGTACAGCTACTAACGTCTATCGCCGCAGTATTCCTAGCGTTGAAAAAGACAAAAACAAAAACGAATTGTAGTATATTTCCTTTGGGAAGAAATAGGATTCTTTCGAATTTTTCGCTTGATATTTTGCAAGGTAAGAAAACTAGTTTTATTGAAATATTTTTATTGTCAAAATCCTCTACCAGTCCCGAGGGTGTAGATCGTTTTATCATCATCAGCCTGTCGCAGTCTACTGCTGGACATAGGCCTCTCCCATTGCACGCCACTTATATCGATTTTGGGTTTCTCGCATCTAGCTCCTGCCAGCCATCTTGCGCAAATCGTCACTCCATCTGGCCTGTGGGCGTCCTACACTACGTTTACCGAGACGCGCTGTCCACTCAAGAATTCGTTTTCCCCCAACGGAAATTTCTCAAGAAATTGTTTACTAGTTGCCAAATTGTTTCATTGGCCCAAAAAGCACTTCTAGCTTGGTATTCAGTGTTAGTAACATATGTTTCTTGCATAATGTTAACAAGCTTAGCTATATACTGGGACACTTGCAAAAAGTCTTTGTCATTTCGCATCTTTCTTATTTCTCATTTGTTTCTTGATTTTTTAAATGATGCCGCCACTTCCGAAATCAATCCTTTATCAAAACAAACTGCAACCGTACTAGCACGTAAATTGATAAAACTATTTATGCAACTGAAAACTAGATGTAGGTACAACAGAGGGGCCGGGGCCGTGCCTGGTCTTTTATTTTGGAAAGAGTTAGAGCATAGACATCCTAACCTAAGTTTAATATACTAAGTTCGTATTTGAAAAAAAAAACATGAAATGTATCTTGTTTCATTCATATTCTTCGGTTTATTTCCGTTTTATCTTCTAACTTTCGAATGAATCATTGAAAAAAACAACGGATTTGGAAATAAACGGCAATTTTTACTGCTTTTTTCAACGCTAACCATTCCACGACTGAACGATATTGCCGTAAATATCTAGTGTAGCAACAACAATTTTCAGCGTGAATAATGGATCAAGTCACAAGTCCTTCCAATGCCAGCTTGGAGCACATGATTCTGTTCTTAAGCATATTAATACAAGTCAAAATTACAAGTGATATTCCACGGTTATACCTAAGTAGAGTTTTGCTTCCTTATGCATGTATAGAACACATATGGAATACCCCATGACACTCATCAGAATGTCCACTTCCTCAATCTAATCGTATTTTTTTATACTCATTAATTTATAGAATTATTCAACTTACCCAAAGCAGAAGCAACAACAGCAAAGGCTCGGGCCGTAGTATTTCTCACATATTCATCAATATTGTCAATGTCAGGTCTCATTGTTGAGATCATAGTCGCGAGACCAGCAGCTTTGGCCAGATTTGATATAATTTCTCGACCTTCAACGCGAGCGTAATAATCTTCGTCAATCAATAGAGGTTCAATTACGACGAGTATCTAAAAATCCATAATATATAGTGATCAGTATATTTAAAAATTATATATTTATTTTTGTAAAATGCAATATATGTTTAAAAATGTAATCAATGTGTATATAAAATAAATAAAGAGAATAAAAATATTGTGAGGGTTAAAACAGGAATTAGGTAACCAGATGAAATAACATGACCGTACATAAAAGCCAGGTGACCCTTGGTCTTCTAAAGAAGTTCATTAATGTTACTGAGCTGGCTTAGGAAATTTGATGCACAAGGTTCGGGGGACCTTAAAATGCTGCTTAGGTAAAAGAAATATATTCACATCTATAGGACATAGAAGATCATTTAATTTGATGTTTGAGCAAAATTTGATTTTAATTTACCTTATGTACATAGGGACGAACTAAATCATCCAATTTATATAAAATCCTGTCGATGACTTTTACGAGCAAATGTCTTTCCTGATCTTCTAGAGTAGGGCTCATAAGTAGAGGCAAGATCTGGTTAAATAAGGGTCCGGCGCCGAATTCACGAGCCTTGTCTGTGATTTGACGAAGTGCAGCTTTACACATTGGTGGTGTACCATTCTAAAAAAAGACATTGAAATTGTTACTTTTCTTTTTATTTGATTGTATTTTGTTTTCAATGATAAATAAGTTTAACATACCTTTATCTTCAATAGAAGTTTCATAATCTTCCTCTCTTTCAATTCTTCTGGCGACAGACTGTCTTCGTCCACGTCAATGAGCAGTTTATCAAAATACTGCGCGTCTTCGGGTTTCATGAAGGGCAGCTGCTGGCTACCCTTGGGCTGCGGGTCGAGCAGGCGCGCGGCTGCAGCGGCCGACCCTCCCAGTTCCTCCGTCTGCATGAAAAAGCCGATAGGGGTACCACCCAGTGGAGTAGGTGTTGCGGTCAGCTTTCGGGCCGGGGTCCGAATTGGTACATAACCTGAGTAACAATGCATAAAGTTAACAAAATGCTACAGTCGCATGCCGCCGTCAATACTATTAATTTGTAAACATGCATTTTAACGCAGTACTCGAAACAGCAACTGACAAAATTTAAAGCTTAATCTGGCAGTAAATCCAACGGGATGAGACTGTAAAGCCATATGTCATCATTCATCTGAAAGAAAAATTAAGTATTAAATGTAGGTATTTCAAACTATAATTTAAAACTGGACAACACATGTATTTTACATTTAGGTACGATGACAGAATTCCACATGGTGTTCACTTTGTTTAATACATGTGTCCTGAAACTAACGTGATTATTAATAACTATGGTGTTTACCCTTATTTTGTATAACTTAGCAATTTATTCTACATAGTCCCACATCAGTGTATACATACCGGCAGGAGGCGGTAAAACCTTGTACCCAGGAGGGAACATGGCATCTAATTCTTCATCTGTGTATGGACGATTTCTTTCATCTATTTCTTTTTCCCATCGGTAAGCTTGTAATTGCTCTGGAGTCATAGCAGCGACATGTCCAGGAGTTGGTGTAGCCATTGCCATAGCTTTGATTCCCACTGGTGTAGACTGGAAATATATATATATATATATTTTTACTCTTAGAATGTACAGAAAAACCTTTATTTTCTAAAAAAAATTCTATTAAAAAAATAATTTGAAGAAAACCCAAGAAATTGTCAATTTTACTTACTCCTCCTGGTGTAAACATCGGTGTGTGCGGTGTGGGGGTCGCGTGTGAAGGGGTAGCATGGGAAGGAGTGGCGTGTGAGGGCGTAGCGTGAGACGGGGTCGGTGTAGCTGCAGCCGGAGTTGCTCCAGGAGTCTCATCCCATCGTGATCGACGCTTAGTGCCCGGAGTAGGAGTCTCCTGAATTGTGTCCACACCAGTCCCACGGTCCGTTCGTGGGGTTTCAGCCCACCCACTGTTGTGTCCCGGTGTCTCTGTTGATTAGGAATGAATAATATTTAACTCAAGTTTATCCAGCCATACCATTAGAGCAACTTGTGTAGAGAGCTTAGCTATATACTTACAGTAATAAATACTGATTCAATTTACACAATTTGTAGCGAAATAAGATTGCAATACTTTTATTTAACCTGACAGTTTCATGAGACTAATGCAAAACTTTTTAATTCAAATCATGATAAAGTATTAAAATAGTACCTATATAACAATTTATAAACAAAAATTTCAAATAGTTTTTTAATACTACAAATCATTAGTTATTGTAAGTTAAATAAGTAAATAATTTATTACCTCTATCGGTTTTAGGTGTCTCATCCCACCGGTTACGCCTAGAAGCGTGTTGTGCAGGTGTATCCCGGCCTGGAGTGGCATGTCCAGGTGTTATATGTCCAGGAGTAGCGTCCCAAACGCGAGCTGAAGGAGTAGCGCCAGGCGTTTCACCTCCACGACCAGGGGCACTGGGAGTTTCTTCCCAAGCACCTCGCTATAAAACAGGTCCAACACAACTAAATATAGCGAATATTGATCTAAGATAATACAAAACGTTCTAAATCAGCATATAAACCCAGTACTTATAAATCTAGGTGGATATTAAAAATCATAGTAGCTACAGGAAGTTTCCGCAGCTAAATCCTGCAAATTCTTCCGAGGCTTCCGATATTGGATACATTAGATGCCAAAGATGACCAAAACAGTTGAGTTCAACATTGAAATAAATTACGAAAATCAAAGATAATGTTCAAATATCGAAAAGTCGCTACCAGTAGACTGCCTCAAGGGCAAAAAATCTGGACAAGTGCGAGTCGGACTCGCCCTCCGAGGGTTCAGTACAAATTTGTAGGTACATAATGTTTATCAATAGTTCAGGAATCGAGTCTAGCAATTTTTCCCGAAATTTAGTCTCCAAAAGCTAGCTTTACTTATATTATTGTGTTTTAAAGGTAAAATTGTACCTCAATGATCGACTATGTCCTTTAAATAAATATTAAATTTTTAGATTTTTATCTTGTAGTATAAGATGATGATGTTACTTGCCTCAAGGGACTGTAAACTGTGTTTTAATTTCACCTTGATACCTCAACGCGTTCTCGAAATAAAGGGTATTGACAGACAGATGGACAACAAAGTGTTTTTTAAACAAACCGTTTTTTCGTTTTGAATTACGGAACTCTAAAAAAGGAAGTAAGTGAAAAGTTCTCTCATTTATCTTTAAGACAACACCTGATACAAAGACCTTTAAAAATCTTGTGGCCTACCGGTTATGACATCTGAAGGTTTTGATTTACTTATCTATTCAATTATACAAACTGAGTACTTGCTATAAATCATACCTCTTGGTCCCAAGATGGTGTAGCCTGCGAACTTGGCGTAGTTGAAACAGTCTTCTTAGCCACTGGGGTTTCCTCAGAACTTTGATCCCAACGTCCCTTGCGTTTAGCAGGTGGCTTGGCTGCTTCTCCATTAGGCTGTGCTACAGGCTTTAGTGTTCCCTCCCTGGCTCTTTCCAATAACTTCTTCCTTAACTGCAAGTATTTAAGATATTGGTTGAATAAACAATTTTTAATCATTTTTTCTTTTAAGTTGACCAAATGATTACTTACTTCTGTTTCTTCAGCCCGTAAATATTGCTCTTTCATAATTTCAGTGTATGTTCGAGAGCCAACATCTGGAGTTTTACCACCTGAAAGAAATTTTCTTGTTCAATCATGATTAAAACCTAATATGAATAACAATGTAAAAATAACTACATCTCTATTTTTAAAGAATAATCTGATTAAAAATATATTTAAAATCAAGAAAAATAACCTTCAGCAAATGGATCCATGCGTTCTGGAGATATAATCATCCTGCGCCTTTTTTGACGATATTCATCTTCTCGGTCAGCAATAGTTGGTCTCCTTTTGTCAGCAAATGGATCATAATCCTTATCACTCTGAAATAGATTTAAAGTATTCAGCTATTTAGTTTTATTGTAATTTACACATCCACATGATTAATAAAAAAAACAATTAATATTTTTACTATACACTTTTTTATGGCTTATTTATTAATATTTCAAGAGTACACAATTTTTTTTAATTATAATTTCAGCAAGTTAGAAAACCGAGTTTAAACGTGTTTTTCTCGAAACTACTTTTTTCGATGCGACTGCCATTTCTCAAGTTCTAGTCAACGACTGATTTACTTGAAATTTGGCATGAAAATTCTTTATATATTCCTCTATCGTATGATGATGATAAATACCAGAAATTATTTATTTTTAATATTTTAAAAAAAATCGGGCAAGTTAAAAAAATTGTGGGAAAATAGACCTCAACTTCTGAGTTTTTTTTTTATCACTTTTCTGGCATTTACACTGATCTAAAATTATGCATAATTTTATTTTTTAGGTGACCATGTGGGTAGCTTTCCCAATGGGCATGACTTGTTCAAGAATGTTAAACCTACAAAAGTCATCAAAAACAAGAAGGGTTTGAAAACGTAATTGATGTTATGTTATTTATGTCAAACATCTGTGTTCGGAACACAAGAATTGGTATCTATACAAATTCCAACTTCGTTACATTTAGAGCAAATTATTCTTTAATTACTGTGAGGATAGGGAATACAATCTCGGGAGATCTCGGTCTTTTTAGCGAGATTGATCTCGCACAAAAAAAGGGCGCGATCTCGCGAGTTTAACGAGATTGCACTTGAGCATAAAAACGTCTTATTCAAAGCGCCGACTAACACTACTTAGAAGTTTATTTAAAAATTATAGACAGATATTTAAAACAGTGTTTGATGCATAAAAGTCTATGGAAAAAATTCTTGAAAATCAATGATTATCTAGTAATAGTATAATTTTGATTTATTTTTTCCTAATTAATTCAAATATTGTGATTATTTGCAAAAAAAACATACAAAACTGACAATCTCGCGAGATCTCGAAATTGGCGAGATCTCGCAGTATTGTTATTGATAAACTCGCGGGATCTCTACTACTGATGTTAGAAAGTACACTAATCTTGTTCTCGATTGTGTGTGATGTTCAGGGTCATTGCCTGAACAATGTTTTTGCAGCGGTTTTAGCAATTTAAACTGTATATTTGATGTTTAAAGATAAATAGATCAATCAATTGCTTAATATTAGACCAACAGGCCAATCATTCATTACATGATATTGTGAAATAGAAACATAGAATACCTGTGCAATATCATTAAGGAGGGATGCGGGTGCAGTATATCCAGATCGCTTTTGTGTAATTGGAACATTTTCAACATCATCATCTTCTACTTCATCATTAGCAGCAATTGAAGTCACATATCCATCATACCTGGACTTACCACCCTGCCCTGAATTATCATAAATATCACTGTCATAATAATTTTCACCAAGGGCTACACCCTTTTTATTACCATTCTCTGGTAATTCACTCTTCTTTGATTGAATTTCTCTAATTTGAGCTTCAATAGCTGAAATTAAAACACGTATAGTATTAATTTAACATCATACAAAATAAGCCAAGCATTGACGGAATTTCTCAATATCGGTACTATACATCTTTGCTGCAAAATAAACTTTGCTTACTTTAGTAAGCTAAGTTTATTTTGCAAGAAATAAATGAGAAATCAGAGACCCAATAAATAACTAGAATGACAGTAATTTTTTTAGATTAAGGTCAGGTGTTATAAAAATATATTTATACAGGTGAGTAAAATATGTAAGGATAATTTTCTTTTATCAAGGCGTGGTAACATAGAGAACATTGGCGGCTAAGAATCTATTCAAACTATGAATTTACATGCGCATTAATATAATAAAGCTGGTATTATATTGTGTCATTAACAAATAAAAATAAGCATGTGAAATTGCGAACTAAAATATAGGCTATTTACAAATATGGCTGGCGTACGATTATGTGTAATTATTACCTTCATGTGTCCTAGGAATTTTGTCCATCTTCCACTGAAGTCATGAAGCACCACGGAGATAAAAACACAAAAAGTAACAACGATATTGTAATCTATTGGCAAATGTAATCTTTTCGCATCAAAAATAATTAACACACAGAGTTATCATTCACTATCAATATAAAGCCAAAAGAGTTGCCATTATAGAGTACAGTAATATTTTCAGAGAGTTGCCATTCATATACAAATATTGCTAAATAAAAATAACTATTTAAGATTGTACTTTTTCATCAAAGCCTGCATATTTTACAACTTTTTATTACTTTGAATTGTAAGTTGTGAAGTCCACTTCACCAGTGAAGTAGACCCTGAATAGGTCAATTTGGCAAAGGGTTTAAAATGAACATAATAATAGAATAGGTTTTCTCACTAACAAAAAAAACGAGGGAATTGGGATCGAAAACAATTTTTTTATGCTCAATTTCCTAAATTCAGTACGATATTACTTACCTAAAGTGAAAGTCTAAAGTTTTATTATTGTAGTTGTTTCTTACTTTTTTTATAAATCACTATTAGGGGTGTTCTAGCCATTTCAATACTAAATCCTTAAATTAATCAAAATTATTACCACGATAAAATCTAGATCATTGACTGCTTATTCAATCATTCTTGACATTGTGTTTAATAATTCTTGATATTGGATGCAATAATTCATCATTCTTGATACCTATTGTATTTAATAATCCTTGATATGTTATTCAATAATCCGTGACATTTTTTAAAAGTTCTTCGCCAATAATTTAGCAACCCCTCAACTGAGTTTCAAAATTATTACATTTTTAGAAAGAACTCATCTAGCCCTATCGCACGGTACCGGGAAGTCAAAAAAAATTGACCAAAAATAAATCTCACCTTCTAGAACATTGCTACCGAGGTACACACATATAAATTACATTTTGACTGTGATTTGGTCCCTGTACCCAAGCTTGGTGACATTGGGTACAGGGACCAAATCACCTGTGGTTAATGTTCCAAAGACAGGAACATTAAAAACAGGTGATTTGTGAAACCTCCTCATTAAACCCTCCGTGCCAAGGAGAACCGCCCTCTGCATCAGGGATTTTATCCAGCCAGATCCAGCCGTCTAACATGAGTCTCTTGGCTCTCAATCACCCAATCCAGATATCGACAATCTCGTGAGATAAATCCAAATATTTTATTTGTTTTTAATTTTCAACTGTCGGAAGATTCCGGGCATGACGAACGGCGATATCAACAATCATTGCCCGGTGCTCCAACCAATCTATTACCACAATATCAGGCTTATTGCCCTTTTATGCAACTATAGTCTGGTATGTATAGTATGGATTTAGTCTGAACTTATGTATTAAGTTAAGTCTACGTCTACGTCTTATAAATTGAGAATTTTCTTTTGCGTGGCTAGTAGCTTTCTTCATTATAGTAATCTGTGGTTGTTAGTGAAGTTGATGAGGTCGGAAATCTATTCTTGTTTCAAAACTTATACTATTTAAAGACTGTATAACAGTTATTTTTAAAATCACTATTATTATTTTGTACTTCAATCTCAGAACACCTTGTCATGCTTGTCTGAGACTCAAGACTAACAGGGCTTGACTCAAAAAATTCAGTCAAGCCATGTTAGAATCAACTTTAGCGGCTTTCCATTCTAGGGACTGGGACCAAGCAGCTCGATTTTAAAAGACTTGGCAACACCTTTTATCAGGGATGTTAGTCATACTAATTTCTTGGTATACGTAGGACTTTTCAGGGTTTTGTACCATATACCAAGTAAAAATTTACTGTTTATAATAATATTTATTTTTGACCCATTGAGTAACTTACTTCAGATTAACTTTATTAATCTAGGGAATTATCCATGGATGACAGGTGTGGTTTTTTCAGAAAATAATATAAAAATTCGGTCAATGTCATTCACGGTTGATTTGTGTTGATGTTTTTCAAATCATGTTAAGACATTTATAGGATCTAAGAATAATAATAATGAGAATAATTATTTTTAGTTATAATATTAATAATAACTTTTATTGTTAATTTTGTATTTTTTTCAAATAATCAATAATTTCTTCGGTAGTTAAAATTTTCATTTCAAAGAACGTACAAAATAAACGATTTATTATTATTATAACGTTATTGTAAATGTACAATTTTTTTAAATACCAGCTTTTAGAGACATCTGTACCAGCTTTATTGTGCTACAATCTAACATCCCTGCTATTTATTAATCTGTGCATATTTCTCTTACTACTGCAGCTGGGTACGTGTGTGCTCGTCTCAAGTAAATAATTTTTATTGCATTATATTATTAGTTTTATATTAATTCATGTTATTTCCACACAGGGGAAATAATAAATTATCCTGGCGGCTAAAGAATAATCGTCCAGGTTGATTTGCTACAGTACTTTGGGTAAGTGTTATTGTATTTTGTAAAGACGGGTTCCACGTCAAATGTGCTGGAAGGTGACACGTATTATCAAAATTAGGATGCCAATTTTCATCAGTTTTTTAAACTTATTTTAATGCTTAATCTATACTTCGGTTACGCTTAGTTGTTTATTATCTTTTATAGTATGTTTCCATCTATTTCCATGCAGTTTGATTACCAATGAATTATAACGAGCTAGGCCTGCATGTGTAGTGTGGAGTTTATGCTGTTAGAATATGCCTTAGTGGCGTATTTAAATTGTTATTCGGCATACATGAGTAATTAATTATTTCTGTCATATTTCAGTACTTTCTACAATAAGTAACTAGTGTCAAATAATGACAGTGTTTTTCTATCTTTATAAAGTTATTGTTAAATGGACTCAAAAATAGTAAAATGGTCATAAATAATTTAGACCAACAATAAAAAGTCAATTCTTACTAACATTCTAGGAGTTTTGCTCGAAAAAAAAATGTTGTTATTATTAGTATGGTTCTTTTTAAGATTAAAAATGATTAAAATCCTTAATAAAATCTTAAAAACTTATTAAAGTCCTTAATAAAATCTTAAAAAATCCTAAATATAAATATGTTGTTGATTGAAAAAAAAAACTATTAAATATTAACATGTCTTCAGGTAAAGATGTGTATGTTTAATTTATAAGCAGTTATCACATACAGATCATGCAAGTAAAAATGTGCTTAACAATCTTTGTTAGAAGTGTTTCAAAATAACCTTTTAGATTAATAGCTTAGTGTAGAACATAATTTAGATTTAATTAATGAAGTACTTTCTATTACTTAATTAATTTTGTATTCATATTGTATTCAGATTAATTGATACAAGTTTTGTATGAATAGCCATGAAACAATTGTTCAAATATGATAATGTAAACATTATAACACTAACTGACTTGTATAAGTGTGTCTTCATTATCATTAAAAACCTTATATATTTTTATTGTACAGTACTGTAACGACTTGGCGCGCACAAGGACTGCTGGAGGGGACGAAAATGATGCATCAGCAATCCATGATGGTTGGAGATATGATACCTGTACATTCTGAAATACCTACGCATGTTGAGGAGATGAATAATATTAACTACGAAAACAATGCTTCTTATGCCTATGATGACCTTTTTCCGGCTCTACCTCATTCCCAGCCACCTGTGCAGCGCAGTATACAACAAGCAACTAATAAGCTTCGTGTTGGTTCTTCGCTGCATACCCAGGTACTAAGGATTTCAATCTTCAATTATAGACATTCTATCAATAAATAAGTTTTATAGAAAAATAGCTTTTTTTTCACTCACAATTAGGTTTAATATTATTTAAATAAAGAGCACCAATCACATGCACTTTCGTAAGAGATAAGCTAAATATGTAGCTACATGTGGGTAGCACATGTGTGTGCTTAAAATATTTTACGTAATCAGTACTTAATGGCTTGTGATAAAGTTTATTGTGTAAAATTATTATATTTCTTTCAGATAACAAAATGAATTAAGATATTGATTACTTTTCAGCTTACTGAAAAGTATGCTAAATTCAAATTTAGTTGAAAAGTTTGTCATGTTTCAAGCTAATACTGAAAATACTACAATGCTTTTAAGGTGTTTTGTTTAATAATAAAGATGGCCAGTGTATACCACTTTTTTTTTCAACCCACAATGCTGTGACAACATTTTAACAGCATTGCAATAACAGCAGTTAGTAAAAATTAACTGCTTTTTGTAATCTATTTAGATAAAACTATCTAGTGCCCGCGATTTGTTCGCGTTGAATTTGAAAAGCGCTGCCTGCATGGCTTTACGCAGTTGCAACAAGTCGATGAGGAGTCGACAATAGTCCATGTTCAGACCCTCACATGGCAGAACAACCCTGTACATGGATCGTTTTCGACTACTCATAGACAAATTGCAATCTGCATAGTTAACAATCTCACTGACTTACAATACTATAAGTATGTAAGTTAGTATAACCAAAATCATTTGGAAAATCACGAATAGAGCTGAATAAATGTTGTTAGTTCCTTAGTAAGTGCATATCATTCTGTGTATGGAATCTAAATATGTTTGTTGTGAACACTTCTACTCTAGGCCGATTAGAAGTGAAATACCTGTTGTCCTAAATTGTTAATTTTATAAGTAACCTAAAGTTCTTTTTTTTAGGTTTTCCATGTGCCATATGAAGAAAGAAAGTTGGACAATGCTAACACTTTTGGTGAGGGAGAGTCATTGAGAACTTGCCAGTCCATTACTAAGGATACTGGAGCTCATATTGAAATCTCTACTAGTAAGGATGGCAGCTTAACTTTCTTGATGACTGGTAAACTTAGTGCAGTCCTTGATGCAAGACGGCTAATTTTAACTCACTTCCAACAACAGGTATGAACTAAAGTTATTAATGTTGGTCTTTATATTTTTTTTGAAGGTAAGACTTCTAATCTAAAATGAAATTATATCTAATATTATCTTATGATTTATTTTGTTTTATTTTATTGGTAGGCGAGCAAGCAAATAGCTATTCCCAAGGAGCATCACCGTTGGATTTTAGGGAAACAAGGACAAAAACTGAAAGAGTTAGAAAAAGTAACTGCTACAAAAATTAGTGTGCCTGGGATAGCAGAAAATAGTGAAACTATAACTATCACTGGCACCAAGGAGGGCATAGAAAAAGCTGAACATGAAATCCGAGTATGCTCTGAGGAACAAGTAAGAAATGATTTATATATGATTTAAAACCTCAACAGCGAGACTACCAAAAATATAATAATAATAACAATAAATTTTGCTATGATTCAAAATCAATGCAAGTGTAATTTTGTTGTAAATAAACTGTGTAAAATTGTACTCCCAGCCCAAAAATTAAAACTTTAAACTTACCATGATATCAGTAATATATTTCACATGCTCTTTTTTGTCATGAGACATTTAGTCTATGTTTGTTGACAGTAAAAATAAGGTACATCTGTGAATTTAGGTGATTAAAATAATTCCTAACTTGTATTGTAAATCATACATTTGCAGTCTGCTCTATTTAATGTACATGTAAAATAAATCATAGCAAGTTATTTGTCACTTACATTCCACACTAAAAAATAATTCGAAATAATTGACTAGAAAATAATCTTCCTCAATAAAATCCAACATATAATATGCCCAAATTCTTAAACATATTTATTTCAGTAATGGTGACATAAAAGTCTACTTTTTTATGTATATATTTAAAATAATGTGTGTTTAATATATTATACTTTAGATGTAAATTTATTAATAAATTAGTAATATAAGTTTTTTAATGAATATTCAAGTAATGTTTGTCTTAAGAGAACATTTACATCCATAAACTGGGTCTCACATTAAGGGTGGTCAACTTTTTATGTTTCAGAATTGTCTCTTTACTTGTGCTGTAAGACATTGCTTTTAACCAAAATTGACAATTCTAGGTCAACCGGAATTACCCTATAGGTTTTGGGTCGAAAACCTATACGGTAGTTCCCGTTGACCTAGAATCACGAAATTTAACAAAAAGAAACGTCTGCCAACACAAATAAAGGAATAATTCCAAAAAATAAAAAAGTTGAAAATTAAGATAAATTTTGGTACTTACAAGTTTACGCGAAAATCTACGTAAAATCTGAGTAGGTACGGAACCCTCGGCGCACGAGTTCGACTCGTACCTGATCGTTTTTTTTTTAAATTGTAATAGACAATAAAATAGATAGAAATTAAACTAATTTCGCAACTGCTGTTCTATACGTAAAATTGAAAAAAAAATACATCACATATTTTTCGGGAGTCATACAAATGCGACTAGCTGTGACTTTGGTTGGGGGTAATAAAAACCATTAAAATCATATGACAGAATTTATAGATGACTCCTTAAGACAAACAGGAATTAAAATTTAGTGAGTAGGTCACAGTTTGAATTCCAGTCAAAAAGAAGTATCATATTGTCGACATTCAATGATGGTTACATGATTTTGGCAAACATAGACATGACGTTATTAACTCTGATTGGTTATTAATCTATCATGGTAGATTGCTGTATATTTAAATAGAATTTTACTAAAAATAACATTTACAATAATAATCCATTAATCCTATTTTATTACACCTTTTATATGTGCATACATAGTACATTTTTTTATGTTCAAAAATTTAAATTAAATCTCAATTCTATCTAAAAATAACATGCACTGTTTTACATGCTTTATGATACGATATTGTGTTTCAGTCACGTAAGGCTTTAGAACGAGTAAAAATCCCGAAGATCTACCACCCCTTCATCCAAGGTCCATATGGTGAACGTGCAGCTGCACTCACTGCAGAGACTGGAGCGCGTATTCACATTCCCCCAGCTTCCACCCAAAGCGATGAGATCGTCATTGCAGGCGAGAAAAATGGTGTACTTTCTGCTAAAGCTCAAATTGAGCAAATCTATCAGGACATGGTAAATATATTCGAAACTTATTTAAAAACTAATGTAAAAACTAGCTATTGCCCGTAGTTTTGCTCGCGGGCTTATTAATCATTTCGTGTTTCTAACTTTGAAAATGACGTACTTCCATAAACCCTTCATCCCTTTTAGTGAGGAAATTTTCGAAAAACTTTCTTAGTGGATACATAAAAACCTGCCATAATTGTAAGTTTGTAGTCCCAGCGGTTTAGGCTCTGCGTTTATGAATCAGTCAGTGAGGGCAAGAAATTTTATACAAATAGATAAGAGGATTTATCACTTTTCAAGTCTAGACTGATGTGAGAAACTAGATGACATTTTTAAAACGAAATTTTAAATCACTTTGGAACATGCAAGCTTTGTTAAATATATGCACTGGTACATTACTCATATTTTCAACATTAGATAAGCGTATTGATTAAAAAGAAGTATGTAGCTATAGTTATCAGTACATTAAATTATCACAAAATATAATTTTCATTACCTAATGTAACAAGACATTCACCCATTCATGAAGGTCAGTCACTTATTACATAAATCCAACTGTGAATTAGAACAAATCATAAACATACAAAAGAAGAAATTAGACCTATTAATTCAAATCTGCCTTTCTAATTAATTGAACTATTACCAATCTTTCATCGGACTACTAGGACACCCAGACAGAGGTTTCATTGTCGAAACACGAGAGAATCGAACTGAACATTTTGGAAGGTCGAAATTCCAATTTTTGGTATGGAAATACCAAATTTTAGATCGTCTGCATTATTGGATAACCATTTATTTTACTACTACTTGCTTCATAAATCAATATCATGCTTAGCTTTGGGTGTAAGTTTTAAAAAAGTTCAGGAATTCAGTTCAGTTTTCATTGAAATTGTATGTTCATGCTATTATTAACAATAGAACTTTTTTGAATTTGTGGCTTTAAATTGAAAGTAGAAGACTGTCACATATATTACTAGACACAACATTTTTTTTTACTAGGTCAAGAAATGTTCGACAGTGCGTGTGGAAGTACCTAAATCTCAGCACAAGTATGTTATTGGAGCTCGTGGAACTACCATCCAAGAAATTCTAAAAGAGACTGAAGTATCTGTAGAGATGCCACCACCTGATTCACCTACAGGCACTATAACTCTTCATGGACCACACAACAAGATTGGTCTTGGTAAGTGGCATTATTTTAATCCATTTGGAATAGTGTTTAATATTTATTAAGAGAGGATAATGTTACACTACCAGAGAGTATTTATTTATTTGAAAAAAAGAATTAAATTATACATAAATAATGTACTTTTTTTAATTCAATAGCTCTTTCTAAAGTCTGCGAAAAGGCAAACTCTGTTAAAACAGCCACCGTCGATGCGCCGACTTGGATTCATAAATATATTATTGGCAAAAATGGTTCAAACATTAAGAAGATAACACAAGAATTCTCAAAGGTATGGATTAAATGTCTACATACATTACAATTAATAGTAGTATAATATTTTAACTTCTTAAAGTAACATCAAATATTTGGATATCTAAAGAAACTTTAAAGTATGAAACAATACAAAATAATAGTAAGCTATTTGTTTGATTTTTTTTTTTTTTTAATTTTATGATTTCTATTAGATAGATAGATAGATTTCTAATAGTTATGTTTTAGGAGTAATAATACATACATAAATATTTGTCACGTCCTGTTCCCATCCTGGGTAGAAAGAGATGATGGAGCATCATTTACCTCGAGCTTGACACATTCATCACACTAGTCAATGATCAGTCCCTATAGGAACTAGTATCTATCACAATTTGGCTTACCGATGCCTCCCGCAGGAGACTACTCAGGGGTTGTGCTTTCCATGGCCCTTTATGGGGCCCCAGCATGGGCGGGGGCCCTGAAGGCCAGCAACTTCGCACTACTGCGACGACCGCAGCGAGTTCTGGCCATCAGGGTCATATAGGGGTACCGCACGATCCCCTTTTAGGCGGCGAGTCTCCTGGCCGGAACTCCACTGTGGGACCTGGAGGCGAGAGCCCTTGCGGTTCTGTATCAGTGGCGCAAGGAGGCGCGGGTGTTGGGTCGGAGTCCTGAGACTCGAGAAATCGAAGACCAGAAATCCCAACTCCACCGGGTCCACGTAGAGGAGTGGAGGGAATGTCTTGGGCCCGAGCGCCGGGCACGCCATTAGCGCGGCGGTAAGACCCGGAGGAGGATGGAGGGTTGGCTCGAGAGGCATTATGAGACCCTCTCATACCGGTTAACGCAGGTGATCACTGGGAAAGGTTGCTTCGGAGATCAACTGTGTCTGATCCGCAAAGAGCCAACGCCTGAGTGCCACCACTGTGATGACCGGACCGTGGACACGGCGCTCCACACGCTGGCAGAATGCCCGGCGTATGTGGAGCGGAGGCGTGACCTCGTGGCGGCCATCGGGGTGGGATTTCTCTTGCTCGGTAACATGATTGCGGCCATGGTACGGAGCGAGAGTGGTGGAACTCCGTCTTCTCTTTCTGTGAGCAAGTTATGCTTGCAAAGGAGATGACGGAGCGGGACCGGGTGAGATTTAGAACTCTCCCGTCTCCGGTACCCGAGACGGCGTGCGGTTTTTAGTTGGTTCGAGTCTGACATAGCCACCTGTTGGTGGTATCCGAGGGGATATCCGCACAGAAAAAATAAAGGAAACGTGATCTCTGGTATTTGTGATTTAAAATTAATTTAAAGTACTATTATTTAAAATGTATCAATAAAAAAATATTGTTATTGGCAGATCCACGTTGATATAACACATTCTGAAGATAAGGTGAAGATAGATGGACCCCCAGAGGAAGTAGAGCGCGCTCAACTAGAGTTAGACAGCTTTGTGAAAAATTTGCTTGCTACTCTTACATATGTTGAACTATCAGTGGATCCTAAGTTCTTTAAACACATCATTGGCAAGAGTGGAACTAACAGTAAGAAAGAAATACTTATACACTTAACAAATCAATTAACATATAAAGAATATTACAGATTTTATTTTTTTGTTTTCAGTTAATAGACTGAAGGATGAGACTGGGGTAGTTATTAACATTATTGAAAGTGAAGGTAACAATATTATTCGCATTGAAGGCAGTCGCCAAGGTGTAGCTGATGCTGAAAGGGAACTACGAGAAATGGTAATGAAACTGGAAAATGAAAGGACTAAAGAAGTTTATGTTGATCACAGATACATTAAATCTCTTATTGGAGTCAGGGGAGAAAAAATAAAAGAACTTCGTGAGAAGTTTGAACGTGTGCTGATTACTCTACCTGACCAGGGACAAAAAAGGAGTCCAGTTAAACTAAGGGGACCTCAAGAAGATATTGAAAAATGTGAGAAGTATCTGCACAAAATAATTAAAGAAATAGCTGAATGGTCTTACGTCCAGGAAGTACCTATTTTCAAGCAATTCCACAAGTTCATTATTGGTAAAGGGGGTGCAAATTTAAGAAAAATTCGTGATGAAACACAAACTGTTATTGATCTGCCTGCAGAGGGAGATGATAGTGATGTTATTACAGTACGAGGGAAGCGCGAAAATGTCGAAGAAGCTGTTAAAAAAATCCAGCAAATTCATAATGAGAAAGCGAATGTTGTTACAGAGGAAGTTACTATTGCTCCTAAATACTATAATTCCTTGATTGGGGCAGGAGGAAAACTTATTCATTCTATAATGGAGGAATGTGGAGGAGTATTGATCAAATTCCCTCCAGCAGAGAGTGACAGTGACAAAGTGGTTATTAAAGGACCAATTGAAGATGTCGAAAAAGCAAAGCAGCAACTACTAGCTCACGCTTCAGAACGGGAACTTACATCTCATACGGCTCATGTTCGTGCTAAACCTGAACATCACAAATTCCTTATTGGTAAAAATGGTGCTAATATTAAAAAAATTCGCGAGCAAACTGGCGCTCGAATTATCTTTCCGACTGATAAGGACGAAGACAAGGAAGCTATATTTATAATTGGTTAGTATAACCTATGTAGCCTACACCTATAACAATACTTGTGCACAAAACTAAAATATGTATCTAATATTTCAAAGCCAATAATTAATATGATTATACAATTATAAAATATACATTTCATCAGCCTATTACTGTCCACTGCTGAACGAAGGCCTCCCCCTCGGAGCAACACCTATCCCGTCTTACTGACACAATTATATTTATATTTCTCGACTTCAGTCAAACATATTTAAAATTTTAACAAAATCGATATTATTTAAAAACAGAATAATTAATATTGAAATTGACAACCACAGAGAATTCACACCATTATAAATAGTCTATTTTCTTTTACACACCAGTAAAAGTGGATTTGAATATTTATTTAGGACGTCAAGAACAAGTAGAAGCAGCTCGTAAGCAATTGGAAGCAGCTGTAGCTGAGATCAGCAATGTATCAGAGGGTGAAATGTCTGTGACTCCTCGTCACCACAGACATTTCGTGGCACGACGTGGTGAGGTGCTGCGGCGTATCGCTGAAGACTGCGGTGGCGTCCAAATATCATTCCCGAGGCAAGGGGTCAACAGTGACCGCGTTGTGCTCAAGGGTCCAAAGGATTGTATAGAAGCTGCCAAAATTAGAATCAATGAGATCATTGAAGATTTGGAAGCTAAGGTATTTGATTAGTCATTATATTTATAATTAATTTAATAGATTTTAAATATCTTTATTCCAGTACTGATATAATATTAGTAATAAATTAAGCAGAAATGCTGTAGAAACAATAACATTACTCCAATGAGTAAGTTCACTGTCAGCACTGTGTGGTACAGTTTTTAGATAAGAGCCACTTCAGTGCAGCTTGCATTACTTGAGTTACATTCTTTCACATTCGTTGCTATCTAATACTTACAAAATAATATATTATATTAAAATATACATATATATATATATAATCTGTATGTATGTAAGTAGTATTACAAACAATGGAAGAAGAAAACTCACTATTCTCACACCTAATAAATTTGGGAAACCCTTTTCCCAAATTTATTTGAGGTCTTACCTTACCCTTAAGATAATGACGAATGATGATATAAATATGTATTTATATTATCATCAGTAAATAAATATGTATTTATATTATCATCATATTAAACAATAAACCCTTGTATTTCCTCTTGTGAAACCAAACAGTATCAAAGCAATCAAGCCAGTTATTCTGCAAGGCAGCCATTATTACATTAATATCAAAACTGCCTAACCCTAATGTGTGGGTTAAACCAAACACTTACACTTGCAATACTTCTTACTACAGATTATATTAAAAAAAAACAAAATCCTTACTATTAACAGAGCCACATTTCATGCACTTATAAATTTCCCTTACCTGTTGCACTTATTGACAATTAGTATGGTATCATTGCGATAGTACATTTACTTCATTCTTGAAATTTACTTGACTTGAAATAAGATAAAGAGATTAGCAGACGATTAAAACAATTAATATTTTCACAGGTGACAATAGAATGTGTGATTCCTCAAAGACACCACCGTACTGTAATGGGTGCTCGTGGCGCCAAAGTAAAAGATATAACCGCGGAACATGATGTCCAAATTAAGTTTCCTGAGCGAGACACAACTGAGGGTGCTGACGTACCAGTGAAGGACAATGATGAAAGTGCGGAGCCTGGACCTAATGATATAATCAGGATCACCGGTCGCCCAGAAAACTGTGAAGCAGCTAAAAATGCGCTACTAGAACAGGTAGTCATGATGAACACAAATTTTGATTATATTATTAAGATTGATTAAATAGAGATTTGAATATATTGTCTGTGTAGTGACAAATTAAGAATACGGAATGTCTGTACCCCAATTTATCCCGTGGGTGTCGTAAGAGGAGGAGTCGCAGGACACCAGCACTGCAAAAAGAAGAAAAACTTGACACAAACCCTATACTAACCCATCCGGCCAGCATGGTATAGTAGGCCAAAACCTCCTTTCTAAGGAGAGGCCTATGTCCAGCACTGAACTGTTGATGTGATGATTAAGAATATGCTGTTTAAAACAGTATGTTTTAAAATATTGTTAATTTTGCTTCAGGTTCCAATTACAATTGATGTGGAAGTGCCTAATGAGTTGCATAGACTACTGGCTGGTCAGAAGAGAAGAGAACTAATGCAGACATATGATGTTCATATACTTCTTCCGCCTAATGATGACACCAGTGATATAGTTAAGGTAATACAACCTACTTACTTTTAAAATTTTAATATTGCAGTAATAATCACAATCAAAATTATTGTATGTCTCTATTATGTATGGGTTATTTACAGGTAACCGGAACACCTGCTAATGTTGAAAGGGCTAAACTTGCACTTGTTGACAAGATAGTTGAAATGGAAAAAGAGAAAGAAGATAGAGTTCTCAGGTATGTTTAATCGTCCACGTCCGAGTGCTGATTGGTATGCCACGATTGTCGGGCCACTGCCGTACAAAAGGAAAAAAAATACACGCATTTGTAGCTAGCCGACATTTCCTTAAGTTCAGGAAGAAAAATCATCGGGTTAAAAAAGCGTAGATAGCGACATAAAAAATGAAGAATGTTGACAATTTACACGCCCTCAATCTCTCAAGCCTTTTCAGACAAGTTGCTAAAATGTATTTTCATGATGATTACATTGTTTTTTAGGTCTTTTGAGCTGAAATTCAAAGTTGATCCCGAATACCACCCTCTGGTAATTGGTAAGGGAGGCGTTGTTATTACCAAGATCCGTACAGACTATGGAGTACAAATTAATTTGCCAAAACGCGGCGAACCCGATGACGACATTATTACCATTCAGGGTTATGAAGACAAGGCCTTGCAAGCTAAGGAAGCCATCATGGCCATTGTTCATCAATTGGTAAGATTCACAATAAAGGTACATCGTCAGATTAGCCTTTCTCGTAATATTGAATGAATATAGTTAGAATTTTAAAATATAATTTAATATTCGAAAATATCCTACACTACATGCTTAAAAATATAAATATAGTAAACATTTATGTCAATACAAAAGGATAATGGATTTATGTTTTACACAGGATAATCAGTACCGTGAGGAGGTTGATATTGATCCTAGAGTTCACCGCAGGCTTATTGGCCTCAGAGGCAAGAACATAAGACGCATCATGGACGAGTATAAGGTTGACATACGTTTTCCAAAACAGGGTGACGATAGTATTGTTGTCATCACGGGAGACGAGGATAATGTACTTGATGCTAAAGATCATCTTCTCAACCTAGCTGAAGAATATGTAAGCACCTCTAAATCATGACTTCTATAATTATTATAGAACTGGCACTTAATTGATTTTTTCTTCTACATAGATGCAAGACGTCGCGGATCGGTACACGCGCCCAGCGGCACCTTCACTGGGTGACTTCGGCGATGTGCTCGGAGAGACCGCGACCGCGGCCGCTCCTGCTAGTACAGGTGCAGGGTCAGCGACAGCCGGGACCGGGTTCGTGGTGAAGGGTGGTCCGTGGGAGCAACGCGCCCCAGACACGGCGTCAACGCACGAGTTCCCCACCATGCCCGGCGCCACCCGCCAACCGGCGCCGGCTGCCCCCACCCCCACAGCCGCATGGGGTCCTCGCCGCTAGTTGCCTAACTGAAACAGGCGCGCATACGTCTTTAGTCTAGTATATAGTCGAGTGTGCCGCGTTTTAGTTCAGCTCTTTTGTCGTGGCGCGATGACGTAAGCGGCAGCCTGCTTGTATAATTTGCACTATTGCAAAGTAATCATTTTGTGTTCTCGCTACTCATAATCTTAAAAAATTGCAGTTATCTCTTGTACTCTCGCGCAATACTATAAAATGGGGCCTGATACATAATACAATTAATTTACTCGAAAGATGTCATCATTTGCTGCGATTTTTTGAATTTTAAGTAATGTGAGTTCAGGCTGAACGTTTTTTCTTATTATATATTACGTCATTTCGTTATTTTATAATGAATTATAATATAATTATATATCTATGAATAAAAAAGCCATTCTAATAAGTTGTTATTTACGTTGATATAATTTATAACCAAAACATCTATGGATGTATTGTACTAGTGCATTTTTATAATATGCATAACAAAACTGATTCCCTGTACTTATTTAAAATTATAATGAAATTTCTATTTTTCATACAGAATAGTTTTCACGTTTTTTTATCATGTTTATAATGTTGCCTATAAAAATAATGAATCAATAAGTAATAAGACAAGAATGAATATTTTTACAAAATAATATGTACATAGTAAATTGTGTTTGAAAATATTAATAAAATCTTTTACATGAATATACTGACTTTATTTTCATTATATCATTTTTTTATTATTTCATTATATATATATATATATTATATATATCATTGTAGTAGCGCATGTGACTGCTGTGCTGAGGTCTCTGATTCTGTTATCGGGTCGGACCAAATGTTTTTATGATCTGCAAATATTTGCTTCCGAGTTTGGGTGTTTCCTATGTACAATATGTATGTGTTAACAAAAGAAAGTATTTAGTATCGCCAAGCGAAACCTACCTTGTCTGGAAGCGCTTAGTTATTTTTTTTAAACCCTCATAACAACTTGGGTTTGAATTATACCCGATGAACGAAATTCTCGAGATATGTAAATAGTGGACTTATTAAATGTATAAAGTCCCTACAAATACCTTTTATTTTACCTTTTATTTGATCAATATAAATATTACAGTGTAGGACATTTCAGTTTAACATAGATCTTAGACAATAATTAGACTAAATTACACTAGCGTAAATTTATAGTAGTGTTATTTTATTCTTATGACTGTGTAGTATGATTCATATTGTATGATTTTGTATATTAAGATTTTGTTAAAAACTTTAGTCGCTGCCTGCCTGAACTAGGGTAAACCTGTGTTTCAGGCGATCGCTTGACATGGAATTTTTAAGGTGGAAATGTAAGATAAACATAACAGATCACTAGAAAATATAAAAAAATACTACAAAGTGTACACGTACGAAAGCAAATAATAGAAAATAATATTATACAAAAACTATTTAAGACTCATTTAACAATTGCCAATACATTTTCTGTGTCTGCATAGTTAAATTTACCTAAATATTCTGATAACATGATCACACATTTTTTATTATTGAGGCTGTAGGGGGAAGTGGTGCAAATTCATACAAGAGGCACCGTCATACACTAGATACATCTGTTGCTAGGCGCACATTGGCGCACATCAACTGAACGACTTATCCGTGTACGCGTAGCTTACTTATGTGTGTATTGGCTCACGGAGTTTGACAACAGTCGGTGGGAAATTCGCGATGAGGTGACATGGAACGTGATTCGGCCACGCGTAAGTAATTTTAAAACCTCACTTTAAACATCTTTTTTTTAACAAAAGCTTTTTTCTAGATTTTTCAGTACTATTTTATTCAAAAGGTAATAGGATCAAGTTGTTGTATGTAAATTGATACGTGAATAATGACATTTACAGTTGATTTTTTTTTAGGAATATTTTTATTTCTTTTTCTTGTGATGGGGTTGGTTCATACAGCAGTAAGCGGGGTACATTCATACTGTATGAATGTGCCCCACATTTTTATTTCTTCGAGATCCTAGAGAATATATTTTACACTATTTATACACAATTTAAATGCCGATCGGATTTTCAACAACGACGAATCTGGTATTTCTACTGTTCTGAGCACACCCAAAATTTTTGATGACAAGAGCCAAAAACAGGTTGGTCAAATAGTGTCTGCCGAAGGAGGAGAACTGGTCACATTTGGTGGTATTATTACAGCAAGTGGAAACACCATACCGCCCTTATTCATCTTCCCTCGAGTACATTTTAAGGACCACTTCATAGAAGATGCTCCAGAAGGCTCTTTAGGTGTAGCCACGAGAAGTGGTTGGATAAACTTGAGCATTTTTGTTGATGTTCTAAAGCACATTCAGAGACACACCTTATGTTCGAAAGAAAATCCAATATTCCTTTTATATGACAACCATGAAAGTCACATTTCTATTGATGCAATCAACTACTGCCGTGACAATGGAATTGTGTGCCTTTCCTCTCCACCTCACACGACTCACCGCCTTCAAGCATTAGATGTTGGAGTATTTGGACCATTAAAGTCGAAATTAAAAAAGGCTTTCAATGACGCATGGCACGTTTCCAATTCAGGAAAAACACTTAATATTTATAATCAAAGAAATCAAGAAAGACTGTTAGGTTAACTAACTTCCTTCAGTGTCATAAAAAGGAAAACTACCTACATTTATGTTATTCTCTTTTTTACTTAGTATTATTTGGTTATTACTTAGTATTAGTTGCTCATATAGACTAATTGCTTTGGTTTTCGAGAACGTTGTGGTTTGATACTTTTATTTTGATGAATAATTAAACTTTTCATGCTAAACTTGTGTATTTTTTTACATGTATGAATCTGTCCCATAGCCTGTATGAGAGTGCCCCGCATGTGGGGTACATTCATACATTTTAATTTTTTTTTTTAAACTTTTATTAAAAGTCGCACATATGTATTTACACAAATTACATGTTCTTGAAATAAAGTCAGATAGTTAAACTACTAGTTTTTGATGAATCGATACAGATATTGATACCAGAGTAAATTCTATAATACGAAATATAGAAACTGTATGAGGCTGCCCCACCTTCCCCTATATATGTATTCTATTAATTTTATTGTATAAAATAGGCCCTAAAAATAAATAAAATCTATGAACAAATGTATGACTAGCTTGAGGCCTGCTACACGCTATGTTATTCCTTCTCTTATTTGATGGTATGAGGTTATAGGGAAGTTCAGTATGCTGTTTTAGAATGCTGTGCAATATAAATAACTGTCGGACTGTTAGTACATTACATGCAATGTAAAGCTGGTGTGTGGGAAATATGAATGGGCGGAACGTCGCCACCTTCAGAATGGCTCTTTGAGCGCGCTCTAAACGCAGTGATATTGACTTTGCTGCACCACCCCATGAAGTAATGCAATAAGTAAGTATTGATTCACACAACGATGAATAGACTTGCCTTAATAATGTGTAATCGGCTACACTGCGAAGACTCTTAAATATATATATTAATTTTCGTACCCTTGTACATAATAAGTCAACGTGTTTACGGAAATTCAAATGTTGGTCAAGGATGACACCTAGATATTTCACTTCATCGGAGTTTGCTAAAGCAGAGCAGGTACACGCAAAGTCAGCAGATATTTTGCAGCTATGTGCGTATATCTTTGGACTAATTGTAGGTATGTTTGTACCCCTCATTGAAAATATAATGTATTTGGTTTTATCTGTATTTAGGGTTAGTAGATTTTTATATAGCCAGTTAGTCACTATGTTAAAGCCTGTCTGAGCGAGCTCAAAAACTTCACTACGAGATTTCGCTGTAAATAATAAAGCCGTGTCATCCGCATAAGATATTATGACACCACTTGGTATCTTCAGGCTGTTCAGGTCATTGATATAAACTAGGAACAAGGTACAGCCCAGAACGCTGCCCTGGGGAAAACCATAGCCAGTGTTCTATGCTTCAGTAGGTACTTAAGTATTGACCAATTTTCACACATTGACGGCGATCACTAAGATAATCCGAAAATAAGCGAAGTTGTGTTCCCCGTATCCCAAGTGCTTCGAGCTTATTCAAAAGTATAGAGCAAGATATACTATCGAAAGCTTTGGCGAGGTCTAGGAAAATCCCGATGGTGTGCATTCCCCCATCCAGACAACTAGCTATGTAGTTTGTTAAGTGGTGTACTGCATGATTAGTCGATCTTTTCTGCCTAAAGCCGTATTGGTTCTGGGAAAGCAAGTTGTTGTCTTCAAGGTATTTTATCAACCTATTGTTTATAAGTTTCTCTAAAATTTTCGAAAGTCCCGATACTGAGATTGGTCTGTAGCTATTTACACATGTTTTATCTCCTGATTTAAATACAGGCGTCACTACTGCTTTTTTAAGCGACCTAGGGAATACACCTTTCTCTAAACATAATTGGAATATATAGGTTAAGGGGGGAGCAATTATATGTTTAAGACTTTTAAGTATATTATTGGAAATGTTATCCCAGCCTACAGCACAATTTTGTTTTAATCCAGATATAATGTTTAATACTTCATTAATATCAGGACTTAGCGAAACAAAGGAGTTCAGTTTAGACGAAGGCATGAACTTATTTAATTCGGGGGGGTTTTATCAGCAAGGTTTTTGCCTGTGTTTGCAAAATGTTCGTTGACCTTGCCAATTGCTTCGGACGGGCTAGTCTCGCTGAGCAGCAAGTCTAGAGGCGGTTCAAAATATTTCGACTGAAATGTATGATTTTTAATAAATTTCCAGACAAGCTTGCTATCTTTACCTGCTCTCTGCGGTTCACTTCTCTCATACTGGCTCTTTAATTTCTTTAAAAGGTTGTTGCAGTAATTTCTTTTTCTTTTATAAGATATAGAAAGTGCAATATTATTAGACTTTTGATGAAGTTTGTCTCGGTGTCTTATGCAACGTACGAGTCCAGGTGTGATCCATGGCTTTATATTTTTATATTTTCTAGGTATGGTTTTTACGGAAGTATTTCTTATTATTGTACATTGCAATAAATTAATAAAATAATCCAAGGCATCATTTCGATCGTCCGAGTTGTAAACGGGGTCAAAACAAATACTGCTTATATCACTTTTAAGGCTTTGAATGTTGACTTTAGTATAGCTGTGCATGCATTTTTTTCTAATCAAAGATAATTGTAGTGTTAATAAAACAGTATGATGGTCGGTAAGAGTGGAGTTAGTTATTAATGTAAGGGTAGGTTTATGGGTTTTTATGATGAAATGATCCAAGCATGAGCCACTTTGGTGGGTGGGGTAGTAGTGTGCTGGTGAAAGTTCATGAAATGAATAAATATTTAAGTAGTTTTGAGCGTTAGTGTCTCTGCTCCCAGAAGCAATGTTAATGTTGATATCACCAGTTAAGATTATATTATTATATGATGAGAGGGTTTTTAATTGAATTTCAAGCGATTCTAAAAATATGTCAATGTTTTGTGAAGGTGGTCTATATATGGCTAAAATTACTGTATCCGGTTTTATTCGTATAATTAAGGAATTACAACCCGGAATATTGGGTTCGTCTACAGATATATTTAAGTTATTTTTAGTATATATTACTAATCCATCGTTTTGGTTCAATATTATATCATTCTTATGCAGTAGGTAACCCTTAAGAGATGGTAAATGCGGATGCTGATTAGACAACCAACACTCTGTCAAGATGATAATATCACAGTTTATATCAAGAGTATGTAACAATACCTCAAAACCATTCATGTTTTTGTGTATACTGCGAATATTTTGTGTAATAATTGTGAGTAAATTATCAGTAGTCGGCACATATTGTTTACAGTCTTCGACTTCACAATATTTAACCTCAGACACAGAAAAATTATCTAGGTCACAGAGCAACTGGTTTGACATTATTAATTAAAATAAAAAAAAAAAAGGCATAAGTGCTTACACTATCAATTAATACCGGCGCTCTTAGGCGCCCTCATAGTTTATAGAGTTGATGTATTTGTCCTCAGCGTATTTCCGTGCTGGGCAACTTACATCACCAGTTTGGTGATCACTTGTCCTTTTGAAACGCTTACACGTCGCACAAGTAGGTGGTGCAGCTTTTTTGTTGCATTCCTTAAAGGTATGCCCGAGCTCTCCACAATGGTTACAGGTTGAGCTGGTTTCACGGCAATATTTAGCTGCATGTCCAAACTGCTGGCAGTTGAAGCACCTAGTCACCAGCGTGAAGTCTCTAACTGGACAAGAAGTCCAGTTTATGTAGATTCTCCCTTGATTGATAAGCACTTTTCTAATGTTAGCCGGCACCTCAAATATATAGTTACAGGCAGGAAGGCTTTTCTTATCTGATTTGTGGCTCAGTTTTATGATGTTGAGACAGGAATCGCGGGAAGGGCCAGGAAACTTGTCTGATAAGTTCTGCTCGTAAATGCATTCAACTATCTCTTTTTCAGTCAGGGCTACGGGTACACCCACGGCAGTGACTCTCGGATTACGTTTCGTAGGTTCTTCAATTTTTAGGCCTGACGAAACTAATTTCTCTGACTGCTTTAGTTTTTCGATATCTCCTCTAGTTGCGGCACTAATGAGAACGCCTCCATTCCTCACTTTTCTAAGGCCCCTTACGTGCAGTTTCAGTTCCTCCGGTGAAATGATTTTTTGGACCAGAGACTTCGTTTCTTCACTAGTTTTGGTCTTGTCACTAGGGTAGATAGCTAGGGTACTAACATTGTTTGAACGGACAAACTTATCTGCACCTTTTTTCACCATATCGGCAAAGGAGGTACGTTCCTGCGTACTCAGCTTTTCTTCAACAGTGCCTGTGTGTGTCTTTTCTTCAAATTGGCTGAGGGAGCTCGCTACATCCTGGTTTTCCTGTAGGTGCTGTATAGTGGTATGCGCAAGAATAGCTTTCTGCTTCAGAGATTGGTACAGTACGGCCATCTGAGACGTTCCAGATCCGATCTTACGGCAAATATTTGTAACACGCATCTTCTGATCCGTGTTCATTTTGTCCTCTGCCACTATAGAGCAGACCTCACCTAACAGGGCATCAATACTTGTCATCCATTTCTGGATCTCCGACGTCGGTATTACCTCGCTAGGTAAATCATTTTTCTCAGGCAAAGGCGGTTCACAGGCAGTCGGCTGATATTGTTGTGTGGGCGTCGGTGGGGGACTCCTCCGTATTAACTGGCTACGGCCAAATGGGCTTGATCCTGGGTTAGACATTGATATTGACACAGTTACACGGTTTGAAAATTATTTTAGACCATGCTAAATACACAGTTTAAGAACAGACACAGTAGGCATTTATCACTCTCGCTCGTGACACACTTAGTGAAAAGTACTTAATAATTTCTAACAAAATAAATAATTTCTAACAAAATAAATAATTTTTAACACAATGATTATTTATTAGAAATTATTTATTATTTATATCTCGTACATTATATCCAATACAAAAAACACGTCTGCTTTGTCAAACGATCAATCGATTATGAAATAGCATAGCTCTTATACTTTATATTTGATTGATATCTTAAAAAACCCCGATTTCGTTACTGACTCACTGATGATCATCAACATTCTTAGGCCCGGCGCGGCGATATTGCCTATAGCAGGCGCCGGGCCTTAGGATACTGCCTGCAGTCCTAGAAAGCTGTAATTTGGTATGTGTGATTAGTACACCCACAACAAAAAATTTGAAAACTTGGAAATTTAACCCCCACAACCCCTCACTAGGTGATGAGGGTTGTATAAGACTTCAGCAAAATTTGATGCTAAATTTATAAAAAGACATACAGAGTGTGCTATCATTAAAGGCTTCTCTAATGTGCAAGAGATACACCCCAAGAAAAAGTGAACAACAAAAAAAAAATGTCATAATTAAGCGTTGTCTTTTTAAAAAAAAAAAAAAAAAAACAAAAAAAAAAACGATTTCCCACCAAAAACCTTTTCATCTAACATGTTGTCAAGACGAGACCATGTGGTCCGCACTGTCAAAAAGTTATCAGATCTCATGTAACTCTACACGCCCGTTACTTTGTGAAGTTTAGGGCTTGTAGAGTTAACTACAAGCCCTACACTTCACTTCGGCCTCATAGAAAACCTGTGTTCAGCAGTTCTTTCGTTGCTTTTCAATGAGTGAGAGAGGTAATCGGTGCACAAACCATCCTCTTTAACCTGATTTTGGGGGGAGCGACTAAAAGTGCGGCAATGCACTGGTGACTATTAAGTTGCAGGTGTCCATGGGCGGTGGTAGTCACTTACCACTAGTTAGCCGCGAAGTTAACCGAACGATGCACAACACTTAACGAACACTGAGTTTCGGCGCGTCCGAAACCGAAACTAGATTTTTTGGCTGAAACCGAGACCGAAACTGAAACTTCGGTCGGTCACTATAAATAACATTTATTAGCTCAAACTGTCCTCCACCTGCATCGCTGCAGATGGAGGACAGTTTGAGCATTTGGTTTGATCAGTGTAATAAACGCTATTTATTACAAATAAATTTGTTTTCTTCTCTCTCTTAATTTAAGAGCCGAGCCCTTGTCGGTGGAGCAATCGTCACTCCTCTCTATTTCGTGCGATCTGTTTGACGTCCTGATAGGCCACGACTCCCACTTTCTCCTACACTTGGTATTGGTATTGGTATTGGTTGTGAGCCTCGGTTTCCGCATTTAGACTCAGAGTGGTCCTTTATGCGTCGGGGATTGGTTGACTAGGTGAGCCAGCCAAGCTCCTTCCAGAAGCGCAGAAGCCTCCTGGGGCGTTCACAGGCTTCTAGGAGCGACTTTATATCAGGAATGATATTTGCCCGTTGTGTGGCCACTCCCTCGCATTCCAGGACTACGTGGGCGGCCGTTTCTTCAGCTTCCAGACAACCCCTGCACAGGGGGCTGTCCGTCGCATTGACTATGAATAGTTGTCGGTTCAGGGCTAGATGTCCTGTAATAGTTCCGACAACCATTCTGATTTCCGGTCTGCTAAGACTGATCAGTCTGCAGGTGAGTCGTGGCGTGACTTGATTCAGCACCAGTTTGGACTGTCTCCCCCTCCCCTCCTTGCCAACTCATCTGCGGCATCGTTCCCGCGCGGGGCCAGGCGCTGATACAAGTGGGGGAGGAGTATAGGGTCATGCCAGACAATAACTACAGTCGGGCCACTTTTAAAAGCCCATTTTGACAGTTGACATCTCTTCTAGAATGAATTTGACAGCTGTCAAAATAAGTAGGTATAAGTATGAGTATAAGTTTCTTTTCTCACCATAATTACAGGATTTACATATAAATACGTATTACATGAAAGTAAAGGGACTATGGTGGGTTGATACCTGAACTAGGAATGTTCCTGTATCTGAGGTTATCAACCCTCCACCCTTAATCAAATATAATACAATATTTACGAGTATTAATACACATTATATTAAAATTACTTTGAAGCGAAAATCTGAACAATTCGGCATTTTTGTAGGACCGCTACTGTCATCTACTCAGCAGTGCAACTAGATTTAGTCTAGCGTGCTGTCCAACCGCATCTAGTCTTATTGTGTGTACCGTGTGGACTTATGATATGGAAGAGTACGACGTATGGAATACGGAATCTGTGACCACGATAGCCGCACGCCACGATAGCCTGCTACATTATACTAATCTGTGGCCGCACCACAGAGTATAGTGAACTATGCCAGCCTCAAGCGCCAACGTCAAGCGTGCGTTTGCGTTTATTTATGTTTTATAATCTAATCTAAACTTAAGATTAAAGTTGACTCTCGGAGATAATTAATTTCTTTTTGTCGAAAATATCGGTACGTGATATTACGAAAACAGAAGTTAAACATTTTAAAATTCTTTTAAACAAGTAGGTACACCACGCTGGAACCTATAATACAGTGGTTAAAACAACTTTTGAATTTTTGATTTGTTGCTATATATGTAAATCATGGACGTGTAAGTATGTCATTATAACCTTATATTTTGTAATTAAAATATAAGACATATATTTTAGACATAGACCGGACAGTCAGTTTCATTACTCAAAATTATTTTTGTATGAATTTGGCCTTAGCTGCATTGATATCATGATGTCATAATACTCTAAACGGTGTACTTCTAAATATATTAGCATTTATAAATAATCCCCTATTCTGAATTTCTCTACCTGGTCCTGTTACTACTGAGAAATCAGAACTTTATTAGTTATGTCACCGTCAACTAGAGTAAATTCACTGTTTACATCATTTGCATAAAAGGCGATGTAATATCATTGTTTGTCTCAATTGTATTTAATCTAAACTTGTACTTTAATAATATATTTGAAATTAACTTTTAGAAATCAATCACTTCATGGTTTTATTTTATAAAGGTATGTATTAAAATTAATACTAAGTTTTTCCTGTTCCAGAGTCATAACTGTACCATTTCCTTCGACTGATCTTCTTCAATTAGCATATGATGTTCTGAATGTTGATAAAGAATACAAGATAGTTTCAAGAGACCTCAGAATTAAAGAAAGCTATCTTGTTGTGTAGGTATTAAATTATAGTAGATTAGTAGCCAAGGGCTGAAAGTAATTGCAGCCCAAGATATTTGCAATTGATGCTTACACCTGAGCTAACTATTCTGTTTTACATCTCGATTGTGAGGTAAGTAGAAAAAAACCGGCATTACAAGAATAAAACAATCAAGTAAAATTTTTCTATTCCCGCCTTTTTTCATTAAAAAGAATCAAGTAAAGAACTAAGCTTATTAAGTTTTTTTTTTCAAGATTGAAATTGAGCTTTGCCGTTCGATATTTAAAATTGATGACTATTATACTCACACGAAGACAAGGCTGAATAGCAAAGCAATCTATTTGGTCATTGGGCTGAATGCATGATGTCTATTGCCAGTATGATGGTTAGATGTACGTGAACTTTTTGAAAGAAAGAAGTGTTTTTTGTTTAATTACTTACCGCCCTAGGGCTTTTCTAGCTACATTATTACCCAGGCCTATTTGGAGGTAATAAGAACCTACTTACCGAACATGAGAGATGTAAAAGTCATTAACAATAATTGATTTCACAACCATATTCTACTTATTAAATATAACATAGAAAGTTATTAATACTTTCACTCAATAGGATATTCAAGTGTTTGGAATAAAATCTTCCATGATTAGATCCCATTTTGTTGTTTGAACAAGTGCCAGGTTTGTGTCATTAAATGAAGTAATTAAAGGTTATTTATAGGAACTATATAGTTACAGACTTTAAATAGAACATACCAGTAGTAACTAATGAATGAAATTCACTATATCATATGATTTCATATGATATAATCCTTGGCGGAGGCCTAGTCTAACATCAAACGTCTTTCGGCTGAGATGATGATGATATGATACCACAAAAAAAAACAAATTATTTATTTGCTTAAAATGAGGTGGTATTTTATGTGATATTACAAATTTGATATACAGCGAACAGGCCTCTTTAGCTATGAAAATAATATATAGATATACTATACAGTGTGTAATTTCTACACTTGATCAAAAGGAAATGTGTGGATATAAGGCAAAAGATTATCAATGAAAAACTGAAAAAAAGAATTATAAAGCATTTTAATTACTTTTTTTTAAATTTACATCTTTCATCATCATCTTTTTCTCTTTAAATAAACAGTGTATTTTCTTCAGTGTTATTTGAAAGCTATAAATACTAATAAAAAAAAACTTACAATGTTTGGCAGAAACTTGGTAAAAAATATAATGATAGATCTATTTGTTCAAAAATAAAATACGTTTTTTGATCTGTAACTTCAAAACTGGCACGAAAATCAATAGTGATCTAATCTGATTAAATTTACATCAATTAAGGAATAAAACAAAAAAAATACAGTAAACTGCTTTAATTTAGTCAATTTTCAAAACCACCATTCCCTTCATACATTGCACGTAATGCTACGCGTTGTTCTTTTAATACGCCGCATTTTATTTTATTTCATTAACTGGACAACAACTCTTCTCTTGTTCCAATTGGAGTGCTGTACACCACCTGCTTGATGGCGGGGCTGGTAGACATTTCGTTTGATCATTAAATCATTAATCATCATCATCATGTCATTTTTTCTAAGGAGAGGCCTATGCCCAGCAGTGGATACTAAAGGCTGTTGATGTGATGATGTAAAGTGTAAATATTACACATTGTATATATAACTTATGTAGATATCTAGAATAAAAGATCTTTAAAAATAAAGTATAATATAGTAAAAAATAAAGTCGCTTTTTTATGTTGTACACTTCATCATCATCATCATCATCAGCCTTTAACAGTCCACTGCTGGACATAAGCCTCTCCTTAGAAAGGAGGTTTTGGCCTACTATGCCACGCTGGCCAGACGGGTTGGTATAGGGTTTGTGTCAAGTTTTCCTTCTCTGCAGTGCTGGTGTTCTGCGAAGTTTTTTTCCTTCGGCTTCGGCTCTTACGACACCCACGGGATGAATAGGGGTGGTGACACTGTATTCTTAATCCGTCACCACACGGACAACGGTTGTACACTTAGATCTTTCAAACTAAGCGATTAACTAAGATTTGTGATGAGGCTCACCAATAGAGAGAGTGATTCAAGAGGAAGGTTATATGTACAATACATGCATATTATAGTAGAGAAAAAAACATGTTTTTGTAGGCTTACATTGTAAACGCTTCCTGAACCATACGAGATAGACCAAAATAATGTATAGTCCGATGCAAGCATTAAATTTGTATCGGACTGTGTCTATGTAATGTATTTGTATGTGTATTAAAAGATCTGCAAAAAACTCTCCGATGGTATATGTCTATCTCTTAAGGATAACCCACAGTCACCATTTTTATCTTTTAAATATTACAAAAAAATAATAGGTTATTTACGAACTATTTTAAACAATACCTTATTATTCCTTATCCAATTAAATACGATAGATACGTTGTGCATTTAATGTACGTTAAAATTGGTCTGTAAAGCATATCATTTAAATGAATATTTTAGAAAATATTAGAGGTTTAAAATGCGGGGGCCCGACGACCGTCGAGCCGTACGTCTGTCCCGGGTGACAGCGGCCCGCGGATCGGAGCCGGCCTATAAATATTGCATTCAAAGATGTCCTGTAGTATAGTCCTATCATAATAATAGTATAATTAATTACTCCACACTGACACCACATCAGTAATATTAGCAGTATCTACATTGCACCCGTGCGAAGCCGGGGCGAATCGCTAGTATGTAATATACGTAACTTATGTACTTCTTATGTAAGTAGATATGTAGAAATATTGACATGTCATGGCTAGAGATGGCCTCACTGTAGGTAACTTTTTGTCAAAGTATTCGGTCAGAATCAGCGTCACTGACTTAAATTCAAATTTTACTCTTAGTTATATGACTTTTTATCATGAAAGAACAAGAGTATTGTCAATGTTGTATGTGATGTAAAGTACACAAGTAATCATTAGGTCTTAGTTAAAAAACATATTTACAGTACAATTCGATTAGGATTTTATAAACATACATTTCTAATAACTGTCCGGGCATTACCTACTTTGTTTAGCAGATGTACATAAACGAATACAGCATAATCCACCTTGTTAGGTACTAATACGTGTCTTCTTATTTGCTTTATATAGAAACATGTCAGCTTAATCAACAGAATACATATTAACAGATAAATCCCACCAGATATATTATTTTTTAATCTATCACTGAAAATTTGATTTGTCTCTATACTTGCTGCCAGATAGCTCGATAGCGTACGCTTAGTATCTGTATAGGCTGCGTTTCTGTTACCCTTTAGGTACGGAACCCTAAATTATATTTAAAAATATTAAAGCTCAGTAAAGTAAAAGAATTGTCATATGATCGTAGACACTAGACTACGCCCATATGACAAAGGATAAGCGCGCATTGAGTACGCAATGCTTTTTATAGTGTTCATATTGAGAAAGCTTGAATAAAATCCTTGTACCTACTTGTGTCATCATGTACCAGTGTTATCAAAAAGCGCGCTCAAGGCCGTTATATGAACATAGTTTTAATGACTATAGGGTGTCGTGTTTTGTTTGACGGGTTTAAAAGTATTTGTGGACCAACTTGAACATTTACAAAGCCATTGTATACAACAGAACTAGTTATGAGTAACGCCTAACGCGGTTCACTTTATTTTATTATTCGTAGGGCAATGCTTGGCACTAACATAATTATATTGTGTAACAAATACTAATATTGAATAGTCCCTTGCTAGACCGCTAAATACCTACAAGATTGTCTCAACCCCTAGTCGCTAAAAATATGCAAGGGTTGTCACAAAAACATTAATTAGATTAGACAAAGGCCTGCGTTTGTCTAATATTAGGATGGAAGGTAGCTAGGTAAAAATAGTACTTGAATAATTTTACTTTTCTTTTATCTACATAGTAAATCTTGGGTACGTATTCCGTTTAAAATAGTGGATAAAAGGTTGAACAAATCATGTGAAATAGGTTAAAATTATACATTGGAGAATATTTTATTTAGTTTTTTTCTCATTTGTGTTGTTTTAGTCGGTGAGAATATTTGGAATTTGTACAACCATGTGATTACTGCAGATTTCCATAACGAAATTAGTGTAATTTTATGTAATTAATATAGTCATTTACATATCGCACCCTCGGTGCAACAAAGTCACAAGTAAGCAAAATTGCCAAAATGACTTAAGTATGCCAAATTGTCTGTAAACCATTTCTTTGTTTGGGAAATCAAAGACAGCCGCGAAAGTATTTGAATATATCGATAGATGGCATTAGTGCCTTTGTGGTTCTTGCTACTTTTTCGACGAATATTGGGAGAACAGAGTATGATTAGTAAGTAGTGACCCCGCGCCCGCATGAGTCAGTCGTGACTTGGAGCTACACCAGCTTAAAGTAAAAAAACAAAGTGCCATTATAACGCTCAAATAATTAAATTATATTTGTACCTGGTGCGACATAGTCACAAGTTACGACTTTTTTTTTTGTTTCCTTTTTTTTCAATTTTCTAATGAAATCAAGGAAATCTTTTTACATGATACTGTAGTTAAAAGAACAAATAATATAATTTTAATGAGATATCCCGGCTGCTGTAGGTAGTAATCTAGAAAAAAGGAAAATTGATCGAAAAAAAACTTAAAAGTCCGTTCCTGTAAAATTACAAAATGACCTATTGTGACTGTGTTGCACCGAGGGTGCGATATGACTATATTAATTACATAGGTATCGTGCACTTAATCGTGTGAGCATGCAACAAACCTTCACAAACAAACCTTAACAAACCAACATTACAAACAGACACTTCAATTTTATTTATTTGTATAGTATAGATTTAAGCTATTATATCACTTTGTCTACAATAGGGCCCTATACATTTTAGATTTGATATTGGAAATTAAGGTAGTGCCTTAACGTATTGTATTGTTAAAGAATACAAGACACTTATAAGTTAACAGAGTTAGATATATAAGTATAGAGAGTATTAAATGTAACAGAGAGTAATAATGTTAACATAATAAGGAATAACAATAAGCGTATATAATTAATACATATAGTAATATAAGTATTTGTATTTTTACGTAGATGTATACAAAACCACCAAATACTTTGAAAGTTTTATTATAAGCTCTTTCTCTTATATTACAAGTAAAGTAAAAATATAAAGATGCTACTGTGAGTTAATCAAATAATAAAAATACTGCGAATAATCTTGTGTTGTACCAAACGTGTGCAACTGATCCGCTCTTCTTTATATTGCGCTCCAGCGTTGCTTATCTAAGTAGCTAAGTTGACTCACTAATAGTATTTATTACACAAATGGCACTATTTCAGTTTTAGGCAATTATTGCCTCAATTGAAATAGGGTAGTAGTATTATTTGTTTCATGGAATCTAAAGAAAGCAAGAAATGTATTCGAAAAGCTTGTAAAGTTCCAATAAAGCAAAGAATATAATATATAGGTACCTATTTGAAAACTCAAATAGTAATGCGAATATTGCTTGCTAATCGTGCCTCGATTGTGAGGCGATTACGCGAGAAGCGTAGCATTAGAATATAATCGATATCACTTATGTGTATATCTAAATTAGCGTTATCATTCTGTCATCATTACAACATTGTAGATGAAAATTATGCATGCAAGTTACCTAACAGCATTTTAATGTAAAAAAAATTTGTTTCAGAAAATTTTTCAGCGAGGACCCGAAGAAGTTGCGAATGTCTGTTCATGCGTTTAATAAAAATCTCAGACTTATACTTAAAACCGTTAATCAATTTGCAAAGAAACCAGTTTAAATTTTTAGAATGCCGGAACACACACCTGCACCAATTCCTGCCAGATCATTGTATGGATTTTTTATGTATTTGTTCAGTAAAACAATGTTAGTTATATACTGTATCTGGGCAATCACTCCTGATTCGTACCTACACTATTTCAATATTTACTACTATCCATTAAAATATTGGTCTGTTGCAATTCCTGTACAATGTTTGGTTGCCCTTACAATTTACGCGTTTTTAATTTATCCCAGTTTAAGTCTTTTATTAACCACTAATATTGATAGTATTAATACTGTCATCGACCCACATGCTCAATATACGTGTACAAGAAATGACAATAAGAACAATACCTCAGAACATTGTATTTGCACAGATGTACACAAATGTGCTAAGTATACGCACGTAACATGTGACAAAGGGCTTGAAGATAATATGGTGCCACAGTTGGTGGATTTAAACATACGATTTGTTTGTAAGAAGCTTTATCTGAATAGTCAAAATTAATTAGGTCTACGTTCATGTTTATTTATTTTATTAAGCTATTGCATAGCTTCTATCGAGGGCCTTGAGCGCGGGGACCGAATCCAAAAATTCCGTAACGAAAAAAAACCTCACGCTAAAAACAAAACAAAAAACAGTACCAAAATCAAATGCTGAACGTCAAAGGAAATTTCGTCAACATAATGCAGAAAAATCTTACATGGACATGTAATTTGATTTAATAATAATATTTTTTAATTATTTATTTAAAAACAAATTGTAATATATGCTTCAATATTTTTATTTAATAAAAGAAAAAAAATTGTTTTCTTATCGGTCACCACGCTCAAAAAGTGTAACTTGAATTAATATCAAAGAAAAAGAAATACTGCTTAAATAAAATAAATAAATAATTATAATTGCATAAGTTGATACAAAATGCTATGCAATAGCTTTACCGCGGCAGTCCCCGAGTGACACGCGTCTTTTTTTATTCTTAGTAGGCTATGACTATGTAATAGATATTTCTTTTGTTTTCTTTCTGTGTATAAAGTGTAAATTTATTAAAATAGAATGCAATTAGCCTTATCTGTACACAATACTCTGTGTGTGTATCTGTAAAAAACTATATTCTTATTAAAAGTTCAAGTCATTCAGTTTTTTTTTATCTCACAGGCCAGTGGCTACAGGTGATCGACCACAGGTCCTAGGTATTACCAAGTCATTTGATAATGCGATTTGGATAATACTGTCAAAACTCACAACCAACTGTACATTATCATGGCGTTGTTAATTTTTTTAATTAAAGTAGAGCCTAATCATATTTTTATTACTAGCTGTTTTTTGTAGTTCCACGTGCGAGTTTGGTTGGTTTTGCTTTAAATGGTTAGATATATAATATGCCCTTATAACCTTCCTCGATAATATCCTAACATAAAAATAATTATTAAAATATGACTGATAGCTCCAGAGGTTACAGACAAACAACTCTTCTGCTACTTTGTATTAGTATAGATGTAACAGTGTAATTGATTTTTTGGTATTATCTATAGGGAAGAGGAAGTAGGTTTTGTATGGTAGTGTCTATAGGTAATAATAGGTATTATTACTTAAGATGGTATTTCACAGTACCTGAAATTACAAGAACGGGGACGGACTATGTCTCGTAGGTAAACATGTACTGAAATGAAATGAGTTATTAAGTGTATAAATAAATAGAAGTCTCTAAACCAACTCGATTAAGAAGTCATTTAGAAAAGTATAAGAGAAATGTAACCAATCATATTCTAATGACAATCACATTTAGTAGTATTAGTAAATCTTCATTTAAAATCTAAATAAAGAAAATCAAATTCAGAATTCCATTCAATTTCTCCATTAAATCCATATGTAAATAGTGTGAATGTAGTAAATATTTTACTTGCATTATAATATACATATTACTTTTTTACAATAAAGTAAAGAAATACGCTTTTAATTTCTTGTTTAACAAGTTTACACCCTTGTATCGACACTATATTGTATTGACGGGCCTGTTAGTCTAATGATTAGAGAACCTGACTATTAAGCCGGAGGTCGGAGGTTCGATTCTCACCACGGACAAATAATTGTGTGGTGAGCATGATCATTTGTTCTGTGTCTGGGTGTATACCTAATTTTTATATATTTAGAAATATTTAAGCACAATGCTTAACTATTTCTCAATATATTCTTAACTATTTCTTTTGCTCACTTACGACACGGTACTATTATAATACAGTAGTGTAACTCGGCCGTATGATAGAAATAAATGCCTACAGCCGCGCGGTACGTAAACGTGCGTTAGGGCTGCCCGTCTCCAGCATTTTAATTATATTTGCCTACTTTCTGTTTCTATTTAGATTTGTGATTGTAAATATCCTTTTTATATAAATAAATGAAATACTTTGTATATTGAATAGGAAGTGTTCAATAAAAATGCGTGTTGTTTTTTGATTGGTGGATTTAATTATTTTCTTTTCTTTCTGCATTGGAGGAGTTCAAGTTTCAATTTTCTTTTTCTAGGAGTGTTGCTAGAGAGACTCGTTGAGGTTTGAGCAAAGATTTCATTTTCAGTCTGTGTACTATTTTCATTTCTTACCAACGGAGCAGTTTGGGTTTGTTTATCTTCTTTTAGAGATACTCCTGAATCAGTACTAGCTAAGCTTGGCAGCATCAACAATGGTAGGGCATTCTTTTTTAAAAGTTTTCTATTTGATGAATGTAATACATCCTCCAAATTAAAATGTTTTTCACAAACTTGGTAGGAACTAAAGTTAGGTTTGTTTTCCAAATCATCTCGCCGGATGAGTTGCAACCATTGAAGACGTCTGAAAAAAAATAATACATGTGACACCCTCGGAGACTGCCGCGGTAAAGCTATTGCATAACATTTTTTTTTAAAGAAAAAAATCTGCGTGGTGTCAGGTATTTTTCGTTAGGTTTTGAGAATTTTTTGATTCGGTCACCGTGCAGCGCCGCGCTCAGAGCCCGCGATAAAAGCTATGCAATAGCTTAAAAATCCTTCTATAGAATAAAAAAAATGTGCTTTCTCCTTACGCGCTACAAAACTCCAATCCTTAGAAACTCCAACACCTACCTACTCAACTAGAATGCAAGAAACAGCTGACGAGTAAGTAACTTTTTATCTCAGCTTATTAACGTCTCTATAAATTAGGTACCTACCTACAACTCAAAACAAAAATTCTTTGGTCACCAATTAATTAATTATTAAAAAGCTGAACAGCTGACTACGAATGTTTTAAAATCACAACCCTCAAACATCTAAATATTATATATGAGTCTAGCTGTTGTTGTTAATAATGAGAAAATGAAACCAGTTTTTAGTGGTATATGTTGTTATAGTAGCAGCAGAAACACTTTGTGAAAATTTCGAAAACTATCTAATGACACACAGACGGTAAAAAAAAATTTCTAGTATTATTCATACACACAGATAATAAACAAATATTATTAAAAATAAAATACCACGTCTTTACTTTGAATTATGCAAAGTAACAAAACATACATGCACCTACGGTACGTACCTACCTACTTACGCTTGTGTTAAAAAACACAAGCGTAAGTAGGTAGGTACGTACCGTATCATGATTCATTCAGAACCGCATATAACTACCTATTTCACTCGTCTCAATAACTTTCCGTTACTCTATTCGCTTTATTTATGAATCCAAACACCTTTTTTTTCGTAAGATAAAAGGAAATACTTATCCATTAAAAAGACACACATTATGTACCTTCCTACTAGTAGGTAAAATTATTTTATAGTCTTACCTTTCAGAGTTTCCAGCCTGTGGTACAGCCGTGACTGTCTGCGCCCCGAGCGCACCCCGAGATCGAGGCGCGTAGGTATAGCTCGTGTTTCGTCCGTTTGTATGAAGTTGGAGTACTGTATTATAATTGTACCGTGCTTACGATGTTTAAAAGTTGTCGGTTAATTACTTTTATTGCACTGTATTTACAAACACTCACTATAACAAACAAGCAAAACACTATATAACTCGTTAGTCGCACTAGAAATTCGTTTCGATGTTAATTCGCTGTGTCGTAAAACGATACTGTCTCGTACGGCCAACACGCTCCGCTTTTATAGTGCTATCGAATTTACTAGAATGATCCCTAGTATTCGATAATCCGTTCCAGACAAATAATAATATTTCAGTATCAGTTACGCGTTACTTGCAGCGCCATCTAGGATCAGAATTATTAATCACAATCTCAATAGTTGTACTTTACGTGATACTAGATGACTCCACATTCCATACAATTCTGGAACATTCAAACCATTTAATCCTTATGCGCAACACTGCCCCCTTCTAAGAGATACTCTTGCCGAGCATTATCGGTTCCATACTATCGCGCCAATCGATCCACATGAACTATCTTTGGGGTGCCTCTTGGACTCTTCTGTATCCGGTAGGTGACATCATTGATTTTCGCAACCACTCGGTATGGTCCATCCCATTTGGCTTGTAGCTTCGGAGATCTCCCGTTACTGCGAACTGGATTATGTAGCCACACTGGCGAACTTTTTTCGAAGCCCTTATTGTTCACTTTCCGGTCATAACGGGTTTTCATCTTCTCAGACATTTGTTGGCCTGATTGTCTGACATGCTCATAGATCTCATTCATCTTGTTGCGCAAGTCATTCGCGTAATCCGTTATACTGCGCGGGAGGTCAGGGGGTATTCCACTGATTAAGCCTGCGGGTCCTAGTTCTCTTCCGAAGTTTGCGAAAGCTGGTGTTACTGAAGTACTTTCGTAGGCTGCACTTCGGTATGACAGAAGCAACGGTTGGATGTGTTTGTCCCAATTGTCATAACTTTTTTCAGATACCTCGCGTTCCACCATTCCGTCCGATTGTGGGTAATAAGAGGTTCTTCTGGTTTTGTGAGCACCCATCACTCGACATATTTCTTGAAATATTTGAGACTCGAAATTTCTTCCTTGATCACTGTGAATTTATAATGGCACTCCAAAACGACAGAAGATTTCGT